GGGGGGGGGGGTTTAAGGGAGGGGGAGAAACTTACGATTCCGTGCCATGTTAGGATTTTCCCTCCTGTAGCTTTGAATTTCGAGAGGTCCGGGTTAGCAGTTTCAGTCATACTGGCGTAGCGTTGGAATGCAGCGCGATGCATATCGCCAAACTGCTCATGTGTGATGGACGTGAGGTCAAAACCAGGATTTCTTGCGATGAACAGTGAGATCCAGTTCGCGACGAGACTTTGAGGGACTCCAAAGCAGGTACTATCCGCTGAACATTCTGTTTTTCCTGGCTCGTTCAGATGCGCATCGTATCCCAAACCGTGCCACATGAATTTCCCATCTGCGAATCTGGGACCTTTCCACGTAGCGTCAGCTACCTTTGCGGCAATCTTAGAAATCTTCATGATCTTTCCGGTTGTAGAGCAGTTGAATGGTTTCCCAACATACGGGAAGGGATCGAACCCGCATAACTCTTCATCAGAAATGACACCATCCAAAACACCATCAAGACCATCACACTCCTTCACCGCCGCTGCATTCAGCACATCCAACTCACAAGCATACGGATACTCCCCCGCAAGATTCATAACAAGTTGCGGCCAGAACATCCCGAGAAAGAACCCATTCCAATTGATTGCCGGCGCAATAGCCAGGATCCCATCATAAGCCGTGGGGTTACTTTGCGCTTGATACATTCCCTGACGGCCTCCTTGAGAACAGCCGGACCAGTAGGAGTACTGCAGTGAATCGGAGTAGAAATCTGAGATGATTTTCTTACTGATGATGGATTCGTCGTCCAAGGAGACACCTGCTAGGTTTTGAAGAGCGTAGAGATTTACGTTTCCTTCGCTGAGGAGACCCCAGCGCGTTGCGTCTTCGGCGACTCCTAGACCGGCGTCGCGAGTTGAGACTGCGAAGTTTCCTGAGAGACCCAGGGTCATTTGTTGACGGATGAAGGCGTGGTGGGTTCCTCCGGCGACTAAGCCATTGTTAGAATGAGTGCACAATATTTCTCAAATGTGGAAGGAAAAGATTTAGAGATTCTGATATAGAAATTATGACTAGGAAACTGAAAGGCAGGAAGGAAGAAAAAAATGAAGAATGATCATACCATATCCTCCACCCCCCGTCGCCATCAACCTCTTATTCCACACATCTGCAGGAGGTAACCATACCTCGACCTTCAGATTATCCTCTTGTCCGGGATGTGTGTACGTGACGGTGACATTGCAGAATGATAGATCCTTCACCTCAATTGGCTCGCCACCAACAAGACTGGCCGTAGTTGTCAAACTCCAATTTTCGTGCAATTTAGCATCGATGGCTAGTACCTGAGCACCGAACAATTCAATGTTGCCAAAAGTTGATGGGACACATTGGAGAGACATTTTCGCGTGACTTTTTGTGCGATGGATTCACGGATTTTTGAGAATAGGTATCCCAATCTGAGAACCCACAACCACCATTCGTTCTCAAAAGCTGGCGGTCTCAAATGATAGCGGTTCACGATGTATATGTATGCGGAGTATGCGGAACAGTCATCTTTTTTCTCATTGCCTGGTGGTGACGTTGGCGGCACAGCACCCCCACCAGGGCCCGCTCGGTGGATTATCTTCCCGCCGTCCGTTCCGTACCTCGTACTCTTGGCCTCCCTCGTCGAATAGATTTAAGCGAGACGACGACGACGAAACGGTCGAGAAAGTAACGAACTTGGGCGAAAGAAAGTTCTAATGCTAAAGAAAAGAATTCGCCTATGTACCTACCTACCGAAGAACAAACCTAGTAAAGCTTTACTTTTCCATTTCTTCAAGTACGTATAGACCCTAAAATCCAATATCTTCTAAAAACAAGCAGTATATAAAGCGTATAAGACATGGTCGGTACACTATAATCTTATATATCTCTCTTAGAAGAAAATTATTTAAAAAGGGTTATATTACTAAACTGATTATATAAAAATAACTTAGAAGAATCTTACTATAAACTTTTTATTAGCCTAGGTATACTACAATAATTATCTTACTTGTACTAGAAGCTTAGTATAATAACATTTTATATTATGTATAGAGTAACAACCAGGTATGTTACTAAACTTGCTCTTACAAAGCATTAATGTTCCACACACAAAGCCCATCGTATACCCTATTATCACTTCCCACCATCTCACATCCCAAACTGTCATATCCCCATTCCCAAGATAACTATCCCAAATACCCCTAAACATACTCAACAACAAGACCCACCACCTCACAAGAGTCCGGAACCTCGATAAACGGGCCCTCGGGATGATTATAAAAGGCCTTTGAGCCGATGTCATGGGTGAGGTGGAATAACTGTGGGACAAGATGGTTCCAATCACAGACTATAACACCAATAAAATAAGTTGAGATCCCATGCTCAATTTGAGAGGTTGGATAGACAGGTGAGTATTCTTGATTTGAAGGAGGGGATAGTAGGGTAAGGGAGAATTACCAAGCCAACCATGCCAAAACACATCCTCATAAACCAATTTCTCATCCACGATCTTAGCACCATGTTGATCGTACTTTCTCGGTCCATTGATAGTCACTGATTGCCTATAAATCCGAAGCCAGAATCTCGTCAGTGGATCCCATCCCATCCCATCCTATCCTATCCCATCCCATCCTTATTTTTTTCCCTTTCCTTGCAAAGTATAAGATAAATGAACAGATAAACGTACCAAAACCCCAACTCCGTCCCCGGGTTAACAGGCACAAAACCAAACGAATACGGCGGTTGAAAACCATTGTAATTAAACAATTGCAGATCACCATCGAGAAACCCCACGACGTTAGTCTTGTTTGGTGAGAAGACTGCGTCGTTGAAGCCGGCGCCGGTATGCCAGTAGTTTACTAACGTATCTGTCAAACCATGTCGGACGATAGAGTAGTGGAAAGGTCTTGTGGAAACGGGTGAAAGGAAAAGAAAGGAATGGAATGGAGGACATGCGGTATAATCCATCGAATCGAGTACAATCGCCGGTACCCTTTGCTACAAGATGATACTGCGGACCCGTAGGAACGAGGATTTGGGATTTGACCAAGACATTCCGGTAGAAAGCGAGAAGAAGGGTGAAAAGAAGACAAATTGAAATCATCTTGAAGTTCAGACTCCCGGTAGACGTATGTAGTTCTAAGTTGCTTAACCAGGTCGAGAATAAGGAGAAGATGTTGCTAGTATTCTCCCAGGTTCAGTTTCAAGGAGATGTGTTTTCAAATCACAAAGAAGTAGTGTTCTCGGTTTTTGGAAGATCTGGATTTAAAGTCGCGAAGAAGATCCCAAGACCTGCTACTGCCTCACACCTCGCTTATTTACTCAAGCGCAGCAGGTGCAACCAAATCACAGTCCGGTGACTTTCAAATACGAGATTACGTAGATTGAGGTTTCACTTCACTTAAAAGTACAACGGGCCGAATTTCATCCGAAAGTACAGTACAGAATAAGAAGGCGCGATAAAACATATACAAATCGAGGTGGTCGCAATGTAGTTGGTTGTCGAGCTGAATGCATTTTCCTGAACGTCTGCTTGAGGATTTGGGTTCTCTTTCATCTGATCAATTTATGTGCTTTTCTGATAGGTGATAACTGGTAGATAATCGAAAAAACACTATAGCCTTCTGCTTATATGTGTAAAGAATTATATCATCTCAGCTACCAATCAACAATCCTCACATCCTTGCACATATGCAAACTCCGCAAACCTACCACTCTAGACCTCTCACTTCCCCTCCACACTACCTCCGCACTATACTTTCGCCCTTTCCACAACTCCCCACCAAAATAAGCAAACCACAACCCCCCAATCCTCACCATCCCCTTATCCAACCCCCTAATCCAAATCCGGAACCGGCAAATGATCAATCAACTTCACCTTCCTCCCCAACCTCGCCAAAGCCTCGAGAGCATTCCGATCCCTCAATTTGCTCGTCTCCTCCTCACTAACCAGCACGAAATCATGTTTCAAAATCTTACTCCCTTCTTCGACACCGTATTTCTTCGCTTCGTCGGGTGAGGCGGTAGTGAAGTCCACGATGAGAGATTGCTTGACGCCGAAGACGGCGTCGGAGGTTTCGTAGGGGTCGTTGCGGATGTAGAGGGCTCTGTGGATGGGATGGTTAGTTGGTTATGGAGGAGTAGGGAGGGAAGAGATACGTGATTAGATGATCCCAACCGGGCTTTTCGAACATGAAGTGCATGTGTGCTGGTCTCCAAGGATGGCGTTTTAACAACTTCAGCAGCTGTCCAACTGGTCCATCATGAGGAATCTAACCACAAGTTTCAAGTCAGTATATATATCTCTTCCAAAAAACCCAAGATACCCTCCAGAGCAAAGCACAAAGTCTCTGCCAAAAGCAACCTTCCCATCACAATCACTAGGTGAACAAACCCACCGGATAAGGCACCGGCACAATAGCCTTAAACCAAAACCCCCCCTCCCGATCACTTCTCATAACACACCTCCCATCCGGACTCTCCAAATCCTTGTATTGGACATCATAATGCCCCGTACTATCCGTCTCCCAAATATCCACCTTCACCCCCTCAACCGGATTCCCCTGCACATCCTTCACCGTACAAACCACCAAACACGGTTCCCCCTTCGGATCCGACGACATACTCGCTCCGTTCCCAATCGTCGGCGGATCATGTGTATGGAACGGGCCGAGGACCGAGCCTTCAGTGCTGGAAGGCGGTTTAGGATGGTCGATTGCGTCGACGAGGAGGGAGAGGCCGAGGATATCGGAGAGGAGGATGAATTCCTGTTTCCGGGGCAGTTAGTAATCAGTTTCTTGCATACCATCATACTCCCATCCCAAGCTTGCCAGTGAGAAAGTGAGAAAGGGAAGAGAAACATAAGCCTCACATGTCGAACATCACTACTAATCTGTCCCACCCTGACCAAGAAATTCAACGCCGCCATCCATTCACTGGTACTCAACCTCGTCTCCCGCGCAAAATCATGAAGATGCGTCACCAGCCGCTCCATCACATACGTCAAGCGCTGATCCGAGCTCTGCGAGTTGATCAGCACCGTGTTCTCGGTGATATTGTCAATCGTCAGGTCCTTCATGGGAGGAACGTTTGCGACGGCGGGATCCATGTTGTTCAGTGTGATAGTAAGAGGGATTTGGGGTTATAGATCGCTTTCTTCGGCGAGGAATTCAGATGCGATGGTCTGTTACTAGCACTCAGCTAGCTTGTCAGGTCCGTGAGGTGGACTTTGGAAACCAAGCTTTACTTATATTGCCTGCTTGAGCGCCGCAGTAGGATTACATTGCAGAAAGATGGGGGAGAAGTTCAAACAGTAAGAATTGCCTTCTATCTTTGTAATTGATTGTAAATGTCATTGGATAGGACTGCGGGTGGTTAGAACGGCAAGTCAAGCTTGGAAAATGGCGGGGTATGTATCTAGTGGGGTTGTCCCACATTAGAGTATAGTAAGAAACCTGGTCATTGCTCTATACACGCTATCTAAAGTCGTTATGCCAAAGGTCCGGCACAACTTGATTAGTTGTCCTCTTTTACCTACGTTAATAAGGAGCGAAAATTGTTAATTATTCTAAACTATTCGTCCAATTGATTTAGTTGTGTGAGGTCTTTGAGATAATATTTTTATAACTCAGGTGTGGTGTACAGAGTACCTACAATGCCCGCCTCTCTTACGCAACAAGCATGTTCTCGACCACAGATCCACCGCGAGGATAATTATATGAACATGAAAGATTTGATAGAACGTAATGAGGGTTATGAAAGCGATTGTGTACTTGTAGAGCTTTGAAATAATCAAACATACATCACATCATGGTTGAGAAAAGGTATGGTCATAATTTTTATTCGTGGTCACATTTTTTCATGGCGCAAAAGACTATCTATTTCCCAGCCCTAACCACCTCCACTAGATGCAAAGGTACAAACCATCCAGCTACACAGAGATGAAAAAAAGAGAACCGAAGAAAAAAACACATCTATTTCTTGGCACCAGCCTTGACAGCGGCCTTGGTGACCTTGCCGGCTTTGTCGACCTTCTTGACGGACTTGATGACACCGACAGCGACGGTTTGTCTCATGTCACGGACGGCGAAACGTCCAAGGGGAGCGTAGTCAGTGAATGCCTCAACACACATGGGCTTGGAAGGCTCCATGGTGACGATGGCAGCATCACCGGACTTGATGATCAATTTCTTGTCATCAGTCTTCTCTTCAAGAGCCTTACCAGTACGACGATCAATCTTTTGGTTGATGGACTTGAACTTGCAGGCAATGTGGGCAGTGTGGCAATCCAAGACTGGAGCGTATCCGTCAGAGACTTGACCAGGGTGGTTAAGAACGATGACTTGAGCATCGAAGGTCTCGGCACCCTTTGGAGGGTCGTTCTTGGAGTCACCGGCGACGTTACCACGACGGATTTCCTTGACTGAGACGTTCTTGACGTTGAAACCAACGTTGTCTCCTGGGAGACCCTCGACAAGCTGCTCGTGGTGCATCTCGACGGACTTGACTTCAGTGGTGACACCAGCTGGGGCGAAGGTGACGACCATACCGGCCTTGATGACACCGGTCTCGACACGTCCGACTGGCACTGTGCCAATACCACCAATCTTGTAAACATCCTGGAGAGGAAGACGGAGTGGCTTGTCAGTTGGGCGGGAAGGTTGGTCAATGGCATCAATAGCCTCGAGGAGGGTCTTTCCGGAAGACTTTCCAGCCTTGGTCTCCTTCTCCCAACCCTTGTACCATGGGCAGTTGGTGGAGACGTCGATCATGTTGTCACCGTTGAATCCGGAGATAGGAACGAAGGCAACAGTCTTTGGGTTGTATCCGACCTTCTTGATGAAGGAAGAGGTCTCCTTGATGATTTCTTGGAAACGGGACTCGGACCACTTGGTGGTGTCCATCTTGTTGATGGCGACGATAAGTTGCTTGACACCAAGGGTGTAGGCGAGGAGGGCGTGCTCTCGTGTTTGACCGTCCTTGGAGATACCAGCCTCGAACTCACCAGTACCAGCGGCAATGATGAGAACGGCGCAATCGGCCTGGGAGGTACCAGTAATCATGTTCTTGATGAAATCACGGTGACCAGGGGCGTCTGTGGAGGAACAATTAGCAGGCAGAAGAGACAAGAGGTGTGAAGGTAGAGCATACCAATGACGGTGACGTTGTATTTAGGAGTCTCGAACTTCCAGAGAGCGATATCGATGGTGATACCACGTTCACGCTCAGCCTTGAGTTTGTCCAAAACCCAGGCGTATTTGAAAGAACCCTTACCCATCTCGGCAGCTTCCTACAATTGCTGTTAGCCATGGTCATGAGAATAAAATAATGCAGGAATGAGGAGATGACGAAGATAGAAGAAAGGTGGTGGTGATGTGCGACGATGAGGTTGTCAAGCAAGACCACCACCCAAGGAAGCTCAGGCCAAGCTGTGGTGGCGTGGGGCGTGCGGGTGGATCTGCCGTTGTGCAAGAAAAGGCCCGAGCTCAGGAAAATTTGATGGTGGTGAAGCGGGGCTAGCCCCCCACCGAGGGGCAAAATTTGCGATAAGAAAATTCAAAGGTCAAAGGAAAAGCGACGAAGCGTCGGGATCTTACCTTCTCGAACTTCTCGATGGTACGGGAGTCAATTCCACCGCACTTGTAGATCAAGTGACCTGTATGTATTGTAAGCTGGGTGTTCGAAGTGCGCCATCTCGTCGTGCGAGGTCGAGGTTGTGCTTACCAGTGGTGGTTGACTTTCCGGAATCGACGTGGCCGATGACCACGACGTTGATATGGGCCTTCTCCTTACTGCAGTGCGAAAGCAATGGTTAGCAGATGTTCCATCGTGATAGAAGCAGCCCTCGATGCGATGCTTTGATGGCAGATGCTCGAGGGAGTGCGCAGAGGATTGATGGATTGACTCACCCCATGTTGGCGGTTATGTAGATTGACGGTTGTGTGTGGGGTTATTGTTTGTCTCGTGAGAGAATGAATCTGCGGGAGATGGAGGTCAGTTGGATGTCGCAGATGAGGATGATGATGAGGGTGAGGATGGTTGAGAGGATGGAGGTGGAGGGAGAACCTACTGCTCTGATGTATTGCTTGAATAACGGTAAGAGCGAACAGGGAGAGAAAGGAAGTTTTGCGAGGGCGGAGGGCTATTTGTGCACAAACTGAGCAGGCGGGAGGCGCTAGTGCCATCACGTGAGAGGCCAAGCGAGGCCTCGTGAGCCAATGGATGGCGCTCTAGGGCTCCATCCTCGTCCCATTCACACACACTACGGCCTGACTCATGGAGCAGCAATGGGGAAAATGATGCCCGACGTCAGAGTGAATCCTGAACTGATGCTGTAGTGAATCCTGAACTGATACTGTAGTGAATCCTGAACTGATACTGTAGTGAATCCTGAACTGATACTGTAGTGAATCCTGAACTGATACTGTACTCGTAGGCATAGCTACGGCCAGCTTCGAGTAGCTCTCAAGTGATGCCACATCGGGTGGAGTTTCCCACATCAGAACACGCTAGTTTGATTATTCTACAGTACCATCTTGAGGAAAGTGAGGTGATCATTTCAATTGTCCAAGTCAATTGATGCTTGTTAGGTCAAGGGTGAGGGTAATCAAGTTCATCCAGTGGAGGTGTTTAGGTGAATGCTAAAGTCGCATCGTCGAATCCTCGATCTCCCGCCGACTGGACCGGCCTGACACTGTGGCTCGAGAAAATAGCATTAATAGTTTCCCTTCGAGTAGGTAGAAAAAGAACTTGATATCGAGTTCAGTGGAAACCATAGCTTGGGCCAAGACAGGAATGGTATGTAACTGGCGATAGCGGGGTACTCAAGACCCGCTCTGGCTTTTTTTTTCTCGAGGGGTCTCATCGCCGTCATTGGTCCAAGTAGCTCCGTCTCAGAAAAATTGGCACTACTACCCCTCTTCTACGTAGGAAAATTGAAATCATTTTGGCCTAGAATTCAGCTCGTCATCTCATCTTTCGAGCACAATTCACATCATAAACCTTTCCCGATGAAGAATGCTCTTCAATAATCTCTGATAGTAAAAACGAGAGATTTTTATTTGGTAGAGCGGCACCCCCGCCGCTCTACCGCGTCGTGCATAATCCAGCCCGCAGCCCGTTATGGCTCCTCTTTTCTGCATCTCACAGCCATTGTTTTTTCCGAGCAGGGTTCAGCTTACGAAAATGCAATGGCAGGGATTCATTCTCTATTAATACGATGAGAGCATAAGAAGGAGGTTTCGTTGTTACAAGGTTCATTTTTCATCTTGCTTGGCCATGGTTTCCTTTGCCGCTGATGTGGTGTGTTGGTGCTGTGCCCCTCAACACCATACCCCTCATCATCCCGAAATATCCATTGGCACCTCAGCACCTGCCCTTTCGAGTTCATCTTTGCAGTTGCTATTGAATGCGCACTTATGCCTTGACACTTCTCCTTCTGCCAGGATTCACCTCTGTGGCAAAATACAGTCCATTCGTCTCGGACAGAAATGCTTTGGACCTTGGGTGTTTCTAGCACCGCTGGCTGTCACATTTCCGGCGTCGATTCATCTTCAGAGTCACTGGCCAAAGTCTCGATGCACAGCTATCACACTTGACCGAGGGTACAGATTCTTTCCACTGGCTTGTTCTATGATTCCTTAAGCCGGTAGGAACCATGGAGCTTTGCAAGTGGTGCGGCAAGGACCGTCGACAACTGTCCAAGAGCGGGGCCCAGCCTCAAGACGACATCGTTTTCATAGATTTCGAAGGTACAAAATTGTGCGTCACTTGCTACGAGACCGCAACGTGGGCAGTTGAGAATCCCAAGAATTGTGCCGACTGCAACTTATTATTCACCGACGAGGATGTGATCCAAGCTCTTCTCTCGGAGGGAGGATACACCCATTCAACTCTCGATAGACTGAAAAAAGCTGCTTCTCAAGGGTGTGTATTATGCCGGATCTTCCTTTTGCAAGATTCGAACCCGAGTAGCGATTGGCATGCGTTTGGTATGACTCTCTTTGCAGAGAGAAAGAAGAGTGGTGCTATTTCCGATCGAGATATTGATTTGCTGTATTTTCGGTCCAATCATCTTACTGTGGAGAGGTGTTGCGTTGCTGTTTCTGCTTCTGCGGGTAAGAATTTCTGTGTATGTGCTTGCAGCCCAGTCTTTTCATGTCGCTACCCAGTTTGTAAGTACTCTGGGGCGGCCGAGAAAGCGGACAGTAGTAACGTCTTAGTTTTCTAATTTTCATTAACAATCCAAGTAGTCTACCCAAGCCTTTGGGTCGACTACTTCAATTGTCTTACAACTGTTTAATAATTTTGCTTGATCAAGTCTTTTGGAAGATCATAGGTTTGAAAGAGTTAGGACAATGAGAATCACCTACCAAAATCTATTGCCACTTTCCTTCCTTGTGTGAGAATACCATGCTCTGATTTAATCCTCTCAGGTATATGAAGAAAATGAGAACGCTGGCTCTCGAGGTTCGTTATTACAGAAACTGACTTTCGCATAGAATCCAATCCACCCTCAACCCAAATCAGCCAGAGACCTTCTTTACGAAATCTACTCTGCGAAGAAACCTTTCAACAAGGACGCGCCTGGTTTCAAGAATGCCTCCAAACCCATTCCGAGTCAAAAGACCTCCCTAAGCCACAACTGCCCACTCGAGTCCTCGATGTCGGATCACTGGCTGATCCTCGACTGCGAGTCTACGAACCTCCAAAACCCACCTACGATGACTATATAAATCTGAGCTACTGCTGGGGAAAGGAACATTTCCTAACCACAAGGAAGGAGAATTTCGACAGCCACAAACAGTCGATGGATGTAGAAGACCTTCCCAAAACGATCGCAGATGCGGTGCTTGTTACAAGGGGACTGGGCTTTCGATATCTGTGGGTTGATGCTCTGTGCATCATCCAGGATAGTCTCGAGGATAAGATGAATGAAATCGGGGCGATGGGGGATATTTACAATGATTGTACACTTACGATTGCAGCTGTAAGTGCTTCAGCTGTCGCAGAAGGATTCTTGAAACCAAAACCGAAATTGATCGCCAACTTACCTTATCACATTGGAGATATGGTTGGCGAGGTCGAACTTGCTCATCAAAAGGGTGTGGATCTATGGCAAGAAACTATGTATACCAGGGGTTGGTGTTTGCAAGAATATCTGTTGAGTCCTCGAGTACTATTGTTCACTAACACAGAGGTTTTGTGGTCGTGTCAAAGTAAGAAAGACCATCTTTCTGTCTTTCCAAACTACTTTACTCAGCTAATCTCATTGGGACGGGGACTCTCCTAGCTATCCAAGCATGCTACATATTCTCACAAAACTAACACAATAACAGCAAGTCCCTTTACCCGTCCAGACAATACCCACGTATCATATGGGTACGACCGCTCTGAAATCACCTCCTCTCCATTTCGTCGACTCCGCTCTCACATATTCGATAATACCTCATCGCAAACTCACTCATCACCTTCTTCCACATCCACGTCTACCACCGAAGAATTCAATCTCGAAGACTACAAAGACTGGACAAGCCTAATATCAAACTACTCTCTCCGCCAGCTAACCGTTCCCTCCGATCGCCTACCCGCTCTCTCCGGCGTAGCAGGAAAATACCAATCCTCCTGGAACTCAACCTACCACGCGGGACTTTGGAGTAAACACTTCATCCCACTCCTCTCCTGGCACCGCAGCACCTACAACAAACACGCCCTCGAGCTCATCGACGCCGAACTCTACAAACCCTTCACCAAATGGCGCGCACCAAGCTGGTCATGGGCCAGCATCGAAGGACCCCTCGAATTCGAATTCCAAAACGGCTACGCCCAAACCTCAACTAGCAGCACACACAAGCAGCCCGACAACCCCAAGAAAATCCCCGACCACATCCGCGCCAAGATCGCAGCCGGACAACTCAAAGCCTCCAAATCACAGCCACCCAGGATCCCAGCCGCCAAACTCATCTCCTGCACCACCATCCCCGTCTCCCCTCTCCTTCCCCTCGGTGAGATCACCTCCGGTGTCTTGGTCCTGCAAGCGCAGGCCATCCCCCTCTCTGCCTCGCCCTTTTATGCCCATGAGAATGTGAGTGAGAAGGGGAAGATGTATTGGGATTGGATCCCTCCGCCTGCGATATTGGGGGAGGAGAGGATCGCGGGTTGTTGGGTTTTGTTGCTTGGGGAGGCGTATGGGGGGAAGGGGAGGAGTTTGGCGGTTGGTCTGGTGGTTGAGGAGGTTGGAGAGGAAAAGGGAGAGGGACAGGAGGAGAGGTGGAAGAGGGTTGGGGTGTATACTTATCTTGGGAAGGCGGCGGCGAAGGCTTGGGCGGGGGGTGAGAAGAGGAGGGGGTTTACTGTTGTTTAGTAGGAGTTTGGGATATTGCTCTCTGTCCTTTCTCGCTACACTACTCGTACTTGGTGGAAAAGGGTGGAGGGGGGGGAGTATTGTCCTAAATTCTTTCTTACGTTGGTACAGTATTATCTTTTTGTGTGTGTGTGTGTGTGTGTGGTTCTTTTCGAGGGATGGTTTGTTTGAAATTCATTTTATAGTAAGGGCTCTAGATAGTTTTCTTAAATAGATTGTAGATTGTTTGTTTACTTCCATCTCGCTTAATTATGGCCATAGAATCTTTTCATCATCGAAAGAGATACTACCTATCTCCTCCTATATCCTTGTCCCTCCAAGCTATCTTTTCGTATTTAGCGAATCCTTAATAATAAGTTAATGTAAACGCGTCTCTTTTTATATAAATCTAGGTATAGGAAGGTTTAGGGTCGGAGTTTTAGGCTAGGCGTGGTAGGTGGTAGGTATCGTTTATAAAGGAGAGACTAGGTATTGAGTTTATATATAATGGGGGTTAAGTTATCTGATATAGAAGTTGGGAGGTATATGTAAAATTATATATTATTTTTATAGGGGATTGATGTTTACTAGAAGCTGTTTTATGTGTCTATGATTAGAGGAAATGTTTTTCTTGTAGGATAAGGATAAGGATGAGGATAAGGAGGTAGAAGGAGATGGTTTGGTTATTACTATGTTAGTTGAAGTGATATAGACTATCTCCTACACGGTTCGGGGCTCTTTCAAAAAGTCCCCCGGGACGTGCCTACCTGGCCGAAAGAAAAACGTAAATATATACCAAGATTTACAAACGTCTTCTATTACTTATATCATAATTAGTAGCTTAAGCCGAAAGTTTTGTACGGTTCTGGTTGAGTAATTAGTCTGTGATTATAATAATATATCAGACGGTTTTGCTTTAATCAAATCCAAATCTTGTTATAGAGTATATGATCGCGGTTTAATCAGATGGCCTTATATTATCGCTTATTATACTTGAACTTTGGAGCATTTTGATAAGTTGGCATTGCGAAGGTGTTTGAATAGACTTATATTTATACATTAAAACAATTCTACGCGAGGGTGCTTAATCCTGGTCCGAAAGACCTCCGAACCGTGCGGGAGATAGGAAGAGCGTTACGTCTTTGAACTTTTGAAGATCCAGGTTGAAGAACGGTAATAAACAGAGTAGTATTGTAATACTATAGTACGCGTTCCACAAGTTGAATTACGATGCTAGAATGTGAATTTCCCATATGTACTAATTCGAGCATTCAAAACCACCCTACCCAAATGCACAAAATAATGATTACCATCCAACACCTCCCCTCCATTCCTCATATCTTGTTAACCTACCACCATGCCATGCCACCCCACATCACATCACAAGACCATATTAGTAAACAAATACCTAAACCCCTGCCACGTCTCCAAAACCGTCGGACGGATCTGCGCGGGGGGAAGTACAAACCCATAATTCCCTGTATCCCTCAACTCAATCGTAAACACATACTTCGCCTTCGTCACATCCTGCGCATAATCGATACTCCCACCCGCAACCTGGTAAAGAGTGCCGCAAAGCGGACCAGCGATGTAGTCTGTGCCGTAGACGGCTTCGATGGCGCGAGCGGCCCCTGTGGCGAGGTTGGCGTTTGCGGTGGAGACGCGGGCGGTGCAGGAGTAGCCGTATGCTGTGGGTTTGTTAGGATTGAGGGGGTGTGGGTTGGAAAGGAGGGGACGGACGGGTCATGAATAGTTGGCTGTAGGAGTGGATGTCCATGTATAGTTGGACGCCTTGCGTTGCTTGGATGTTGTTGAGGAAGGCGGAGAGACCTTGGTTTTCTGGGGAGTCGCTTGGTTGGGAACCTGTGGATTGTGTTATTAGTGTTTTTGAAAGGTTCAGTGGATGGGTTACCTTTGAAAGTCTCATCACAGGGGTTGGTGGAAGACCCGGCACCGTCCCATCTGATGTTCTTGTTAGTATTGACATGAATTTGGGATTTTTTGAGCTTGAGTTGATTGGTACCTGTAATTCCAGTTTCGGTTGACGTCACGTCCGAGACAGTTGCTGTTGGGAGCTGTTTGTCGGTTTTTACGCCATAGTCTGTCGTTGGTTTGCGTGTAGACGAAGCCTGATATGATTAGATTATACTCGAGTTTCCAATAAAAGATAAAATTGGAGCAAAAGAAAGTGCATACCGTCTGGATTAACAACTGGAAAGACGAAAAAATCATACTTGTCAAGGAATCCCTTAATCTCGGTATTGGTGGTATAGTTAGAGAGTAAGTTGTAGATCACATATTCAACCGTCATAGTACTAATCCACTCCCTGGCTAATTGTAACAACCTCATTAGCCATGGTTGCCTTTTCCAAAGTCGATTTTGATAACTTACCGTGAACGGTGCCGTGGAGAACAACTGCAGGTTTTCCTTTGGCAGCTCCATAGAAATGTAAACCAGTGATTGCTCTGCCTGCGACCGAAGCGCCACTAGTTACGATTTCTGAGTTGCTTGGATACATGGATTGTAATGTTGTCAAGAACTGGAGATGGTCGGCATAGGGATGATATGCGTTGAACCAGGTTCCGAGATTGACAGCTTCAGCTATAACGACATTATGTTAACATCGTTTTGGTAAGCTCAGTATCTTGCATTTCATGGCTTACCAGAAACATCAGCAGCAGATGATTCCTCGGCAATGCTTGCCCCGAGATCCTCATGCATGACTTCAATATTGATGCCATTGATCATAGAACCAAACTCTTCTGCCTTCTCGGCTGGAACAACTAGATCAACATTGCTGTTTGCTTTTGGTACCCCATCAGCACCCACTCCCTTCCAGACAGGCAATTGAAGCTGATCAATGATTTTCATCACAGGAATCACATCTTCACCAACAGGAATTCGGATCGCCTTGGCTCCATCGTAACTGACCGTTGCCAAGACGCCTCTAACGGCCGAGGAAGCCAAAGCGAGAGAAAGAACTTGAGACTTCATTTTTCCAAAAGAATAACGAGGACGCAGGGACTATCAAGAATCGGGATATCAAGATAGTATTTATGTTCCACTCTTTCGTTTCCACGCCTTCCTAAGTTGGAAGTCGAAGGACAACGTCGAATTGGCACAGGCTAGAGCTTGTGAAACATACTTGCGCCTTGGAAGTCCCGTGTGTTGCTCAACACCAATCAACGCCCCAATTGCCGACAGAATACAAATTACCAGTGCGAACTCCCTTATCTAGGTCTAGATGTATACAAGGATTCACTCGCGAAGAGGAAATCATGGTGTCTTGTTGGTGCGGAGCGCGCCGGTGGGAAGTATATGGTATGCAGCGAAGTGGATTGCGATTGGGTGCGGGGGAGGTTCATGGAGGGGTAAGAGAATGGCTCGCTAAGCAGGAACCGACTGGGATGGAGCTGCCATCGGGGTAAAATGGATAATTTCTAGGTTGATAAGGTTGTGTAAATAAGAATTGCTAACCGCTGGAGAGAACAAGAGCTTCCTCTTTTGTCTTGGGCCAGACTTGGCCATTTATAGGACCTGCCCTATATTTCCCCCCCAATACTTGGAGTAAGTCCTGTGGCTCCTAGGGAAGACGGTGTTATAGCACAATAAAGTATAGAAAGGGGATTCTTCGAACGTTCCTATCGTACTATCGTACTATTGTTTTTTAGCTTTGAATACTTTCGGTTACAAGTTTCAACATAACATACATATATCTGCAAGAAACCGAAATAGTTCTAGAGAACGATCTATTGAATATGGAATGTAGAAGGAGAATGCATGTACACGAGCACAAACTAGGCTGTGAGGTACATCAGTTACCTCTTTTTGATAGCAATCGACGAAATAAACTAGGTAGTGCTTTGGAAGGTCCGGCATATGAGGAGAGATATCGGGATTGAGGAGCTCGCGTAATCAAGGTTAACCCTACTGGTGGGTATTCATTGTGCCAAGATGGGTGATGGCCGGATAAGATTCCGGATGCTGTAGATCGTACTATGTAAAAGAGCTTATAGAGAAAGTGGAAATACTAGCTCGTTAATAGTAATTTTATGAGTTATCATTCAGTTTTAATAGAAGTCTCAAGTACTTTCATGGAAATTTATCTTCTTCCGCATGCTATGAGCCATGAAGAGAAAAGGAAAAGGGGGGAGCTTCGCTAGCCTTTGTAGCCTGTATTTTTGACACGTGACATCACAGAGGATGGATATGAGATTGTTTTCTCCATACAGACTTGAGATGGTCTGGATAATCGCTCCTAAATCGCTTTGATATATATCTAGGCAGTTCATGGGTCATAAAAAGTCACAGCAGAACCACTTCCTTTGAGGAAATGATCGATCACGTGCCTCAAAATCCACCACAATATGGATGGAAACCTCTCAACATCGACATCTAGCATGCTTTGTGTGACAAACCCAAACTTAATTCGATATTGGACTATTCAAGTCTTTCAATATAGCAACTGCAAGTAAACAAGCATACAGTTCTGAAGTTCCCGAGTACAGATGCCATTTCTTATATATTACGAGGATTGTCATACAACCGTTCCTAATCATTGATCAACCTCTCGTCAACTTCGTATCACCTCAACAACAACATCTCAGAAGCAAAATCCCATAATAATCCCAAGTCTACCACCATGAGTCACTCGGCCAATAATTTGAACCAGAGGAAGACCTCACTGCTCTCTCGGACACATATCGAAATGGTGCTGGCTCCTGATTGGCTGTATCAAAAAAAGCCTTGTCCAAAAAGTATCCGAGGATGGCGAAACTCTCAAGTATATATCTCTATAAAAACCGCCCGATTTCCTATTTTCATTCTCAACTAAACCTCCCTCTTATCATAAATCTTCAATATGTCAGATTCTCATTCTCATTCTCACTCACACACCCATGGGAACAGCTCACACACACATTCCCACGACGTAACAGAAGACAACCGCTCACACTGGAAGTAGGTCACATATAAAACAAGAATACCATTCAACTCACCCATCATACACACCAATACCAAACCTCTCCTCAAAGAACGAGAATCATCAAGCTAACCAAATCCCTAGCGAAAACGCCTCAACATACAATACCAAGTTCTCCACAACAATCACCCAAATCATCGCCGAAATCCAAGCAAGGACAGCCTGGATAGGCGTTGACTGGATCGAAGACACCTCCGATTCAGAGAAAGAAGAGACCACCACCTCCCCATCTACAACTCCCCAACGAACCGTTCGCTTACTAGACTACGCCTGTGGCACCGGTCTCGTCTCACGCGTAAGATACACCTCCCTCATCCCACCATCTCCTCACCCCATAAGACGAATCAACTAACAACAAACCCAGGCCCTAGCCCCCCACATAACCCAATCCATCGGCCTCGACATCTCCCCAGGAATGGTCTCCGAATACAACACCCTCTTCTCCAACCAAGGCATCCCCCCCTCCGAAATGTGCGCAAAAGTGGGGAACCTCCTCGACGCCTCCGACCCCTCACCTGTCTCCCTCTCCGGACCCTCATTCTTCAACTTCGACATCGTCGCCGTAGGTCTGGGTTTCCACCACTTCGAAGACCCGTTTTTCGCCGCGAAGCAACTCGTTGCGAGGCTGAAGGTGGGTGGTGTGTTGATGGTTATTGATTTCTTGCCGCATGAGCATGTACATGGGCATACTCATGCGGCGTCGAAGACGGTTGTGCACCATGGGTTTGAGATGGAGGAGGTGAGGAGGATGTTTGGGGATGTGGGGGCGGGTGGGGGGTTTGATTTGCAGGTTTTGGGGAGGGGCGTTGTTTTTAAGGGGGCGAGGGAGGGAGGGGAGGAGATGAGGAGGAGTGTTTTTATGGCTAGGGGGACGAAGGTTTAGAGGAGGGAGGAAGTAGCTAAATCTTTGGGATTAATAGATTGGATTAGGTAGAATATTCGTAAACACGCGACTGTTATCATTAAATTGTTTGGAACAATAGGTAATAATATCTATAGCAATAAGTACAATATAACACGAGAACACTCGACTCTTAACTTTTACAAGGACCACTCTATCCCCACAAGACTTTACATAATAAAATAGATCTCTCAAGAGGTCCCTCCTAAGCCTGGAAGATACCTACCTCATTCCTCATCCAAAAGTCATCCAATCACACACATCAAAATTCACAGTATAGAAACCTTACACCACATCAAGCCAAACCAAATAAGACTACAATCCAAGCCACCTCCCCATCACTCAAAACCCCTCTATCCCTATCCACCTATTCCTATCCCCATTCCCATCCAAACCCAACCCAACCCAACCCAACCCAAACCACCTACCCAATACTCAAAACCCCTCTATCCCTATCCACCCCTATCCCTCTCTCTATCCCCATCCAAACTCATCTCAACCCAACCCACACCAACCCTCCCTCAAACCAAAAAGATAAACAAGGTACACTTAGTCATACCAATATAAATAAGGAGGCGAACATAACTCTATACACACCTACTCTATCCACGCCTGCGTCATAGAAAACAATTATCTAATTTATCCAAGAGACCTTACACAACCAATTAATTACAAAAATATTTTACAATAATCAATAATCAATAACTTTTACTCCTAATTAAGCTAGGTAAAATAAGACAACTAATTAAATTGTGCTACACCTTTGGTATAAAGACTTTGGATGGCGTGTATAGAGTAATAAGTAGGTTTCTTACTACCATAAGCGATATATTGTATTCTTGCAATGGAATTATACCTCTCATCTCTCTCCTTCTTTAGATCTTGCTTATACCTATATCCTAAAACCAAAACCAAAATCCTACCTTTCTTCTCCCTCTCCCCCCCCCCCTACAAATTCCATATCAAACACTATATATCCTACATACAAAAAATTCTTACCTCTACCCTCCTATCCTTCAACCCTTCACATAAAAATTTCCCCAAAAACCCATCTTCTATCAGTATCCCTACGCCCCAAAAAAAGAGAAAAAGAAAGAGGTAAATCTAAACACTCATCCAACATCCAACCTCTTGATACAATATCTATAAAAACAATTCTTACTAATAGCAGAAAGTTAGAAGAATATCCTTCCAAGTCGAAAAATCAAGAATCAATTCCATTTCTTTTCTCGCAATGCAATACGATACGATATAATATAACCCAATTCCCACCACAAGTCCAAACTCCAACTCCTATACCCCTTGTTTCTTTTGTAGCCATACCCATAACCATGATGATATCCATCCACTCTATCCCTATCTACCAAGCCATCTCATCTCATCTATGTATACAGAAAAGCCCTACCAAAACCCCATCCCCATCCCAACACCCACCTATCCCAAGACCCCCCTTCCCAAAGCCCCAAGACTAGCTTCATACCTTGCAGGACTATGATCAAGTAACATACTCCCCCCAAAAACCACCTCCCCAAACCTGCGATCTACATCCCTAATATACTTCAACACCGCCCTGGTAGCCGGTCGTCCCAGTCCACTTCCAGCAGATTCCCCCGGCTTGCGATCCACAAAAGCATCCCGTTTCAGCACCGGACAAGTCTCAACGACAAACACCTCCCCAGGCGGCACGAGTTTGGGTGAGAGCATACATGCACGAAGAACCTTCAGTGCACTGTACGCCCATTGATCCTCATGAACGGGATCGGAGACACCGGAGCTGAACGCGCCGGTTTTGCTGCCGGACCCCGCATACCATTTTTCGCGAATGCTGTTGGTGATTCCTGCCCATACACGGGTGCGAAATTCCCCCTTTGCACCGGAATCATCGGTTTTGAAGGCGAGAGCGACGGCTTGCAAATCATGGAGTATACCAAGAGAAAGGTAGGGAACGAGGTCCTGACCATTAACAATCGTAGTGATGAGTCCTCTAGTTGCGAGTCGAAGACTAGAGGACAGCGTGGAGGGAGGTCCATATGCATATACATGTATGGGTCGGCCGGCTGGGAGATGGAGGTTTGCTGGTGCAGTGCCGTGTTCATTTCGGGCTGTGAGGAGTAGTTGTGGACTGGATGCAGAAGAAGTAACAAAGGCGTTTGTTGAGGGGTCAGATGCGGGTTCTGATATCATGATTGCAAGGAGTGCTGAAACACCTGCACCAAGGGAATGTCCGCATAGCACGAGGCCATATTCTGGAAATTCTTCGAGAGCTGCGGTAATAGTTGCCATGACCCGACTACTTCTACCATTGAGGAGGCGTCGAGCTGAAGCATGGATTCCTTTATGGACGCTGTAATTCTGGCCTCGCCAATTCATTTCATCGTAATCGCAAGTCAAGTCGGTAAGAACATCTTCAAACCCAAGTGTACCGCGACATGTCAATACCACTGCTTTGGATTCGTGGTCGAGTGACACAAAATGTACCATTGGCACGCCAGTATCGGTATTTCCGGATGAATCAGTTCCACCTTGAGGATCAACAAAAGATGAGAGTAGAATGGTATCGGGTGGAAGTTGAGTGTGGCTTGAGAAAGAATGATGTTCATAATGGTGAGCAGGATCAAATGATTTGCGTGAAGTGACATTCGAGGCGGTGATACCCATGACTCTTAGAAAGCTCGCACCATATGAGGCCGAAGCAAAGCGTACAAATCGAGTGATATTTCTAACAATATGGTGTTGTGGAAACATTCCATCAGCGTGACCAGTCCTAGCCATCGTCTCTAAAGTCTTGTAATCTTCGAATGCGCTATGCTGAGGAGTGGGAGCCAATACAAGTGACGTTGACGAGCCATCTGTTTTGAGTGTATATATACTTGGTACGTAGCTTTTTGATCTTCGATGCTGATGATGAGGGGACATTTGAGTGTGGGAAAAATTCTTTTCGGATCTTGCTCTCATCAAGCTACTCTGATTCCTGAGGTGCGTTCGGTATGCGCTTGGGGAACTGGGCCGTGTATCTGCAGAATGAATAGAATACGTTTCCGACTGAGAGATTACGGAACCTCTTTGCTGGTCTTGAATTGAGTAATAGCTTGCTCGCGATGGACTGGGTGGCATATCTGATGACTGTTTAAAGCCCAAATCTCGTGACGTAAAATAGTTTGGATTTCCTCGTTGTGGAGGTCTAGGAGCATCTCGAAGGGGTGACAGATTGGAAGCCTGCAGAGGAACTGGAATATAGGATTTTGGAGGAGGATTCGGTGGGGGAGCTCCCCATTGCGGCTTTGGAGGCGGCTTGGGTGGTGTGGGTTCTTCAATCTGCGGTTCCTTATTCAGCAAATGTGAAATAGTGGACGATGGCCCCTTTTTGATGGCACTGCGGAAAGATGACTTTCTGACTGGCGGTTTCGGCGGAGGTTTTTCTTTTTCTGTCTTGGTTTTCCTCACTGGCTGGGCTTTCGTAGTCATCACCTTTTTGGGAGGTTGGTTCTCTGTACCACTTATAGAAGATGACGAACTCATAGGCTTCCTTGGGCGCTTCTGGTTTAGATATGTTCCCGTTATGTCTTTTGGTGCCAGGCTACTGGGAGGGGTAGGGGTAGGAGTCTGGTTCTCAGCATCAGTACAAAGACGATATGTCGGTCCTGAGGGTGGGGTCTGTGGGTAAAGGATTGATGGTACTGATTTTCGTCTTTCCGGTGATGGAGTTCGAGGTGACCGGAGTTCAAGGGGTTGAATTCGACGTGGGGGCACGTCTTCAAGATGCAATCTACCATCTCTTATGCCGTGGTCAATTTCTTCCACCGGACCATCAGGCTTAACATTTGTTGTACGAAGGGCATCTCGCTTAATTTGATAGACGACCCGGTATTTTGGGGCCACTTTCTGGCCACTTTTGACCATTATTCCTTCCAAACCTGCATCAGTCGCATTGCTTGCATCCTCGATGACTTCCACGCCAGGAGGAGGAGAAAGGTCTGGAGGCTCTGCGCCTGTTATTTCGACAGAAATAGTCTTCGTGACAACGGTCGAGGTGGTAATCGAAACTGATGCATTGGAGGGTAAAGACTTCATGATCCGCCGGCGAAGGTGGATTTCTGGTAAGTCTTCTTCCGATTCATCTGTACTGCTTTCATCCCTTTCAATTGTCTCTAAGACTTCACCGCCCGTCGTGCTCACGAATGACATTGACTCCGGCCTTGAAGTCCGTCCCGTGCTGTTTCTGTCAATATTTCCCACCACATCGGCTCTTCGACCGTTATCCAAAATCACCACATCCCAAACCACATCTTCTTGCCTCCCTGCCTTAATTTCCAGATTCGTGGATTTGATACACCAACTTTGCAATAATGCCAATCCAGTAATTCCACTCAACAGATCCGCCACTCCTACTTTCTCGCCCTCTCGACCGGTGGCGGGATTTTGAAATTCCCTGCGGATCAAGGTAATAATGCTAGCAATCGCTCGACTCGAATCGGTACTTCCCAGTATACTGTCCAAAGCCCCCAGAAGTTGCTGGCTAAGATCTGTTGCTGAATGCAGAGCAGCCGAGCTTAGATGAAAGCCCGTACTCGCAGCAAACGAAATGCCGGTAATAGTTCTATGTAAAGTCGCCACGCTCTTGTCTAAGATGCTCTCCGCCTCGGCCCGTCCCACTTCTCCTATACTTCTTGCAGACACCTCTCGACCGGATCTGAGGAGGATGGCTTCGACCAAGGCTCGACTGAGTTCGAGACTCGTGAGGGTGGTTATTCTTGCGCCATCGAGAGCAAGGCCAGCAATGAACGTGCCCAAGCGGATGTAAATGGATGATGAGCGGGTCACCAATGTCACCACGTTCGCGATCGGCTCCGGAAGTAAGGTTGTGCCTGTGGCATTGGGACAGTGTCTGGCGAGCTCTAAGGCCTGCTGGTTATTTTCTTCATCATCCTGCTGCTCCATTGCGACTATTGAAGGGTAGCGCTATGTTGAAAGGAATCTTGGTACAGCAAGTGAATTTTCCCATCCGGTGCAAAGATTTGTTGGAAATGTATTCGGGTTTAGTTGGATATTCAAGCATAGTATAATGCTGCTGGTGGGTGGAATTGTTGAGAATGGAAGTGTTCATGAAGGGGCGAATGGCCAATGGAATGGCTGCAGCTGGCTCGCGGGGCTAGCACTTGACTGACGTGGGGGAGTTGTATCAAGGTTTGGAAGGCGGGCGTGGGCGTGGCATGTGATAAGGTTGCGCGGATAGAACCTTCGCAGGACTAGTGGTGAGAGTAGTCGAGGAGTCGAGGTCGAGCGACCAACGGGACCACGGCAAGTACGCAACGGATTCACAACAAATTCCGTATAACTTTCCTACGCCCAACAAATGCGGCCATTGGAACTTTGACGCAGTCCAGGCAGTGTGGAATGTGCGAGGAGAGAGTTCTCGGCAACATGTCACTTTTCCCCTTGCATGGGCTCTCTCGTCAACAATTCAATTCTGGCTGCCTTATCGATAAGCTCTGGCTGTCAGGGGCGCCGTCTAGCTTATTGCTTGTTTGGGTACTCGTAACCTCGGCACAAAAGCCAATCAGCTCGTGGTCAAGACTCCTTGGCTCAGGTACAGTGCACCTGGGAAGTATCGAGGGTATTCGAGTACAGTACTGGTACTTGGTGAAGGTAGATAAGATATCCATCGTTCAATGACGCCATTGGTGTGAGTGTTGTGCATTTATACTGCACTACAAGTACGGGTACTTGAGTACGAATGCTCCGTACAATACCGTACAGTACCGTATCCACGAGATGGCACTAAAAATAGACGTCGAGGACTCGTCCTCGTCCTCAGCCCTGTCAGGAACGGCTTACGCTGCTGGAGACGACAAAAACAACTCTCTCCTTCCCAACTACTCAATACTACAAATCCCCCTCGTCAACTTAGGAAAAAAGAATCAAAATCCATTCACGCCCAAACTCCACCATAGCAACATCTTCACTTGACGTTCAACTCCCAACAAAGAGCTCTTTAAGGTTGCTATTCACCCGGTCTTACCCCGTAACAACACATCATAACCCCTCAACTCCAGACCCCTCTACAATCAGAACTCGAACAGAACACCAACCTCCCCTCAAATCTTCCTTCTCTACAAACACCAACCGCCGAAATGAGCGCATCAAAACCAGACGTCAAGGTCGAATCCACAACCAACGGCGAAGACTGGACAGATGTCGGCGAAACAGGTCTCTTCAGCCCAGATCTGATCTCCCCCGCCGTCGCCTCCATCCTCCCAGACGCATACACCATCCGCCCAATGCGAAATTCCGACTACGGCCGTGGCTTCCTCGACTGTCTGCGCGTTCTCACAACCGTGGGCGATATCACCGAACCCCAGTGGAACGAGCGATACGAGTGGATGAGTACACAGGGAAAAGGTGGATACTACCTCCTCGTAATTGACGATGGCACCCGAATCGTTGGTACAGGGGCATTGATTGTCGAGAGGAAATTGTGTGTACCCAAACCAACATTCCTCTCCTGTGGCATGCGCACATTTTCGCAACACCAGACTGACACTTTTGGAATTACCTAGCATCCACAAACTCGGCCTAGTCGGCCACATCGAAGACATCGCCGTCGCCAAAGACCAACAAGGCAAAAAGCTCGGTCTAAAAATCATCCAAGCCCTCGACTTCATCGCCGAGAAGGTCGGCTGTTACAAGACTATCCTGGATTGCAGCGAAGCCAACGAGGGATTCTATGTCAAGTGCGGCTTCAAGCGGGCAGGACTGGAGATGGCGCATTATTACGAGGCGCCAAAAAGTACATAATACTCTATGTCGAGTGGGAAATGAAGCACATAAACGTTGACTGCATCATAGAATCTGTTCTGTAGCGTTGCGTTGCGTTTAGATGGGAATAGAGGGTAGGAATGCCCCGGGCGTTTTTAATCATGATAGATAGGTGGAAATATGAAAACCTGTTCACAGGAAATTCAATCTCTCTAATTAGGTCCCTTGACTACATAGCTCTTCTTCAACCTTCCTCTACATGACCACTTGCTCCTCACTTAAGTAAGATATTAAGAGTTCCGAATTTCCTTTCACTAGTTACGAAAAGTCCTGGAGTTCAAGTTATGCCCTTTGTATAAATAAGTTTTTATATGTATTTATTCTTTTATTTAGATAGTATAGTTTAATAGAATGAAAGAGTTTTTAAATAAGTGTTTTTATTTTTTAAGCTAGTAGATTATTAGGTTTTTTTTAGTAGGTTAAATAGGTAAAGTAATAAAAATACACAGATCCGTTTTTAGAAATATAGTATTTTAGTTATAGGGAATTTATTATAAGAGGATTTTATTATCTTAATTTAGTAGGAAATTTAATAAAACGCGTTTAAATTAGAAGCTTACTAAATATAAAAAATTATCTTCGTAAAATAAGAATTATAAAGGAAATAGAATATCTTCGAAATTCCTTTGAGCTTATCTACGAAATTTATTAATACGCTAATACTTAAGATATTCTTTTCTCGTAGATATAGTAAAGAAAGCTAGTCTAGGTATACTTTCTAGGTTTAGTAGCTAGATTATAGAATGTATAAAAGATAGACTCGCGCGAAGAGAGAGACTTTATCCGGAAATAATAAAAGAGGTAAAAGAACTTAAAATAATAGAAAGAAGAGTTAAGGGGTAAGTTCTTTTAGAAATTTAAGATATAAAGTAAAAAGTCATAGAGTTAATTGTGCTTTTAAAAGATCACTCGTTAGGTAAACTGGTAAAGGGGGTAGACATTTAAAGCTGGACACTAGATTTTTAGCTAAACCAGCGAACCAGACACTCAGATCTAAGCGATGTAGACTTTTCTCACATAAAATCTACATGATACAGTAGTATCAAGCTTTAACTGTCCTCCCCTTTTGAAAGTGACATTATAGAACTTTATGTAAAATGCATTTCATAATATTTTGATTTATAATTTTCGATTCTCAGCTTCCTCTATGAGGTACTCGCATTTGGCATTAGGCAATAAACACCTCGCTTGGCTTAACCACGGTGGGGCAATTATGGAGTGATCGACGTCTCTCCTCGGGTTCCTACCGGGTAAATCATACGCGAAAAAGTCTACTTCTATAACAAAAAAAATTCAAGTCCCTATTCGCATGTTTTGCTGATACTTGGGGCCGAAGCGTGTTGTCTTGAATATAAACGAGATAGAAAAGAAGCGTATTATACTTTCAAGATTAGAGAGAGGTTAAAAAGAAGATTCTTACCATTGGGTATGTTCTTCGGTTAGATTCGTATTACCACATCTACTTCATGCAATCACCGTTCAGTTGACCTTATAGGCAACTCCTAAGACAATCAAGATGCCAACCACGAAGCACCGGACTAGCCGATCATTTACCTTGGCCAATCTAATCAGATGGGATCCACTTTGATCTGATAAGATGGGTCGTGAGGGAAATACGGAGATATCCTTGGCGGGTAAAGCGTTGTTATGGAAGTTGCAAAATGTCTTAGGAAATTATGAGTGTCCATAACTGTACTATATAAGTTACAGTCACCGTCACCGTCCAGAAAACATCAATCTGCCTATCACACTCAGCAGTCTATCATTCTTTCTTCTCACAACTATCATTCTTTTTTGAACACCTATCAATAATTCCAACAAAAACCATCAAGATGCGCTTCTTCGCTACTCTCTCAATCCTTGCCCTTACCTCCGTCACCGCTGCTCAAATAACGGTTGCATGTATTCCCTCCGTCTCAAGGGATTGCATTACCCAATGCACAAACAATGGGGTAAGAATCTCCTAACTTTCTTGCGATTGCAAAAGAATTTACTAATTCCGCGGTAGGGTATCAGTGAGTTGGAATGCACTCAAGGACCAGGTGTTAGCGACACCAGCAGCAGATGCTGCTGCGGTAGCGGTCTTTGCACTTCCGCCTAGATGGAGTTCTTAAGCTTCGTTGAAATTCATGGATGATGTCAAGATTATGGAGGATGTTCAGGTGAATGGAGGATGTTAATATAATTGGAGGATTCGAGCTATAGTAAAATTCCGAATTTATTATACACTCATTTCATTCTACAGTATAGGATCGAATTACCACCTGTGCAGTGCTTGACCAGCACAATTACCAGTAGATTAAAGTAAAGTCAGGTTCATAGTATGTGTAGTGTTTCCATGAGAGAAAAGCCCAAGTGCTGTGAGGGTTCTTGTGTAGGTGAATGTGGCTGAGTATAGTGTTTTGGTGCTTCGCATAGTGAATGCAATAGTGGGGTGGAGTTGCCTGTTTGAGGCTAGCGTGGAGCTTCCCGGTAGGAAAAAGCGTAGACCCTTGTTGTGTATAAATAATAGCTAGCTCTAGGACTTCTTAGAAGACTCGCGATCAATCTCAACCTTATTATGGAACAGTCCTTGTACGCTCCTAGTGATACCCTGACAGTGCTCCATACACCCCCTTGCTTACATCTAACCAGAACCGCATTTAAAGCACGCATAAACTAAATAAATACAAATTTTGTATATATAATATAATTGCCTTCTTCTACTAACCGAAGACCTGCGGGATATGGACTGTTTTCTTACCACGTGACTAGTTCTCCTTACGCCTTCTGGCATCCGACTCAGGGAACCGAATCTCGAGATACCTCTGTTAGAATGAAATTGTTCTAAAAGCGTAATATAACAAAAATAGTTATATAAAGAGCTTAGGATTCATGTTACCGTTCACTTTTATTAGCCTATGTACACTAACTTAGTCATCCTTCTTATACTAGAAGTTTAGTATCCCTTCCAGACGCGAGAGTACCAAAAAAACGTGCGCTCGAAGTGGATATAAGTAGATGCGATAAACGGGTCAAATTAAGGCTCAAATGCTTAGAAACGCGATCTGGTTAGCCAAACGACTTTGACTTATGGAGAAAATGTCATAGAAGTGGACACCATGACTCCACTTTAGAGTGCCCGTTTTTTTGGTACTTTCGCATCTGGAAGGGATAATAGCAGTTTATATAATATATAGAGAGTAACGATCTCATAGGCATAGTATAAAGGACAAGTAATTATATAAATTTTGCGGTTTGCGACTTGCGATTACGCCACATGGTTCAATGGATACCGTAGCTGCCAACTATATTTTTGTTTATAATGCAACGTCGCTAAGCGAGACAGCTATTGACTCGTTCTTAGCCCTCCCGTAAACTAGCCAGATCTTCTAACAACTACACTGATTCAAATACAGCAATAATCGTTCCACACGACTCATTTGTACTTTTGTAATGGGCTATCCTACGTGTTTCAAAAACAAACACTTTTATTTAACTTTTTTTACTAATCAAGTTACCTAGCCTTCAAGTACTACGGTACTGTACTACTGTATTATACTACACTTGGATAGACTTTATCAAACCTAGTTTCCATACATGGTTGTACAGATATACCGTTGGTTAGAATATTAAGGGCGCTAGCATACCATGTTTAATACGAGAAAGAGGGTTAGAGAAATTCCCCAAGGTACGCAAACTCTGTCCCTAAAGGAACTTTTTGCAAGGATTCGGCACTCTAAAGTTTTGCATCCCAAGTTTTACTTTCATCCCAGGGTGTACACCCCAAGTCCTGGGCTTTACATCCCAAGTCAGTACCCCAAAGTCTAATAGTTGGTCCGTCCTAGTCGCTCCCGCGCAGACAACGGACGGTCCGACTACTCTCTCCCCTCGTCTCTCCCAATTAGAGGTTATCTCTGACTACTTCACACACTGCAATTTGTACAGTATAGCGAAACTACCGTGCGCCCGCAAAATAATAAAGTTCACGATTAACCTCTAATTAGGGGGAGGGAGTACAGTAAGTAAAGGGTCTGGATAGCTCGGGTCCCCCCCTCGTCAGTTTCTAGTATACCTCTACATGAATGGGACAATCCAGTTGGCCTAAAGAGTCATATTATGGGGGTATACCAAGTTGTATACAGAATTGGGGGAGACGCAAGCTGTCTAGGTAGGCTCTTTATAAGACTAAATGGGTTGCGCACGTCCTCGGTTCATCCCCTGAACGGTGCACCGACAACGGCGCAAGAGAAAAACTCAACCTCCTTCACTCCCTCTGTCTCCTCTTCTTTTATCCCTTCTTTCGCCCTCCCTCCAACCACTCTTTCGCGCCCTTATCAAAATATCTTTGTATCTCTTTATCTCTCTATATCTCTGTCTCCCTCTCTGTATGTCTTTCTGTCTCTATACTTTCACAAAAATAGCTTATATTACAATACAGCCTCAGGATATAAATAAAGTCGGGCCCAGATTTGTTGAGAGTATAAACGAGGATATCCTTAGACTTCTTCATAGCAGAGTTCATTTGAGGCGCAAGAAGCTTTTTGGACTTACCTCGTCCCAGGCGAAATAAACGCAACTTTTCTTTTCTGGGCTGGCTGAAGCGAGCAACTGAGTAAAAACTCCTGAAAGTCACGTTTATCTCGCCCAGGGGGAAGCAAGACTCAAAACTGTAACGGAGCCTAACATCGAGTATCCTTCTATCCAGGTTGTGCTGTGGCCCAATCAGCAGAGACCTCATACGATTTTACGAGCGCACATGACATGAGAGTAATATGGTAGGGTTTGGCTAGTGCGAGTCAACAAGCACTGACACGGGGATGAAGTATTAGGTGTAGTGTTATATTTTTTGCTCTACGACGCTCCCCCGTCCTATTAGACAACAAAGTATCCTGTAGAACTCAGTTCGAACATTATACGACAGGGGTTTTACATGTGCCTTTGACTTTTACAAAGCATTTTATATTAGAACCCAGCTAGCTATCCCTGCACCTTCTTCTTGAAAGAAGCCTATATAATACGGCGAGATATTCTCGCACATATAGGAATGTTCCTACGGCACATCACAAATCTACCTTCCAGAATTCAAGAACTCACCCCATAACCTCAACCACCAATCCACACATCCAAATTTCAATATGCAAATCACAGCTATTCTCTTGGCCATTGGCCTACTGGCCACACCAACAGTACAACAAACAGCCCTGGTGTATTGCGAATACAATGGATGTCCTCTTCCTGATGGATCCCAAGGATGCAACAAACACGTTTTCTGCTGTAATGCCAATCTGTCAGCAAATGATAAGGGTCCATGGCAAGTCGGCCGGGAGTGTAACCGAGTCACAAATAAAAACAGCGAGCCCTTTTCCTGCAACGCACAAGTATCGGAATCAGGCCAGAAGCCTGTTGCTGGTATCTTAGCTGCCGTCGGTTCTGTCATGTGTTGTTGAGGAATCGGACTACTTGGGTCATGGAAAGATGGGGAGGATATTTATGCTGTTTGCTTATTTCTATTTCCGGTCCTGTTGGATCTTTTGGGAATGGTTTTTGGGGCGAGGGAGGAGAGGCGGTGGTCCGCCAGTGTTTCTCAAGATATTATGGTTGGATGTATATCTTGGGAACAGCAGGTTTAGTCGGGAAGGGAGACTGGACCGAGAGTTATCGAAGGGACTCGAAAGAAGCCGACTCTCGAGTCGAGTGACGGAGGAATATTGTGGAACAGAGACTACCTGTGAGAGGCCAGACCTCGAACAGCTCAAAGGTGTGGTTTCGAATATTCAATTAAGAAGTGCGTGAAGACTACATACATGCAAGCTCTTCCTCTATATATAGAGAGAGAAGAGNAAGAAGTGCGTGAAGACTACATACATGCAAGCTCTTCCTCTATATATAGAGAGAGGAAGAGTCTCTGGAATATTCCAGGAAGCTGCCTAACGAATACATGATGTCAAAAGAATAGAACAGAAAAGTATGGAACAGCAGAGACTTGCTTGGCAGTGGGGGAATGGCCAGTGCTGAGCGGGGACTTTGGTCAGTGCTTAGCGAGGGCATGGCCCGAGCCTCCATCATGGGTTTCAACCCTCACACTACCAATGCTACAAAGATTGTGAAGTTCTCTACGACTCTATAATATCATAATATTAAAAGGCTAGACTCCTATTTCACTCTGTAAACCTTTTACTGTGGATCAAATCATGAATATAAAACTACTCTTGCAGCAGAAACAATCAAACTGGTTAGATATATAGCAGTTACCCAGCACCGAAGAACACACTCTGTTCAGTTAACTCGATTTTTCAAAAGCCTTTTATAGTCTTTCCACCAGAAAGACCACAATACTCGGTGAGAGAGGTAGGCATTACTCTGTACACCCCTGAGTTATAAAAAGATATTACAACGCTCAATAGTAAATAAGCACACAGCCAAGAGAGAACACACAGTTCTAAAGGGCGCTAGCACCCAACACGGCGAGCAATACGCGAGGGGTAAGTGGGTGGGAAAAGAGCTCCAATAGTGTGACTGACGATAATGTTGTGGTGTTGATGGTTGAGGAGTTAGCTGTACGAGGGGGAATATTATATATTCCCCGCACTTCTTCATTCACTATAACCACTGCTATTATCCCAAAAACATTATACAACTAAATCAATTATACGAATACTTTAGAATAGTTAATATTTTTTACCCCGTACAAATCTTGGTGAATTGGGACAATTAATTAAGGTGTGTCAAATCTTTGGTATAATGACTTTTAATAGCGTGTACTCGTACAGAGCAATGACTAAGTTTCCTACAAGAAAGACCGTCTATTTATGGGGTCTAAACACGGTATTTAGTTATTTGAGCTTATAATCTACTAACCTTTCAAGGAAGCCTTTTTTAGAGTGAGATATTGAACGTTTGATTTACGGAAAAGGTAAACTCATTTGCTATGTTATGTTCACTTACAGCCTTACTATTGAGATAGAGATATGACTCTTAAAGCGATGAAAATCGTAGACTCGATATTAGTTCTCACGCTCTCAGTTATATGATTTTTGGGAAAGTGAGGGTTCAAACGTTGCACGCAACCAATTCTTATATGATGACAGTATTTATGTACAATGGCACTCTCGAATCTATTTCTTTGGCTCTTCTTTCTTTTCTTCTGGCTTTGGGGTAGGTAACTTGAAGGTATCAGGTTTCCTGTCCACACCAGATCCAACTTGCTGCTCGATGTTAGCCATATCTCAAGGCCCTTGGAACAGCAAATACATACCTCCCAAGCAGCACTTCCACCCTCAAAGTTACGGAATGCCTGCGTCAGCTCTAATGGCTCCACAACAATACGCTTCTTCTCCTCGTCATACCGGATCTCAGTGTAGCCAGTCAATGGGAAGTCCTTCCGTAATGGATGCCCATCAAATCCATAATCCGTCATGATGCGTCGCAAATCTGGGTGGCCAATGAAGAAGACACCAAACATATCATACACCTCCCGCTCGTACCAATTGGCTCCGTCGTACAAACCGCATAAACTTGGCACGGGTGAGGCTTCATCTGCGTATGTCTTGACACGAATTCGGGAGTTGTGGCGAACACTCAACATGTTGTAGACAACCTCGAATCTTTGGTCTCGGGTGGGAAAGTCGACCGCAGTGATGTCAGAGATTTGGGTAAATTCGGCAGCAGTATTGTCTATTGATTATTAGAATGAGGCATTCGGGTAGGTGGATGATCTATTACACTTCAAAAATGAGAAGACGGGAATGACGCCAGAGGGCGCAATGTATATGACTAGCTCATCCTTCCACACGGAGAACTGTTGGATGTATTTTGGGAGACATCCCATGAGCCATTGGCCATATTTGTGCATGTCCTCGGCCTTTGCAGCATATTTGTCGGCAGGGTTGATTGGAGGTACACGAAGTCCGCCAGCAACATCGGGATCTCTGGAAGCTAAGCGCATATTGGGAGTGTCCTGGGAGACGACGACGCGAGAGGCCTTGGAAGAAGTGAAGCAGCGTATAGCTTCATTGCGGCGGGTCAGGGAGGTTTTCGTAGAGCTGAATGCGGAGGCCAGCGCCCGACGGTTCGATACCCTCATTGCCATCGCTGAGGGTGTAGTGTGGTGGCGCCAATTGCAATGGGCAGCGGCAGACTTGGACGGGCAGTACAAGTATGATGTGCACTTGAATCTGAGTTGAGGCTCTGCCACCTCCACTGCCCTGCACCTTCCGTGACCTTCGAGCCTTCCCACCGGGCATCTTCAATACTGACTAATCCACTTGGACTCCTCTTTGATTGGTGCGGGGGTCCATAACCTCGGCGCTAAACTCGAAGGCGTTAGGGCCAGGCTAGCATCCACGCTCATGCCTCAGGCTGACAGACAAGTTTATGGTTGATGTCCTCCAGACCTTCTCAAGTCTTTCGCAACTCTACCCTTATTCCAAGCCGCAGCACCGTCTGGACTCCTTCAACTTCTCGCACAACCACAACTGATAGTGCCTAGAGACACGATTCGCATCTCTAATAATCTTCGTTCGCCCTCTCTTCTCCGTCGAGTCCGGCTTCACCCCTTTAACGCGACCACGACAAGTTCCTCCTGCGCTCATCACCTTTTTTTGCCATCAACATCACCATCCAATATTACCTGCCGATCTCGGGCACAGATCAAAAGTCGCCATGGCACCACAGCAAGATAGTTTCATCGATGATGAGGAGGAGTGCTGGTGAGTTGCCTCTACCACCTCTTGCTGTGGCCAGTTGGCATGTGGATCTAGGTATACTAACCTCGACTTTAGCCCCCTTTGCGTCGAAGAGTTCGACCTTTCAGATAAGAACTTCCGACCATGTCCTTGTGGGTATCAGGTAAGTCAACAACATATCAGACACTATTCTGATCATCCTGTCCTTATTGATGGCGACTAACACGCCGTTTACCGCAGGTCTGCCAGTTCTGCTTCAACAATATTCGCAACAATCTCAATAGCCTCTGCCCCGCATGCCGAAGACCATACAAGGAAGAGACAATAGTATGGAAGGTTGTGTCACCTGAAGAGTAAGTCAGCCCTTGTCGTCCTCCCGCAACCATCCCGCTTATCCCGTGATAGGCAAGCCCAATTTCGCGCGAACGCCCAGAAGAATGCCAAGAAGAAGGCAGAGCAGCGACAGAAGGAGGCGCAAAAGCGAGAAGTTGAAAACCTGAATCGAAAGCACCTAGCAGGCCTACGAGTGGTTCAGAAAAACCTCGTGTACGTTGTTGGGCTGAGTCCTGGCGTCCGTGAGGCCGAAATGCTACGAACACTTCGAGGCGACGACTATTTTGGACAATATGGTCCCATCGATAAGATTGTGGTCAGCAAAACCAAGAACGGGGAGCCGGTAAACACTTCACAAGGGATTGGTGTTTACGTCACCTTCCACCGAAAAGAAGACGCTCAAAAATGTATCGACTGTGTCAATGGCACGCCGAATGGAGAGCGAACCCTACGAGCGCAGCATGGGACCACGAAATACTGTTCAGCTTATCTGCGTGGCGAGGTATGTACAAATAAGTCATGCATGTTTCTCCATGAGGATGGCGAAGCCGAGAGTAGCTATTCCCGACAAGATCTTTCCACCCTGAATAGTGTCAACACGCAAAGACCTTTGCCCGCCATGGCATCTGGCTCTGGATCTTCAGCACGCCAGGCACAACTTCAAGCACCGATACAACATGCGCAACCCGTTGCTGCAGCATCACAACCTATGGCTCGAGACTCGAGCAAGGATGGGTCGGAAAGCGGTGATGGTTCTGCACTTCCTTCCTCAGCCAGCTGGGCCAACCGGGGTCTCCCTCAACGCAGTCGCAGAGGAAGCCATGCAACTAGTGGTGCAGCACCAAGTCCCGCGGTTTCACACGTCATGCCAGCTACTGCTGAGGTTATCGAAGAAACTCCTGCACCTGTTCAAGCCGAGCCCCAGACTGAGCCCGAGCCAGAAGTCGCCAGTCCTGCACCAAGCGCAGATGTCGTATCTCCAGCAGAACCAGCTCGACCACAACATAATGACGTCCTCATGTCCATACTGAGGTCCATCAACACTTTCCAGCTTTCGTGCCCACGCTCTAGACCCGATGATACCAGTTCTTTCCCACCACTATTTGACGATCATGGCGGCGAAAAGAGACGACTTCGAAAACTCCAACAAGAAGAGGCTCGACTTCGTATGGAACATGAATCACAGGAAGACATAAGCTCAGCAGCACCTGAGCCAGTCGAAGAGGAGGAACCTGAGAGTGGAAGTTTGCAATTGGGTGGTGAGCCCGAAGATCGGGATAGCGGCCGCGACCTTCCTCGCGATTTTCAACGACGCCCCAGCACACAACTACCTATTCAAAGAACCAACAACGGCCCTGTTGGACCAAACATTGCCGGCTACAATCGTAATATCAGTAACTTGGGCGCCATCAATGGCCGTTCTTTGACACCTCAACAACAGCAGCAATTGCTTTTGTTGAATAGCCAATCATCTAGCTTCATGGATCAGTACTCCCCCAACATTTCAGGACCAGTCACCCAAGGTACTGCGTTATTCCAACAACAAGGCCACAATCGACAATCTTCGAGATATAGCTTTGCTGATCAAGCGGGCGCAAATTCTTCATCAATTAAACCTTCTGCAAACCCAAAGCTTATGGCCCAGCAATCATCCATGATGCCTTCCACTCATCCTCAAGGTGGTAATCAATTTTATGGCACTTCAATTCAAGGACCACCACCAGGACTCAAGTCAACTGGAACTCCTCCTATCGGTGGCATGTTTGGACAAGGACATTCTTTCGGCGGATCTATGGCAGGTTCAAGTTTTGGAGCAAAGGAAAGCAATAATGATATGCTCAGGGATATGCTTCGCGGTCGTGGTAATGTTGGTGGTGGTGGTCAACCACATGATGCAGGCAAGCGTGAGTTCATGTTTCCTTCTTTTCTTCAGCAGTACCCATCTGCCTCTTCCACTCCAGCTCCTGCTTTGGGTCTCCTGGCATCGCTCTATGGTCCTCAGACTGGAGCATTCCATGACTTCAGTCAAAAGCAGAAAAAGAAGGGAAAGAAGCACAGACATGCTAACACTTCCTCTTCTGGGGGAGGTGGCTTAGTCGATCTTGCAGACCCAAGTATCTTGCAAGCGAGAATCCAGCACCAGCAACAGAGCAATGCCGGAGTCGGACAGGGACTGTTTGGTGGACAGGCTCAAGGTGGGTACAATCCGATGATGTATGGTGGTGGCGCAGGATTTGCTCGGTGGTAAACACGGGTGGAGGCATTATACAGGACTGTGTTTGCTGTTGTAGATATTCTTTTCTTTATTTCCTTTCGAGGGGCGTCTTTCTGGAACTTTTATCGAGGCGTTGTTGCATCTTGCTGGTCAGCATTTGTTTAGCGAGCATGGGAGAGCTCCAAGATGGATGCTTGGGATGCATAGGCGTCATTTGTGGTTGGAAAAATGAGGGGATCTCATTGTTGCTTCTTAATATCTCTTTGTTTTATTCGTCGGGGAGCATCAACACTTCGGCAGGGAAAGGTCACATCGGAAACCCATCATCGTCTTCGTCCGGGACCGGTCTCATGTACGTTAAAGTCCCCGACCCTACGCCAAACTGTGGCTGGTCAATATAGCATTCTTACATATATGTGCCATCAGTAGAAGCCTCTATTTCGAAGACGATGATGGGCCCGTGAAGTGATATCTTGTACCTAGCCTGTGGATCCTTTGTCTGCTCTTTCCTGTTTCCTGTTTCTTCCTCATGCTTCTTTCCTGTTTCTGCCACCAAGTCGACCGAGTTTTTCTTTTCTCGTCGTTTCTGAAAATCGTTTGCTAATAGTGATTATACAGATGACCAAGGTCTTCCCTCTCTGGACGAAGCCACTCTTTCTGTTGATGCTCTTGTCGCAGACAGCACTATTGACGACTTTGGACCTCGCCTTCCGGATCAATACGAGACTGCGGTTTCTCGATCATCAACTCCTACTGTACCTCCAGGTTTCGAACTACCTCATGCGCACCCCCCTCCACCCGCTGTGCAGGAAGCGCCAATCAAACCCCCCTCAAGAATTGTCCCCACTTCGGCACCTTTTACACCTTCGAGGAGTGCTTCTTTTATTCCAAGGACGGCCACGCCTCTATCTAATGTATCACTACCAGATGTAACTCCAAAGATTGTACCACAAACACCAACTTCACTTGCAAAGCAAGATGTAAAGGCTCTTGCGACAACCACTGGGCTTTCCAAGACAATTGTATCACAGTCATCTAAAACACTTCAATCTGAAGACTTTCCTGCTTTGGACTCGGTAAAGTCGAAGGCCCCTCCTGTAACACCAAGCAAAGCTCCAAGGACACCAGCCGCGGGTAGTAAGAAGAATGTACCGGTTACTCCAACTCCTACGATGGCAGTACCTGTAACGCCCACTCCAGCCAAAAGTGAGAAACGTCCACCACCAGGGATTCTTAATATTTCAGTTCCTTCAAAGCCAGGACTGAAGACAACAACTCCCTCTGAGCCACCAAGTAAGCCTAGCGTAGCTTCTTCAGCATTTCCCCCTCTACCTCCAAGCACCCCGTCGGCAAGCTCCACACAGTCACCTTTGGTTCGAGGAACTCCAAAGACCTTGCGACTTGTTCCTTCAAAAACAGATGCACCAACTGTCGGAAGCGCCACCCCATCATCTGTGACATCTGTGTCTCAACCAATTTTTCCCTCCCGTCAACCAAGCCTGGCTTCAATTTCTAGACACGAGCGACCTGGCACTCCTACAAGTGAGGCTATCTCGGATAATGCCTCGATCACTTCGGCATCACTTTCAAGAGCTAGTTCCCCTCCACCATCCAAAGTCGGTTCGGCACCTGTAAGAATCACGACCAAGAGCAAGCAGAAGAAGCAACGCCAAAAGGAAAAAGAAAGATCAGAAATGGAAGCCGCTGCTGCCGCCGCCGCTGCCAAAGTTGAGCCCGAAGAAATTGCTCCAATTATGGGGCGCAAGAGAAAGCAACAGAAGGAAAAGCACATCCATAGTGCTGCTGGTGGTTCAACGCCAGCTGTCAGTCGGCCGCCGTCTCCAGGACCTAGTGAATCGGCATCCAAACCAGAAGAAGTTCCGTCCAAGGACGGACGAGCACAACCCAACCAGAAAAATACAATAGTTGAACCTGAGCCAGAAGTTTCCCGACCAACGCCAAAAAGCAAGGGCAAAGGTAAGCATCGCAACCAGGCAGCTCCACCGCCACCTCCCACGCCATCCGTCGAGGCCGTCAAAGAAATAGACGAAGAAACCAAACAGGAGCCCGTACCGAAAAAGGCCCAAACATCGTTGACCCCGCAGGTAGTTTTTGAACAGCTTGTAGAGTCTGGCCAAGTTCCTGCCGCGCAAGACCTAGCCTTGCTCAAGAACCCCGCCGCCTACGCGAAGGCCTCCTTCAACGACGATTTGGACAACCACCCTGGTGCTGCCTTCCTGCAGAAGCTTACTATCACACCAGAGGATCGCGCCTCGCTACAAGCTGGAATTCCTGTTCGCAAGAATCAGGGAACGCCACATAGCTGTATGCTCACGCCAAATGGCGACTATGTCAGACATCTGGCCCCACACGAGGAAAACCGCTTTCTCGAACTTCAGGAAGTGTTGGCAGAGGAAGCTGGACCTGCTGCCTTTGTTTCCACCAAGCACCATGCTACTAACGGATTTACATTAATCGGGGGACGTGCTGTACCGAACGGCCCACCTTCATTTTTCCCTCCTCCAAAGGGCACTCCTGCCACACTTGACCCTGTCAGCAAAATCCAACGTGACGAAGCTCTCAGCTACATCAACCAATACGTTCTTCCCTCACTCTCGACCAACTCACAGTTGGAGAAGGCGCTTAATGCCAACGCTCTTGATGCAGAGATGCTTCGATCCTCGGATCCACTCAGTTTTCCCTCCTGGGGTAACGATCCAGCCGGTCCTCGTGCAAGCAGCAGTCACGGAGACATTTCACAAGAGGGCATTTTGGCCACCGGTTTGGAGGGCATGACGGCACGATTTCGAGAAGGTGATGGTGGACGACCACTTGGGAATGTTTCATTGCTTAGTTTTTCCGAGGCCGAGGTTGCGTTGCAGAGTGCGAGGAAGGATGCGGAGGTTCTTGATAAGAAGTTACAGGCTTTGATCAAGAAGAATCGTCGTCTTTTGCTTGGGACTGGTCATTGATCGGATTTTACGTTGGCTTTTCATTGGGGCTTTGATGGGATGGAATGCATTGTTTGTATTGTTTTCATAAAGATAGATATTGGGGATGTGGTGGGTGGGATACATTCATTAACGGTGAGCATACTTTGGGGGGTAGGGAGTGAGTGGTGTTTGGACTTATTGTTGGTAGGGTGGTTGATGAATGGGTGGTGGTGGTAATTCTGTACCCCAACGATACACTCAGCCTTGGAGCGTTTGTTTCGAGCGTTTTTCAGCGGAGCGGATAACTACTCTGCCTACTTGTAATATTCTTTCGTGTATCGAGCTTACATAGCATAGATGCATAGGTCTGTTTAATTATAGTAGTAATAAAGCGTGTACGATACTATACTATTTGTAGCTTTATCTTTCGGGGGTGATTAAGTACATACATTTTAAATTCCAGGTTTAGGATTTTTTATATAGTAATAGTATATGAACGGTAAGTCGTTTTGTAGTAGACGGATTTCGTACCTTTTGTAGGGAGGTTTTCGACCCTACAAAAAGAGTGATTTTCATCTAGGATATTCTTTTATAACACTTCGTCTTAGCGTCGAGCCCTAGCTTAGTACTATTTGTAGTAGGTTAGGACGGGTGGAAGTAGGTCGATAACTAAGCACTCACTTCTCGTCTTAAAAATTCAGTGCAAGAGCAGCGATCGGCAAAAGGAACGAGTTCCATAGAATTCCATAGATTCTATTCTATCTAGAATCCTTCTAGAGCTTATACAAAATAGAAAGATTCCTTCTATTAGTAGGCTCTAGAATAGAATATGGAATCTATAGAATTCTAGACTAGTTAAAACACGTAATTATAGGAGCTATATAGCCCTAGAGGGAGGAAGATATAATAGTACCTAATAGATTCCTTTTAATCTAGAAGTATTTACGATACTGGAATAGAAAGGAATTCTAAATACCGAACGCTGCTGTAAGAGTCTCTTTTCACCTCCTCTTACGTAAGAGAAGGCGTACGTTTAAGGTACTAAAAAGCCTTGATTTAAGGCCTCTATTTGTTAATAAAAGCGGGGGTATAGGGGGCTGGACGAGAGGGGCCCTAAGTCTATTACTTAGTAAATCTAGTAGAGTAACGCCCCGCTGAGAGTCTCAAAAAGCACTTAAAAAAGCCTACTTTTCCGACAAGATTTCAGTCTAAAAGTAGGTGCGAAATTCGTCTAGTATATATTGAAACCTCTCGAAAAATATTTTAAGAAATTGATTACCTAAGCCTCTAAAATAATAAAAAAATAAACATACTAATAACTCATTCCACTTTAAAACATTTAAAAGTAAAAATAGTATATAGACGCTTTAACTATGTCAAATAAACATCTTTCTTCTAAGTAAGTAGAAGAATTAAATTACTACTTATTATATAAGATAAATGGTTAGATTAAGAGAAATAGTAGAGTAGAAATTAGAAAGTCTATTATAATTATTTCATCAATAGGAGAGCTTGGAGAAGAGAAGAGAAAACAAAAGAAAAAGAAGGTATAGATATATTTAGGAAAGTATGGAATTTTAGTACTCTATCCTAGAGAATTACCTATTAACTAGAAATTATAGCTCACTTTGAAATCCTAAAATCCACTCCTAATAGAAGATCTCCATCCTACATTCTATAACCAACCAAACATCCACGATCCAACTCACATAACACCAGGAATCGCCAAGGGGAGAGAGTATATACAAGAACATCACACCCCCACCTCACCTACCAAAGCCCCTACCTCTTCCCCACCACCCTGCCCCTAATAACCAAAACCCCAACCCCAACTTCAACCTTCCACCCCTCCCTTATCAACATCTTCCCCACCGCGGGGCCCAACTTCCCCCGTCCCCCTTCACTATNACCCCCGTAACAATCCTATACCCACCCCCAATCCCCTTATTCTCCCGATTCTGCCTCGAAACCCACCAACCCGTGACCCGCTCCCTCGTAATCCTCAACGCATCCTTAACACTAACCCCATGCAAATCCAGCTGATCCCCAGAACTCTGTTGATTGACGAGGATATCGGCTGCAGCACTAGTCGCTTGTTTGGCGAGGACATTGTAAGAACGTCCCTCGGTGGCGTAGTAGGCGGCTGCGCCGCCCATTAGGGGGTCGGATTTGCCTTTTCGGTAGTAGGCTGCTGCGCGGTTGAAGTATTCGTTTCGAGTTGCGGTGTAGGAGCTTGCAGCAGCGGAGGGATCGGCTAGAGGAGAGAGGGGTACGATAGCGGAGGTTGATGATGTTGAAGATGCTGTTTCGTGGAGATCGATGGGTGCGTGTCGGAACTCCAGTTGAATTTTGGATTTGCCTGTTGGAGAGGATGTGGCGAGTCGACGGGCTAAGGCATGGGCATTTGGAAGAGAGGGACTCGTAAGGTGTATGAGTATTTCCAAATCCGAGAGATTCGCCGATGGGAAATCTCTTTTGAGATTGTATGCTTCGACGTGAACACCAGGATCATCCATCTCTGCATATATGTCCCTATAAGCCTCTATGATAGCAGAGATCGATGCCTTGGCTGAACCCCCGTGTTTATGATATAATGAACTGACTTGCTGCTCCGGCATTCCTGTTTTCGAGGCGATAAAGTCGATATCTTGCTTCGCTGTCTCCCACTTGCTTACAGCGGTTCCCTCCTTTTCCTGACTACCCGTATCTTCAGTCGCTGCTCGACGCTTCTTTCTTTTCTTTTGTCGTTTGCTTTTCAGAGCTTGAGGCGCAATCTCGCCTTCCGAAAATGCTTCGATACCTTTATGCCTGCTGCCATTTTCCTCAAGAAAAGACTGCGTCATTAATTCATCAATAGCTTGACTCGCATCGCCCTTGTATTTCTTCAAAGCCCACACAATATCAAATTCCTTCAAAATCGGAAAGATACCCAACAAGGCTGCCTCCTTACTCTTGTCATCCAAATCGTCCAAAGTACTCGTATATGACTTATCGGGTGATTCATCCCTGCTGGAAGGCACATTCGTATGCGAATCCAAAATATGAAGATCCGAAATGGACATCGATATCCCAGTAGAAGTGTCATCGGTTTCGCTCTTCCAACACGGCATACTCTTCCCACTTCCACTTATACTATCGTCATTCTCCCCGCCCGCTTCGAGTCCTCCCGGTTGAATATTCGACCCGCTTGCGCCACTGGCATCAAACCCAGTAGCCTCGCCAATTGGAACTGCTTCTTTCAAGGTATCAAGGATTTGTCGCAGGTTGCTCATTTGCGCCGGGTCGCAGAGATCGAAATCAGAGGCAATCGCGAGGACAGTTGAGGAGTCTACGCATCTGTAATCCTCCTGCAATCTTAGTTAGCATAGATTCTTTCTGTTTCTCGTGCCCTTCAGCTGTCGCGATCGAGAGTCATACCAGTAGCTGGGCTTGGAGCCCATCCTCTTTCATTTCAAAAAATCGTTGGTGTGTGGTAATGGAGTCAATGCGAGCTTCTCAACCATGTCCTCTAGGACTCAAATTAAACGGGCGTGTGGATCGGAGGTCTTTATCTGTATCTGGAAACATGGCTTTGTGTAGGTATTTATGACGACGGTATCGCATCTAAGGGTCCACCATTTTCGGCTGTTATCTTAGTGGGATAAAATAAGCATGGACCAGGATAGGCTGTAAAGCGGCATTACAGTACCCGTATCCGTATAGGTAGTGTTTGTTACGTATCGGAAAAGTGTATATTCAATCATCTTATACTTAAAGGCTACCTATACCTTAAAGGCTAATACTAGAATTTTAATACTATAGTACTATACTAGGTAGTTAGCGTAGATTAATTCTAGTATTCTTCTAGAAGCGTTATATCTTAATAAACAGCGTTTCTACCTAGGCGTAATTACCTATTAAATATTCTAATAACTAATAGAATATTTCTAAATACTTTTAATAATTAACATTTCTAAAAACAGATAAACTCTATTAACCTTAACGCAATCAAATTCTAAGTTGTAGAATCGGCGATTCAGGCAAATTTGACTCGCGTGTACGGTACGGGGACAGGCGTTCGATATACTCTAGCAACTGCTTAAGTTCAAATTATAATTATTCAAGTACCACGAATGCCTGTACCCCCAGTGAATTCATACATGACATTATTTCCTATGAAACTTTTACAGAAAACCTCGATTAAGGTGGGGATTTTAATTGTCGTCTATCTAGTGGTGCAAAGTGCTTAACTAATCGCTCCGCATTCCTCCGCTCATTTCATTTTTGCGCCAAACGACCTTTCAATGCAATTTGGCTTCGGCCGTTCAGCCAGAATCAGGGTTGAAGAAAAGAAAAGATGAAGAGAAGCTCATGAATACATAAACATATTGACTAAAGCAAAGTGCCCATCGTCATAAAATAATGCCCGAGATTGAAATTATCCATCCCAATGTCAGACGCGCCATCCAGATGATCCTCGTGAGTTTGACATGCTCATGATAGATGGAAAGCACCCTGCCCTTCCTTAATAGCCGTACCCATACGACGCTTCATAACTTCCAAATTGGAGTAGTCTGGCAATTTAAGATAGTTGACACAAGTCATGACACTTGGCAGGTAGTCATCAGATGCGTAAGGAGGCTCGCTTGGCTTGCAAACCACGGTAAACATAGGCGTAAGTGATTTGAATCCTAGATGGCGTAATTAGTATATCTCAAGGGGAATCTGAAGAAATTGACTTACCTCCAATAGGGAGCTTGGGGCTACCAGTGGTAAATTGAAGGAAGTCCCGACGTTCCGAGGGTGACAGCTCGCTCATGGTCTGAAGGAGATTTCTGACGCTCTTGCTATCCATGTTGAATCCATGGTCGGCCTTGATTGAATCCATCAAAGCTGGAACAGATGTCAGCAAAATTCGCAAGTTACGTGCACGAGTACAACTTACTTTCTAATGACCAATCCTCCTCAATGCGTCCGAATAGCATGACCAGCTCGTCTGGCGTGAACGCACTCAAAGCCGAGTACGGGAATACTTGCGTAAAACCGGCTCTGAATGCATCCACTTGTCTTTGAACGCCACTTCCAAGCGTAAAGTCGATGACCTTCTCAAGATATAGCTCAACATTGTCAATAGTGACGGCAAGGGTTGATCCGTTAGGCAACAGCTCAATCGAAGAGTAGCCAGGAAGAGTGAAATCGAGACCAAGGTCATCAATTAAAACGTCATCAATTCGAAGTGCCTCTGCTTCGGCAACCTTTTGTGCGGCTGTCAAGTTGGGATTCTCATCAATGGCCTTCTTTGCAACGGCAAACTTCTTGATAAGCTTCAACGATTTTGCCAATTGAGCATCAACAGTCTTGACAGCACCCAAAGAAGGCGTGACCGGGTTGGATCCATCACCAATGCGGAAAAATGTTGGATTGAAAGACACATCGATGATTCGGGAGTCAATCATGGATCTTGCCACAAACTTCCCGAGCATCTTGAAAAGTCGTAAAATGGGCTTGCCAATGTCCTCTGATGCTGCTTGTTCTTCGCTCATAGGGGCTGGGAAAAGACCACGGGCACCGAAGGCATATTCATCAGCATCATTGGCGTCGGTTTCGCGCCAGAGTTTGAGCTTCTTCTTCGAGAATTCCTTGGAGACTGTGGAGTAAAACTCTAGAGTAGGTCCAAGTCCAGTACCAACTTCTTCAAAGTATTCCACCTCCAGGATACTCTGTGAAGCACCATAGAGTTCCATAACCTTAACAGCAGATTCGAGGATTTTTGATCGCGAGATGCGGACCTTTTGTCGTTGCAATCTGCCAAGGAATGGTCGTTCGTCACGATGACGGTCTCGACGAGATTCATCGGCGGATTGAGCATTTTGCCATCGAGTCATGGATCGAGCATAACCGAAAGAGGTCGACTGCAAGAACAGATGTCTCGTTTCGAAGGGGAAAAGGAAGGGATAGAGACGCGCGAGATCCTCGCTCCAGCTAGGAAGGCAATTGCTTGCCACGACCAGAGGTTCCTCGAGCTGTCGATTAAGTTTAGCAGTAAGCTTTGTGTTAACAAATTGAGAAAGGGGCTCTGCATTCAATTTCAAAGTGTCCTTGTTTTCGGCCAAGACATCATCGAGATTTGCGTTGAGAGCGTGCAGAATATTAAGTAGTCGGAGAATAAAAGAGGTAGCTGGATTCTTGTCTAGAGATGCAGGAATACCGGAAGCAGTCAGCTCAGTAATTTCGGCAGCTTGGGTGAGAGAACTTGGTTCTGGAGGTGGTGGTCCCGAAACTCGTTTGAACTTGATTGGATGAATGGCAGACCAAACACTTCGGCTAGAGTGCTCATCAACTGGACCAGCTGGGTTGTGAACGGCTCTATAAATGGTAGTCTCATTTGAGATTACCTTATCATCCAGACTGAACTCAATGTGCCAATCTTGTGGGATGGCTTGAATAGCAGCTGCATATGACATTGGTCGTGAGGATCCGGGGGTGGACGAGGCTGCTTGGGCCGCCGCTACAGCCTGCATAGCTGCACTTCGTGGGTTACTTCCTGGTAACTGAGAAGGGGTGGCAACTCGCGTGCCGTCATCTTTACGTGCTGTCACTTTACCACCAGCGGCGACTTCGAGATTAACTGCAGTAGGATCGGGAGCTGCTTCTTCTTCCATACCATCCTCCAGCTCTCCCATAATTGCATCTAAAGCTGCACTATCCTCATCCATGTCATCGTCATCCGTGAGTTGTCTCTCGTCAGCACATTCGAGTGCACGCGCGAGGCTATCCTCTTCTTCAGGCGGGGGCGGCACTGGTGGTTCCGTCTGGGCTTGTTGTCGTCTGCTTGATCGACGGGATACTGGTTTCTCCTGAGGAGTATTGGACATGGATTGAGCTTCAGAAGCTGGGGTAGGGGCTGTCTTTGCTTTTGACTTTCTGGTGGCTCGGGAAGTTGAAGGCGTAGGTGCAGGAGAGGTTGCTGCTTGAGCAGCTAGACCACGTTCTGCAAAACGGGCTTGAGCATTAGGAAATAGTGAAGAGGGATAGGGGTAATTACCTGCGGCTGCCAATGCTGCCAGTGCACCCGTCAGATTCTCTCTTCGTGCACCTCTGGGTCTTTCAGACATGCTGATTCTCGGGCGTAGGTAATCATCCAGAGCTTTGAAAGTTGCAATGGCATGAATAGATACCATAATGTTGCGGTAAGGTCGAGGTATTTCAGAATCATCATCAGCAACCAACTTGAGACGAATTTGCTTTGCAAGCATAGAAGCCGCACTGCTTCTATTACCATCGAAAGTATTCGAGTGGACAGTGACTACTTCAAAATGCTCAGAACGACTCAAGAGGTCTTGCAACTTATGGATGAGACTACTGAAAGGAGTGGATGGAGAATCGCCAGATGTGTGCTTCTTCGTAACAGTTCGGCCCATGAAAACCTCAAGGAATGCTGATCGTGCGTTATTGGCCAAACGATCATCGGGATTATTGAATACATCCAGAAGAACTCGAACAACTTCAGAGTTGAGTAGTTCGGCGCTGGTAACACTTTCCAGGACATCTCCATCAAAGTAAGACGCCAGAGATGTGAAAAGAGCGGTACCATTTCCAGGCCCCTGCTTCAAGTAGTGTGCCTCAATCTTCGAAGCCAAGCTTTGCAGACTGGTCAAAATCTTCATCGCCTTCTTTTTCATGTCCTTGCTATTCTTCTCGTTCTCATGAATTTCCATGAAATTCTTTGCTCGCTGCGTGATGAGCTGCTGCATAGTAATAACATCAGACGTGGCATGGTGCGTCGGGCCATCCAATGACATTGTTGATCCACGGGAGCTAACTGGTGACTGGCTGACATCTTCTGGCATGTCGTCGTTCTCATTATCGTCATTTTCATCTTCGTCAGAAGAATCGTCGTCGTCGTCACCACCAGTCTCACGGACAGGCTTTTGAGAGGCTTTGTGCTTGGTCTGTGTATCAGCGGAAGGGACCACTTCAATAGTTGACGATTCCTCGCGAGCTGGTTTAGCCTCCTCGATAGAACCCAATTTGGCAATTTCCGCAATGACACCTTCACGATAGAATTGGTATCGATATATGTCATCCAAGCGAGTAAGGAGTAACTCTGCGGCCTGAAGGGCAAAATTAACGAGAGTGGGATGGTCCTGCTGTGAGAGTATTGCAGCTAGGAAGGAGGCGTATGGAACCGATCGTAAGGCATCCATGAGAATGTCTTTATCCAAGTTCGATAGCATCTTGAGTTGGGCTGTCAAGACCTTCTGACGCACGCTAAGGTTGACCGTGCTCGAGAACGCATCTGACAAGGTGGGGAAAAGAATAATGGCAAAGCGCTTGACCTCTTCTTTGCAACTCTCAAGAAGTTCAACGCGCTTATCATTTGCAGACTTCTTCTTGGGGCCGGATTGAGATCCAGTGGGTCTTTCTGAAAGGGTGTCGGCAGAAGAATTATCATCGAGCGGTGTCTTGGTGTCTCTAGGTAAACCTGGAAGAAGTTCACAAATAACATTCAAAGTTTCGATCACTTGCTCTCTAGGTCTGTGGATCAGTGCCTGCATAATAACGACGCTGTCAAGCTTTGAAGCGATATCTTCATCTGGGCCTGGCGGCGAGACACCTGTCAAAATTTGGTACAAAGTCTCGACGACATTCATTTTGAATAACTCCGCGGATAATGTAGGACTGGCTTTTGCAGTATATGCCAGGACTCGCAAAAATTGAGTGTGGATGTTGGATCCAATCAAGTTGGTGGTACCTGGTAAAAGCAGTCGAAGTATGGCCTGTAGCAATTCGCTGTTGACCAGCTGTTCCAATTTACTTGGGTGGTATTTGAAGCTCTCCACAATTCCCGATATTGAAAGAGATGCTTGCTCGATCACCTTTTGGTCAAAACGTTCTTTTGGATTCAGAACCTTCAAGAGAGTGGGCATCGCATCTTTAACTACCTCAAACGAGTCCTCCGGAATATTTCGGCAGCAGTTCGCAGCGATGGTCACGGCCGTACGCTGCGTGCTAGTAGAAAACCACTCGAGGTAGTTCAAACAAGCAGCCAACCCTCCTTCGCGGACAATCGATGCTGGATATTCCACCGAGATCTTTTCCAGCGTCTAGAAGGGTTAGTCCAGTTCAGGAATGGAAGACTTCACCAGGTAGTACTTACGCTCAAAGCTTGCTCTGGCAAGTCAATGAATGAGATTTCAAGGAGCAATGTGCAGAGAATTGGCACTGCTCCCCCATATACAACATTTGCGGTACTTGCAGGCAAAGCTTCCATCAAGTTTGCCAGGCACCGACATGCAAGAAGCATCATTTCATAATTTGGCTCACCAAAATCCGATGGTTGCATCAGAACGACCAATTCCTTCACGAATGCATCTGGCGAAAAGTGGCCGGATAAGTTGTCCTCCGTGGATACCAGCAATATTTCAGATAGTTCCTGAAGAGCAATCAATTGCATAGAAGGGTCGCCTTTCTGCTTCAGATTGTTCAGGATGTCTCGAAGTCTGGAGGAAACGCCAGACATCATGCCGCTCAAGGCTCTCAAGGTACTCGACAGGCCATGCGATGGTCCACCATGCCCTCCAAAACCACCAAATGGGTCGTCATCGTCATCATCTCTGCCTGCATAATGGCGAGCCATTTCCTCGTCCTCGTTTTCATCGCTGTCTTCGTCGTGGTCGTGGTCGTCGGCCGGGGGCGGGTGTTTCTCGTCAACTGAGTTGTTTGCGGTGCCGTCACCATTCCCGGGTGGTTTCTTCGATCTACGACTGGAACTTGGGGTATTGGCTGAGGCATCTGAAATGGTCGAGAGTTAGTTTTGTAAAAAGGCTGCGTAGAGAACTCAACGAACCTTGCCCAGCTTTCTTATTTCTTGTCGACTTTCGCTTGGAGGCACTGGTGGATGGTGCTGGCGGATCGTTGGAGGGACCTGCAGAATCACTGTGATGGTTGTAAGCAATATCCCTAGTTGGTGGTAGTTCAGGATGTAACACACCCAGGACTCGACATCACCGCTGAGTTTTTACCCTTTGTGTTTCTTCGACGCGGGGGAACTGAAGCTGCTGCAGCGGGTGGCTGAGGTTGTGCTTCTGCTTCGGAGACCTTGGGTCGCTTTGCACGTCGAGCAGAGGATGGCTTTGGAGTTGGGGGTTCGGTATCGGCTTCAGGTGGAGGGCTGGACTCCCGTTGGGGAGCTTTACGCTTTCGAGACGAAGCCTGAGACCGGGCAGACGAAGCAGTGGCAGTGGTAGCTGCAGAGGTAGTTGACGCCCCTGGGGAGTTTGCTGCTTGTCGGGCGGACGCACGAGTAATTCTGGAAGACATGAGTATATGGTTTGGAGATGACGGTCTTCGACACCGCGGCCGGTACCTCGTCACAACCGGTCGAGAGGATCGTGAGAAGAATACACGGCGGATGTGTGGTGCGACGAGTGATGGGGTGGGGGGGTGTGGCAGATCAAAAGAGTAGTGGAGTTGATGGGAAAAGGGAAGGGTACCGAGATGCAGAAGCTGGAGTAGAAGTCGACGGTTCTGGGTTGAGATCCGATCTGCGCTGCGAAGATGCCATTTACATTTACGCCATTAGCGTCGGCGGCGAATGTTCGTCCTTGGCAGAGAGGAGGTAGGAGTTGGTGGTTGATGAGCCTGGAGGGGTGGCAGGTGGCAGGTGGTGGGCGGAGGGTGAAGGAGGCAGGTACGATTCGCAGGTGGTGGGAGGGAAGGGGAGGGGAAGGCTTTGGTGGATGTGGATGCGATGGTATGAGGGTTTGTGGAAGTTGGTGGGTAGGCGTAGGTCAGCTCAGGTTAGTGTAGGCAAGGCGATGCGGAGGAGGAAGGTACAATGTAGTCGGCTTCGGCTGCTATCTAGCGCTGGCGCGGCTTAAAAGGGGCAGGGGGTGTGGTCTGCCATAGCGGTGCCAGCACTAGGTCCTCCAGGGTTGGGCCATCTTAGCACGCTTCACCAGTCACATTGATATTGACACTATCGAGACTTCTGTCTAGCATTCACCACATTGGAGTGCAATTTCAATTCCATTCAAGTCAGATAGTTTCCGGTGATGATGCCCCCATCATCTTTAGCATCCCAATAATTGCTCTCCAAAAATGACTTCTACTTCAGTTCTACAACTCCCGGATTTGGTCTGATGTTTCAACACTCTACCCAGTATTCCATATTGAATGTAATGTACTCTACCCCGTTCCAGACCTAGGCTGAATCTGGTGTCTCCATTTTTGTGTGGACAGTTTTTGACACACATGGCAACGGTTAATGTTAGCTATATATACACATCTGTATATTTGACTTTATAAACAAGCCTCGACAGATAACGAATATCTCTTGGCTGTCAGCGCGCCATACTCATGTATCCATGCTCAAACTGGAGAAGCAGGAAACAGTCATGGTGCCAAATTAATCAATCCATTGCAATCGGTTTATTGTCAGTTTTAATTTCTCCTCGCAGACTAAAGGCATTTCGACACAAATTCCACCTTACCTACCAGGTTCCAGATATCCAGGTTCCAGACTGGTTGCCATTTCTTACCAAGTATTTGCTACCTTTTTTATTACAAGTTGCAATAACAAAACTTGCGAGTCATAATATTCCTGCTGTTATCATGCCCCATAATATAAGAGCCATGGGAAAATGGCTATGCCTACTTCTATTTCTTCCACTTTAGTCACCATTCGCTCTACAGGAAGGACCGGATATTCCTCTGCTGAGCATGTCCGCTTTGGAGCTGAGTACGGAGTAGAGGTAGACTAAGTGAGAATCGTTTGCACCGCTCTAGATTTCTCAACGACTTTTCAGTATCCAGATTCAAGTTCTAATAATAAGACAGACATTCTAGAATAATCTGGGTAAAGACATCCTATCCAGTAACCAAAGGAGACATTGGTTGAGAATGATAACACCTCGGCTAATACTCTCTGGTGCTCTCAGGTCGCAGCCATATAAATTGTGGGTAGACATCAAGGTACCGGTACTCTAAATCAAACTTCAAGATAGCGCAACTTCCTAGTAGAACTAGCAACGTGTAGCAACAAACACGGCGGACTCTCCAACCCACCTGCAAATAGTGTCAGTATTGACGGCATATAAATTACCTGACTCTGAGCTCAAAGAGCTGTGTGCAGCTCTTGGCGCTGCTTGAGTCATCATTTTCGAACTTAGCTCTGGTTACGTAGCCACCATTGGTTGACCTGTCATTCTTGTGCATCCATCCAAGTACAATGACCTAGACATTCGAATATCAAACCGATTCAAACGAAGCGAAAGGCAATTCGTGAAACTCCTCGTCGCTTCAAGCGAGAGCAGCAGGTAAAGAAACCTCTCGCTTCTCCAAAGTGCGGGGCGTTTCGTTTCCCACGGTGGTAAGCCCCCACGCCAAACAAAGCTAATAAGAAGATCGAGGGTCTTCGCAGAGCGCAGAGCCCGACCACCCATTCTTGTTCATGTCCACTTGACTACAACTACTCTACCTCTCGCTCTTCTCACCACCCATTCTATCCCCACTTATTCACCCTCTTCATCCCGTCATCTACTCACTGCCGCTGTCGCTGGCGCTGTCACCATAGCCTCAAAAGTCTTTTCCCTGGACGCTCCCGATCGTCCAGAAACCTTGTCAATCGTCTCAAACTGCCCCGCCAGGATCTTGCAACACCCTTCGTCATCGCCCCGATTGCCGGCTTCTATCTAGACAGGCACAGGAACCACCCGGAAGTCTACAAGTCAATTACAATACAGTTCCACAACACCATAGCCATAGCGTATCAACCACCTTGACAGCATAAGAACCATCGCGAATACTCAACACTTCTTCTACCTACCATACCACCTTCTAGCCATGGCTTCCAATATGCCAGCCCTCTCAGCCTCGGCGCAGACGCTCGATATCTACACATTTCCCCGCCATCGTCTTCGACTCACGCAAACCGACCCCACCAAGACACCTCTCGTTCTTGTCGCATGCGGTTCCTTTTCACCTGTAACATATTTGCATTTACGAATGTTTGAGATGGCTGCGGATTTTGCGAAGTTCAATACCGAGCAGTTGGACACCCAGTTTGAGATTTTAGGGGGCTACCTTTCACCTGGTATTTTGACATCGTCCGGATAGTGATTCAGAAGTGTGCTTACTTTGGCTACTTAGTCGGCGATGCTTATAAAAAGGCTGGTTTAGCAAGCGCAGTGCATAGGTACTTTCGTCGCTGCTCTGCAATGAACTATCTCTGACGGCATTAATAGGCTTCGAATGTGCGAATTAGGGGTCGATAGAAGCTCAGACTGGCTTATGGTAGATCCTTGGGAGGCCATCCAACCTCAATATATGCCCACAGCTCAAGTCCTCGATCATTTCGAGCACGAAATCAACGAAGTGTTGGGAGGAGCCGAACGACCCGATGGCTCAAGAGCGCATGTACGAATTGCTTTACTGGCTGGAGCAGACTTGATCCAGACGATGTCTACCCCCGGGGTTTGGAGCCCCAAGGATTTGGATCATATTTGTAAGTATTGAAAACATTCGTCTGGGATTTTGACCAAGGGTCATTTCGTTATCATTCAGAAGGGTCCAGGACTACAAACCTGGGCTGCCACGTTCTTACTCAAAAAACTTTCTGACTTCGAGTACAGTGGGTCGCTATGGCACGTTCATTGTCGAGCGGAGCGGCACCGACATCGATGAGGCACTGGCCCATCTTGAGCACTGGAAACACAACATTTATGTGATTCAGCAGTTCATTCAAAATGATGTCAGCAGTACCAAGATCCGCCTTTTCCTGAGACGGCAGATGAGCGTACGGTATCTGATTCCTTCTCCTGTGATTGAGTACATCGAGGAAAACAACTTGTATGATCATGAAGACACTGCTTCAGCTGCCGCCGTTGCCAAAGGAAAAGCCAAGTCGGAGGTGGCCGACACGCAAGCTATAGAGAGCAGCTCCTCAAAAAGCTAGATAGCTTCCTCGAGATCTAGCTTTTTAAAACAGGCAATTGTATAATACTGGGGTACACCCACGAAGACACACCCCCGCCCGCCACCTCCATCGGGTTACCTCCACTGCAACATGGTATGCATTCTTTTGCATACTGGCCGGGAATATATATCGGAATATAGACAGAACGGGTGGATTTCTTTTTGCCTGGCGTTTTTCCTGCATGGGTCGGTTCGTGGTTTCATTTCAGAAAATTGGGAGAAGAGGCAGGCTCTACAATCCTGAGTACATGACATAGGTATGATTGGTTTGTTGGGTAGATACAGTGAGATACAGCGCACGACGAGAGGCTCACGCCCTCGGATTTTCACAACTAGTGATTTTGTTCCACGATTGGGCGGCGGAATTTGATGATCATTCTATATCTTGCGCTTTCGGTTCCCGATATTTGGGTAGGGTTGTCTCGACTACGTAGACAGGATATTAGGCAAAATCTATGAATCTACATTTTCGGAACATATTTACATTTTCGGATTCTATTGTCTTGTTGCTACAGAAAATATTCCACGGAATGAGTGAATTAAGCGTTAATTGGGGATGAAATTGCCTGCCTGGACAAAGTAAACACCTAGGTACACACAGCACGCAAACGATCGCTGCCCCACAGGCATGCCACGCCGAGCCTGCGTCATACTCGCACTTCCCCAAGCTCCCTCTACTCGTACGCCTCTTTGAAGCTAACCACATCTCAACCACAACAACCAGTTACCTCACCAACACACCAACTCGCAACATCGGACCTGCACAGCTGTGTATCCCCCAACGACTCATCTCACAACGAGACAAATATCCTACCACGACTGACTTCGCGACGCTGGTCGGCGCACCATACAAAGATGGGGCGCTTGTGGCACTGCGCAACCCTCGCGGGAGTCTTCACGACTGTGTTGGCTGCAGAGGCCTTGACGCCGAAACATGAGGCAGGAAGGTGTGCGATACGTGGGAACTGTGGGAAAACGAGCTTCTTCTCCCCCGAGCTGCCTTGTTCGGATAACGGGCTGGCAAGGGAGCCAACGGGTGAGGTGAGGAAACAATTAGTAGATATATGCGGGCCAAAATGGAATACAGGCCCGGTGTGCTGCGAGTCAGAGCAGGTATGTCGTTGAGAGATAGGTGGTTTGGCTCTTCTAATCACTAAACAGCTCGACGCACTCTCCGATAACCTCAAGAAAGCCAATGCATTCATATCTTCTTGCCCGGCATGTAAAGCGAACTTCTATAACCTGTTTTGTACATTTACTTGTTCTCCAGATCAGTCATTATTTGTCAACGTCACAGAGGCAACGTCAAAGAATGATAAGTTGATGGTGACGGAATTGGATCAACTGATATCGGAGGAGTATGGAGCTGGATTCTATGACAGTTGTAAGGATGTGAAGTTTGGGCCAACAAATAGTAACTCCATGGGTTTCATCGGTGGTGGGGCAAAGAACTATACCGATTTCCTCAAATTCTTGGGGAAAAAGAACCCGCCCTTTGGTTCTCCTTTCCAAATCAATTTCCCGGATCCTAAGGGTTACGAAGAACCTGGAGCAGGGCCTCTTTCTATGGCACCGAAGAGGTGCAACGATGAGGATGAGAGCTTTAGATGTGCGTGTCTCGATTGTCCAGCAATTTGCCCAAAACTTCCAGCAGTCACCGACGCTGGCTCATGCCACGTGAGTCTGCTACCGTGTTTATCCTTTGCGGCTATTTTGACCTACAGTATTGCTTTGGCATTGCTTTTCACGGCTCTATTTGGACATATCGCTGTTGCAAAACATAAGCAACGAAAGAGCCAACGACTGCAACTTCTTCAGGACCCAACTCCAAGCGATGAAGAGGATGAAGGGGACATTATTCACAATACTGCAATGTATGACCGGCCTCAGAGAAACTACTGGATTAATACTGTTTGCGACAGTGCGTTCAGCAAGTTGGGTTATGTTGCCGCCAGATTCCCTGGCATAACAATTGGGGTCAGTGTGCTTCTCGTTGGAATTCTTAGCATCGGATGGGTCAAATTTCAAATTGAAACGAATCCTGCCAGACTGTGGGTTAGCCCAACCTCGGCTGCAGCCCAAGAAAAGGCATTCTTTGATGAGAATTTTGGCCCATTCTATCGAACCGAGCAAGTCTTTCTTTCAAATGGCACACAATCGGATGCCACAAGTCCTGTTCTTAGCTATGAAACCTTGAAATGGTGGCTGGAAGTCGAGGATCGCATCAGTCTATTGAAGGGATCAAAAACGGGCTCCACTATGGAAAGCGTTTGCCTCAACCCCACTGGTGATGGTTGTGTGGTTCAATCGGTTAGTGCATATTTTGGAAGCAGCGCCGACAACGTCACTCCAACTACCTGGAAAGAGAAGCTTCGCAATTGTGTCGATTCGAATGTCAATTGTCTTCCAAAATTTGGAATGCCGGTTGATCCTAAGCTAGTCCTTGGTCGCAATCCCTACTCCGACGATCCTGTAGATACTCCCGCGATTATTACCACATGGGTTATCAACAGCGGCGCAGAAGACTCAAAGACGGTGGCTACTGCAGCGGATTGGGAAGAAACTCTCAAAACCACGTTGCTTGGCCTCCAAACCGAGGCAAATGATCGAGGTTTAAGACTCTCCTTCAGCACCGAAATCAGCTTGGAAGAAGAGCTCAACAAATCTACAAACACAGATGCAAAGATAGTAGTGATAAGTTACATTATCATGTTTTTCTACGTATCATTGGCTCTTGGTTCGACTACGCTTTCTGTCAAATCAGTCCTGCGAAATCCATCAACCTTCCTTGTGGAATCCAAGTTTTCTTTGGGGGTGGTTGGCATTCTCATCGTACTAATGTCCATATCAGCATCCATTGGCCTCTTCTCTTTTGCAGGTATCAAAGTTACCTTGATCATTGCAGAAGTTATTCCCTTTATAGTCCTAGCAGTTGGTGTTGATAATATCTTCCTTATCGTTCACGAATTTGAGCGTGTGAATATCAGCCACGCAGATGAGGTTGTTGAACACCGTATTGCAAAAGCTTTGGGCCGGATGGGACCATCTATTCTCCTTTCGGCAATTACCGAGACAATTGCCTTTGCCTTGGGTGCCTTCGTCGGTATGCCTGCTGTTCGAAACTTTGCCATTTACGCCGCAGGTTCTGTGTTCATCAATGCTATATTACAAGTCACGATGTTCATCTCAGTGCTGACGCTCAATCAACGAAGAGCAGAGGATCACCGAGCTGATTGCTTTCCCTGCGTTCGGGTTAAGGGTGCCGCGGTACACCTCAGTTCTTCAAATGGAAATGGTTACATCGCATCTTATGAAGGTCAAGAGGAAGGCGCCCTTCAAAGATTCATTCGCAAGATTTATGCTCCCGCAATCCTGGGCAAAAAGGCCAAGGTCGGGATTGTGGTCGTATTCCTGGGTATCTTTACTGCTGGGGTTTCTTTGATTCCCGAGGTCGCTCTTGGTTTAGATCAGAGGGTGGCAATCCCAGATGGATCGTACCTGATCCCATACTTCAACGATCTCTATGATTATTTTGAGTCGGGAGCTCCAGTGTATTTTGTCACGCGCGAGGTTAACGCTACGCAAAGAGTTCATCAGCAAGAGCTCTGCGCTCGATTTACAACTTGCGAGCAAGAGTCGCTCACGAATATCCTGGAGCAGGAACGGAAACGCCCAAACGTCTCTTATATCGCTTCAACGGCTGCAAGCTGGGTCGACGACTATTTCCGCTGGTTGGACCCAGAATTAGAGGATTGCTGTGTAGAAAAGGGAGATACATGCTTCAAGAACCGAGTTCCAGCGTGGAATGTAACACTTTCCGGAATGCCTGAAGGGGAAGAGTTTATCCACTATTTGCAAAAGTGGGTAAGCTCACCAACGGACCAGGCATGTCCTCTAGGTGGAAAAGCATCATATGCCAATGCTATCGTAATTGATGAGAAGAGGACGACGATTCCTGCTAGTCACTTCCGCTCAAGTCACACACCACTTCGCAGCCAAGAAGATTTCATCGCAGCCTACGCTTCGGCAAGACGAATCTCAGATGCCTTGACCAAAAGTACAGGAATTGAGATCTTCCCATACAGTGTTTTCTACATTTTCTTCGACCAATACTCCACCATCGTCCGCCTGACAGCCGCCTTACTTGGCTCCGCACTCCTAATGATTCTCGTTGTTTCATCTATCCTCCTGGGATCCGTCAAGACCGGAGCCGTCGTAACGGCAACTGTGACGATGATTGTTGTTGATATCATCGGTTTCATGGCTATCTTCAACGTCTCCCTCAACGCAGTGAGTCTCGTCAACCTCATCATCTGCGTCGGCATCGGCGTCGAGTTCTGCGCCCACATCGCGCGCGCATTCATGTTCCCCTCGCGCGCGGTCATGGAGCGAGCACAGAACAAGTTCCGCAATAAGGACGCGCGTGCCTGGACGGCGCTTGTCAACGTCGGCGGCTCGGTCTTCTCTGGGATCACCATCACCAAGTTTGTGGGTGTTAGTGTGCTGGCCTTTACCCGCAGTAAGATCTTTGAGATCTACTACTTTAGAATTTGGCTGGCCCTGGTGCTTTTCGCTGCGACCCATGCGTTGGTTTTCTTACCTGTGGCGTTGAGTTTGCTTGGTGGCGAGGGGTATATTGATCCTGAGAGTGAGGGGGGTCTTGAGGAGGATTTGGCGAGTAGACGGTATAGGGCTTTGCTTCCGGATGAGGGGGAGGAGAGTGAGGACGAGTATTAGTGTGTGGGTCGGGTTTTCTTTTGTTGTGCTATTTTGGATTGATGGGTGGGTGAGGATAGATTGGGAATTTGGAGAGAATGGAAAGAGGAGGATGGGGTGTAATACATAAGATAAGATTATAGCATTTTTTGGAGGGATGGGTGTATTGATTTGATGGGGTTTCTCTTTTTCCTTTTTCTTATGTGTCACAGGTGGATAATTTTGTACATTGCATCGAGCATGAATGAGAGAAATATACTGGACTGTAGTAGTATTACCTTTCACGATGTGCTTATGACGGGAAAGTGTGGAATGGTGTAAGCCCGATTATAAAAATCTCTTTAAATCTTTGTAAGGGATGTTTGGAGTAGGATTGTATCAAACGTGAAAGTACGTGGTAGTGGTGCGGGCTGGTATGCTGTACTGTATTGCATATGGAGACTTGTTTCTTGGAGGGCTTGTTTCTTGAAGTTTTGGATGGTTTGTTGTGTAGAGTTTGTTAGAGGGGGATGTGGCTGTCTGTATTGTCGGAATGTGGGAGGGTGATGCACAGGAGGAGTTGATGAGTTGAGGTGGGAGAGGGATTTTAGATCTGTCGTTTACAGTATATTGCTGGTCCGGGCCTGGTGGGTATGGTATTGTATATGCTGTAGTATGTCCTGGAAGTGAAGAGGAGAGGTATGTGAGATGTGGTAGGCGAGGATGGGAATGGGGAGTGGGAGATTTCTCTTTTTTTTTTGGTACGGTATGTTGGGTTTAGGGTTAGGTTTGAGAGTAGGGATATTATGGTGATGAGAATGGGTTGAGTGTTTCCTTGCTCGCTTAAAGAGGAGGTAGAGTAGACTTAGGAGGGGGAGTGGGAGTGGGAGTAGGAGTGGGTGGTGATAGACTTATGGCTGATTGGGTTGGTGAGAGGTATGAGTAGGGGGCGTTGAGTATTTTTTGTGAGAGGATACACGTGTGGACTTTTATGGACGTTACACTTGCTCCTGGTTGTTTTTGGTGGCTTTTTGCTGCGTGGAATGTAGGGGCTTGGGGATTTGGGTTATGGTTTGAATGTTGTGGGATGGAGATTGCGATGGATGGTATGGTGGTTGAGGCTGGGATTAGCTGGGTTGGGAATCTAAGGGTTAGAGAAGTTACTAGGGAGGAAGGGGGTTTGTCTATGGGTATAGTACTACAAAACGAGAAGAAATATCTGAACAGGGAGCGTGCTGGTATGTCGCAGCGTCTATCACCCCTCCCACTGGCTTGAGGACTGGAGGATCATATTGTCTGTTCCAGGACAAGGTTAAATCTTTCTGTGTAACACGAAAACAATGGGTTACTAGATATGTATAGTAGCTTACTAACATACAGTCTTTTCCCATACGACTTTCACTACCGTTTGGTAGCCTGTCAAAAGTTCGCTAGTACTGTAACTCGCAACTCCATGGTTCACTGGAATAATGTCGCTTGGAGCTTAGTAATTTAAGCGAGGCACAACGATGCCGTAGTATCAGAACGTTCATAGGCTACCATTAAACAACAATGTATTCACAAAAGGAAAGAACACCAACTCGTAGCAGAAGAACATGACTTTCTGGACGTGAAGTCTGGACTGTGTAGATGCTACTAGGTGGATAGAGCTAGCCTGGGGGAGCTGGCCTTTGGGGGAGGGGGAGTATATGGTCTCAGTAACCATCATCTGTAAGCCATTCCAATTCCATAACCTAACTGTCTCTGACAAACATTACCATCTTCTCACATACAACAAAAATCATACACCATACTTCAAGATGTCTCAATACCCTAGAGATACCAATACCTACACCCAAAAATATCAACCCGCCCTCCCCACCATAGCCGAGCACCCAGCTCCGGGGTGTGCCTTCCGACCTCTCAAGCTCTAGGTGCATCAACACCCAAATGGCGCCTCTGGGTCGAGCAACCTGGCCCGACAAAGCTCAAAGATCAACTTGCGCGCGTGCAGAAAATCATGGAGAGACGACGAGCGGACCCTAAGACCTGCCATGAGAATGGTGGTCCAGGTATGAATGCAGGGAAACCGGCAGTTTTGGGCACCCGAACGATGAATCATGAGGAGGCTGTGGAGTTGGAGCAGATGTTTACTTTTGAGTGGCAGATTAAGCAGGAGATTAAGGAGGCTACTTATCGTTGAGGGGTGGAGATTTGAGGATTTGACTCTTCGGATGGGAGGTGTTTGGGGCTGGGAGAGAATCGCTTGTGTTGCACTTTGCATGTGGGTTTGGTGAGGGATTTGGTATGGAGATGGGAGTCTTGAGAAAATTGGATTGGGCTTTGGGGAATGAGAGCCATTCGTTCTTGTGGTTTAGTTGACTACCCTTGTACGGAGAATGCAATTTATTTCATCCAAAGATATCTCAAAGATGTGAATAGCTATTGCGTTTATGCTGATACCTGCCTGACCTTGACTCACATATAAGAGACCTGGTCAATACTATATACACACGGTAACACACCATAAGAAACTATTTTATAAAACGACTGGCACATGTAATTTAAGTGCCTTGAGATATGTAAGCTAATAAAAAGTGAAGAGTACCAATTATTTCGAGTAAGCTGTATACAGAGTAATAAGTACGTTTCTTCTTGTTAATGACTAAGTCGTGTTATTAGCGAGTATATCAGAGAATTTTCGAGTTCCTGAGAATAAATAGAGATGGTCAGCGAGTCATCACTTAATATTTCCTATTCCTACAAATCTGGTATTGTTTATTCTGATATTCATGGCAAACTATGAATAGCTGAATACTTTGTTAGTATGTGGATCGATGGTTATCATACACTGAATCACAGTCTGGCGGTCTCCAAAGTTGGCCTAGCCTGGCCCTTGCGAGTGCGCATATAAATATCTCTATGAAATACTTGATCAGAGCTGTTTCCTTCTTTCTCACACACAAACTGCAATAAACATCATCAACCACAACCACGAATACAAAAATACAACACCACATAAATACTACAACTACAGTTGTTTGACTCGCCTGCAATGTCTTCAACAAGCACAAACTCAGCTTCTGCTCCCGCATCTCCTCCAACAGCCGACCAGAAGCCTAAACCAAAGTGGGAAATTTATGTTGATGGAGGTTACAACGAAATGGACAAGCTTGTGCGGGCGATGGAATCTCGCGATAAACCCCCATCCGTATATGAAGACATCGACATGGAAGAACGAATCCGTCTCCACGTTCGAATCTTCGAATTGAAGGAGAGTATCAGCCGTGGTCCAGGTTCTGATTCGACGGACAACACGACATCCAAGCCAAAATGGCTGACTTGGATCGAAGCAGCCGGCACCGATCTAAAAGAGAAGCAGGTCCGCCTACAGTTGCATGAAAGATGCCGCGAAACCCCTTATTTCAAATGGGAAGATTTCCTTGCTGCTCCCGACTTTTAATTTTCAAAATACATGTGGCCTAATATTAAGGACGAGATTAAGTATGGCGTACGTCTGCTTTGCTTGCTCGAAAATTTCGATGACCAAAAAAATCATCTGCCGCAAAATCGATGTTGCAGGGAAAGGATGGTGGAAATGTGGAACGAGATGGTAGCGTTGTCAAGGCAGAAAGCTCGAGGTCCAAACGAAAATGGCAGACTGGGGTTGAAGCAGCGGGTACGGATGTATGTGAGAAGGAGACGCGCCTACAATTATCGGAGGATAGCGGCAATCTTGATTTACCGATCCGTGTGGAAGAGTTCTCAGATCCCAACAGTCATGTGTCAAAAAAGAGAAAAACGATGTTCAACTCTGAGGATCCGACCGAGCGTCCCATTGCTCTCAAACGTCATCCCACATGGTTAGAGAACAAAGGAGAGACATCTAAAGCAACATCTGAGGGACACGATAGTGGATATACGAACCAAGATGATAGGGTTCCTGTGGAAGAGGACAAAGGTAGGGAGGATGAGGGGAAAGATGGTGGAAATAGGGAGCAACATGAGAGGTTTATTGAGGATGAGGGCAAGGAATTGAAGGGGTTTTAAATCTAACCACTGGCATAGGTTGACGGCGGATCAGATTCAACTTGATGGTGAACGTGGTGACGCTGAAGCCCATTCTGGTATGTCTCACTGAGCCAGGCTCTGTGAAACCGTAGCATCTGATTTTCAACGGGAGAGTAAGCATTTGCGAGGTGATATTAGTTTTTTGTTTACAGTAAGTCTTTTATACAGTTTTAGAATTTAAAGAAGCGATAGAAGATGTTGTCATTGGGGATGTTGCAATAGACTAGAGGATAGAATGCATCATGGATTTAAACCACGACTGATCAGTGAATCTCATCTTTTGACCTGCTCATGCTGACAATCGCGGTTTAGAAAATTCGCGAGGTGAGTAGCAGCAGGGAGCTGCAATGTATTATGTACACAAAGAGTCTTCCGTACTTAGAATAATACAAAAAATATCGTTTTTTGATATTTTAAGTACTCATCTACAGACTATAGTTTCCTTTATATAAAAGGTACTGACTGGGAAGCGTGTTAATAATTACTGTCTTTCAGGATTAACGAACGAAAGTGCTACCATTTCACGTCTCCTACAACTACTATCCCGCTTCTAGCAAATCCGACTATAATACTATTGGGTTGAAAGGGTATTGGGTACTGAAGGTCATGGAGAATTGATTGCATTGTAAAAGGTAGTTATCTAAGGTGTTTATATAAAGAGTGTAAGGTTTAGGCAGACATGAAGCATTTAGGCAGCAGAACTATAAGTGGATCAAATAAGGAAGTGGAGCAAAGAGAAAGTAGACCCAGCACAACAAATACTATATACTAAAATCGGCAAGAGTAGTTGTTAATTATAAGCGTTTATGAATTCGCTTATTAGCTAACTAAATCTTAGATAGGGGTACTATAACCACGGAACGGGCATGGGCGGATTAGGTACGGAAATCACTAAACCTTTAATATAAAAATAACGGAATAATTACCTTAGTACTTATAGAACTACTATTCCTACTATTAGATCCTTACTATTATATTCTAGAAGGTAAGAATAGCTTATAAGCGTACTTAGAAATAGATATATTATAAATATAGAAAGAAAATATAACTTATAACTTATAGAATATTTTCTATATTTCTACTTACGTAAAATATAAGCCTTTTTGAAATTAGCTAGGTAGGCTATTATATTATAACTTTCCCTTCTATCTAGTTTCTTACGCCCTCGCTATTTGTTCTTTCTGTATAGTTAACTATAATATAAGACTACTAAAACTATAACTTATATAAAAATAATAAAAGAAAAGAAAAAAGCTTATTTTTAAAAAATAAAAGAAAATCTAATAATAATAAAATATCAATTTATTCCTTTATATATCCTCTGTATAATTTCTAGAAAAAGTAATTTTTCTAACCTTCTTATATAAACAAAAGAATAATATAACTATACCTAGACTAATAAAAAGTAAGCGTTAATAATTATTTTAAACTTTTTTCGTAGCTTTTGTGACGGAGCTGGATTTCATTTGACAGGATTTCATTCGCTTGGCCAAGCACGTGACGAGACTTGGCATTGGAACAACTTAAATAACTTCGCTCCTTTCAGATTCTCTTCTCTCTTTATTTTTATTTCTTCGTACCTACGGTTTTAGTTCTAGCAATTGATTCAAAAGCTGTATACACTTTATCCTTTGTTGGCATCCGTGACAGCTTTTAATAACTATTCTGGTTATGTAACGCTTTTAGAATAATTTTATTCGAAAAGAGAGGTACAGATAGAGTAACGACTACCTACGTCTCTTATAGGCGACAATTACTATAGCTCCTCTAGTATAAAAATTTTCGTACCCGATCCGCCTATGTCCGTTCCGTAAGATACCCGGTCGTTGCTCTGTACACACTATATAAACCTCTATTATACTAAACTTGTAGTACAAGCAACATAATTCTCTTAGGATACCTAGGTCAGTGGAAGGTAAGAGTTAACAATTACTCAAGCTCTTTATATAAGTATTTTAATTGTGCGATGATTTTAGGATAATTTTAGGATAATTTTATTCTAAGAGAGGTGTATACAGAGTAACGACCATGTCTCTTACATAACCGATTTCTACGGCAATTCCACCACATCAAAATCCATGTCCTGCTTTATTTCTGTTTTAAGAAAATTAACCTATTACATTAGGTAGGGACGCAGTATTTGGTCGGACTTCCTCATAATTTACGGCTGCCATGTTTAAAAACCTGCCTTTTCGTTGACATACGAAAAAAGCTTTCGGTTGCCAGTTTTGATTTCTATTTGAGTAATGGAGTAGGTGTGCTTTATCAGTACATCTGGGGTCTCGCATAAATGCATGTTGCACATATTCACAATGATTTTGAGAGCTCCTTCGTTGGTAAAACATTTAGATTCTATGAAACTATTCTCCAACTCATCAAAGCAACTCATCTCATTCTAGCTGGCCGTAATGGTGTTTGGCGTAGGTTTGTTGACGTCCTGAAATGGACTGGCCGATAGTATGCTTGAGATGAGAACGAGATTGATGGCTATGGTTGTAGTAGTCGGCCCTTTATGTACGTAGATAGCAGTACACAGTCATGTCTATATGAGTTGCTGTACGATATTATAAAAAGCACTCAGTCCTTAAGGAATAAGTACGTCCTACAAATATGTGATTTCAGTCAGCACAAAAGGTCTATTAAAATTATTCAACCAAATTCCCATACAAATGCAATACCATGAGATGTTTCTCAATCCTCTAAATATATAATGCAAAAAGTTTAGGAATTTTCACTTGATAACCAGACTAATATCCAGCCAAACCGAAGCTCACTTAGAAGAACGCCACTAAAAAGCTAATACATTGGTGATTTATATTTTGAGACTCTGCAGAAAGTCCCTTGAATGTAAAAGTCCCTTAAATGTATTACGACCCTGTAGAACCCATTTGCGAGCATGTCACCCAAGCCCCCTTTTCGGCAGTTTTGCCGAAATGTAACCGTGCCATTCGTACAACACGCGGCCGATAGGATCTTAACGAGCCACCAATTGTTGGTTTCAAATCTCAACAGCTTCTAATGTAAATAAATATCTATAGCGCTAAAATGGAATTAAGTTTATAGATTGGTTGCAATTCAACCACATGAATGTTTTAAGGTCCTAGAACTCAAGGACTAGTTAGTGACCCAAATTTCACTCAATAATACAGTAGAGGATTCGTTGAGAGGGAAGGGGTCACGGTCGCGTGTACTCCTGCCATTTTTGGGGAGCCACATTTAGAAAGGAAGGTATCGCCGAAAACCAGATCAAAACCCAACCTTTAATTGGTCCACTCGTGCTGCTCATGCAGGACAACTAAAATGGAGGAAACAAGTACACGCGCCAAAAAAATCCTAATAAGACTATAATACTATAGGCTGGTACCTTGATGGGAAAGAATATGCAAGTCCTCCTCAAGTATCGGCATCGTCACATCACGACTTCCACATACCCAGATATTTCACTAGATATATACTCTTGGCCATGTACAGGATTCCTCAATAAGTCCGAAAATGAACTAGCTCCCTAAGCATGTCAGCGCAGTCAGCGGCAGCCCCCCCTGTTCCAACTCGACGTGGACGCTGCGCATCTAACGGTTTTCCAACGTGGGGGTACAGTTTAGATATCGGATCCAACATTACTTCCTGTTGCAACATCTTGTTACGACTCTCCCTGGCTACTGTAACAAAATGACTCCGTCAACTGGCATAGGAATATAGGCATCACTATCAGATAAACCATGTCTAACTGGGAAGAACTCGTGCTCACCGCTCAAAAACATCGCGATGCAACTATCTCCATTCTCGACCCTCCCCTGCCTGACCTACCAGTGACAGCCAACTTACCCAAGAATCTAACAAGCATCCCAAGATCCGTCTTATCGCCAGTAGAAATTGGTATTACCGAGACTCCTATCGATGAATTACTTGCCGCATTGGCAACAGGCAGATTGAGCTCCGTCACTGTCACAAGAGCTTTTCTCAGAAGGGCGGGGGTAGCTCAAAGCCTTGTAAGTTATTTTGATAACCACCCTGATTTATTCGGCTGATAATTGTGAAAGGTTAATTGCGTGTTTGAATTGGCTCCCCAAGAAGCTCTTACAAGAGCAAAAGAGCTCGATGATTTCTCCGAGGAACATCAGAAGACTGTTGGTCCGTTGCATGGGTTGCCCGTGAGTGTGAAAGCCTTGATATCTTGGAAGGGATTGAGGACGACTGAAGGACTTGTTGCTGCGCTCGCAAATACCGCGACGAATGATGCTCCAATCTTGGCTCTGGTCAGGTCATTGGGAGCTGTCCCTTTTGTGAGAACTACGGAGCCTCAGGGCGTTGTAAGTTTTCCTGTTTAGAATTCTCTTCTCACTCCTCACAGTGAGAAAAATTTGATACCGGCCTGAGATATCCGAATCTTACTGATGGATACAACCCAGATGATGTTAGAAACCCTCAGTCCAATCCACGGCTCAACCCTCAACCCCCACAACACCTCTCTAACACCAGGCGGTTCCTCCGGCGGCGAAGGCGCACTCCTCGCCCTCCTCGCCAGTCAATTAGGACTAGGAACTGACATCGGTAAGTTGCCCCCCCCCCAACCCAATTCCAAATACCAAAAGCCTAACACCACCCAGGAGGCAGCGTCCGCTCCCCCGCAGCAAACTGCGGCATCTACACCCTCAAACCCAGTGCCTTCCGTCTTCCGCTGGCAGGAATCCACGTTTTCTTCAGTGGGTGTGAGATGGTCCCGGCAACAGTCGGACCTATGTCGCCGTCTCGAAAGGGGATTGCGATTTTCATGGAGAGTGTACTGGGTACTAGACCTTGGGAAAGGGATCCGAGTTTACTTCCTATTCCGTGGCAGAAATTGGAAGATCCATTCGAACCCAAGCTTAATATTGGGGTTATGTGGGATGATGGGGTTGTTAAGCCATCGAAGGCGATGAGTAGAGCGCTGACAGAGGTTGTTAAGAAGCTTGAAGGGAATCCGAGGTTTAGGATTGAGAGGTGGGAGCCGTTTAAGCATAAAGAGGCTGTGGGAATTCTTGTTAGTCGTCTTCTTTTCGTGGTAGGGTCACATGTTCCTCGTTATTCTAACTTCGTTCTTTTCCTAGGAGAAGCTATACTCGCCCGATGGCGGCCAAGCTTTCACAAAAGCATTAGCGAAATCTGGGGAACCAATGCACGAACTCACAGACTACCGTTTGGTTTCCGGGCCTGGAGTAGAATCGTTATCATTACAAAGCTACTGGGACTGGACCATGGCCCGAAACATATTTCGTGCAAACTACCTGCAAGGTAAATCTGCCTCCACTATTTGAAGATCTCGAGTTAATTTATTACAGAATGGTTAGAGAAAGCTCCCCAAATGGACGTGATACTTTGTCCTCCTCATCCAGGAGCAGCTCCACCGATAGGCACAACAAAATACTGGGGGTATACTTCAGTATGGAATCTCCTGGATTATCCCGCTGCTGTATTTCCCGTAACGAGGGTTGATGCGGATCTTGACAGTGAAGATTCAGATTATAATTCGAGGAGTGAAGTCGATGATTGGACTCATAGTCATTTTGACGCGCAAAATCAGGCGGGGGCACCGGTATGTTTACAATTGGTTGGTAAAAGAATAGAAGATGAAAAGGTGGTCCAAGCCATGGATGAGATCTGTGAAGCAGCTGGGTTGCCTTTTATAGATTGTTTAAGATGATACTGGTGTCAGACTTGCAACTAGTAACAACAATCATGGCCAGACCTGCTCGCCCAGACGCCTAAACATTTTTCTTCTTAGAGATACATGCCTGTTGATAGGTTGCACAGTGAGAAATAGTGATATTAGCATGGGGTGTTATGGGAAATCCAAGGAATATTAGAAACGCGACAGCCATGTTTATTGGTATCTACAGTTTCTGCTGCAAGGCTCCATCAGGCGTTGAACTTGACCAGTTCTACAGTGTTAAGAAAAACAAATAAAGTTGGAGGCTATATATGAGGTTGTCTCTAAGACACAAGATCTTACATGTTAGCAATCATTACTAAGATGACCATAATTCAAAAGGGTCGTAGATTGTGGAATATTTCCTCAGCGCGTCTAGACCTACAAACGAAGAAAACGAGAGTTCTGCACGTACCTATCATTCATACCAGAAAACATTCCTGCACCAGATTCTGAACCCCCATTTCTTTCCCCCTAGACTCCTAGGGACCTTTGAAAGACAATTGGCCCTCACTTTCATTCCTCGAAATTACTCAACAAAGTGATTTCCCATATCCTACCTCCTCTGTCGCGCAAGTCCTTCGGGATCATATTTCGTATCTCACCCCGAAAAACCGTCAATTGCCATTCTCAACTTCGAATGCGCTTGTTCCTCTGCTCTGACATTCACGTTTTGCTTCTTCAGTTCTGCCAACCCAAAGGATACCACCTCATCCGGCAGACTCCTTGACGAAATAAAAGCCAAGTTGACAAGATCATAAAGAGAACCCAAATCTGTACAACTCCAACGGAACCAGAGTATCAAGACGATGTGGATCAACGTGATTGTGACATAGGCGAGAAGAATCCCAATTGAAATGTATCGTGTCGTTCCCCTCATGGAATAGCTGTATCCAAATCGAGAAAGCTCTATGACTATCTCTGTGCTTTTCTGGAGGTCAATGCTGCTAAATGGTGCTACTTCGTCAAAACCTAGAGACCAATCCTCCAAGTTATGGGGACGCTCTTCAGATGAACCCAGTGTCATGGTGGTACTCATGCCAATACGAGCCAAAGCATCGACAAGCAGTAAAGAAAATGCAGTTATGGAAATGTTGACTTGATCACCTCCGAGGGGGAGATTGTCATTGAAAGCCTGACGAAGTACTTCAATGGTTTCGTTCGGAGGTAGCATAAGATTGGCCCAGTCAACATCTATGAGTATTGATTTGCTTCCGGCAGAAGGGGGCTTAAACATGTTTTGTAGTTTGAAATCCCCGGGGTCAAATGGCCTCGTGGCGGTATGGTTGTAAGATACCAAGCTTGGAAAGTCTGGAGAATCAAAGCTTCTCCTGCCTATGTCTAGATAGAGTGTTACAGGTTCCCAGCTGGCGTAGATCGAGCAAGCTAGCAAGACTGAGTCTAGTCCAGGTTTGTTTTCGGGAAACGAGTCAGGGTAGCTGTAACTTGCGACTATGGCGATTGATGGCATTGTCGCAGAACCCCCCAGATCTTGAGAATTTACCCAAACGCTAGCATTCTGAGACTTTCCCAAATAAGCTCTAGCGTCTACAGTCCAATTTTCGCCAGCTGAATTAGAAAGAAAAGACAGCGGTGCGTTGAGAGCTGACTCGGGTGGGTTTACGCCTTCTGTCGGATGATCTTGTAAGTGGATATGCTCTTCTCTCGTTGTACATTGAGTCAAGACGCGAGGACCGAACGTTTTCCTCGCATCATTAAGAAGTATTTCCATTCGATTATTGTCGTACAACCGGTAACCAGAGGCTTCTTCTAATTTTTTTCAGTAAGGAGTTGACCATGATAAAATTTGACGCCGCAATGAATGTAGGGATAAAATTGCGCATTCCATCAGGTTCGCTGTAGTTGAAATTGGGGTAGGTCGCGTAGCAGGCTTCTATGGGGCGGTGAAATCTCGGAGGGCCAGCGACCTCTTCCACAGGCAATGTGATATTGACTACTTCCCAAGGCCCATAGACATTTCGTCCGGATGAAATAGTGTCCCGGATAGCAGAAAGTCCACTTGCTGGGCAAAAATTAGTGAGAGTGGCATTGGGTAGACTGGATTCGGCAGGAAAAGTATTTTCAACGGTCACATGAGTTGGCCATAAACCAGATTCATTTGCGTTGATGAAGTACCGATTTTCTGAAAAGACCTCTTAGCTGGCCACCAATCAATAGAGGGTAAAATCAGAATAGCACAGGAGGGCCCAACGATGGCACACAGAAGAACCAGTAGTAGCAGTAAAAGCACAAACAGATATCGGTGTACTCTGAACCCCCTGGTAGACAAGTTCTTCCAAAGGCTCGTATTGAAGATGGAGGTGAGAGTAGTGGCCTGGAATCCGGCTAAAACGATACCAAGAGAAAGACCTCTTCCATGAAGAAGCTCATACTGTATATAGCTGACAATGATGCAGGACAATGAGGTAACGACGAAGATTTCGAGGACTTTTGCAGCAAGTTGAAGGAGATTGAAGCGGACATTCTGCATCGGGGCTCCAACATACTCCCAATACGTCTGAGAAAAATTGATATATAGTACCAAGGCAGTAAGAGACAGAGCCGGAACGTGAATGAGACAGCTCCGAGCGGCTTTCCACGCTTGATGTTTGCAAGCTCGTTTGCTGGATTTGAGGCATGAGCATTGACGATATTCGTCCCGGAAGAGACTTATAAAGTGAATAGATAGCCATTTAGTCCCGGAAGCAGCACAGCGAAAGCAGCATGGAAGTCTCTGAAAGATTTTGAGTACTCGCGAGGTACGGGTTTAATCGGGGGATTGTGGTTTGGCCATTTCCAACGTGCTCTGACCGATTTTGGCGCAATGATGGTCAACATTCTTGCGCTCATCCTTTTTAGCTGTGTATTATATTTCATCAATCTGAGCCCCTTTTCGAGCGAATCGCACATGCACGTAGGCTGCGGCGTTTCACGCGTAACATAGCCACTGTGATGAAAGTATTTTCCCTTCAATGAGATTTTATTTTCGTCTTGTTGTGCAGGGACACAAATTGGGGGCGATTCAAAAATAAAATATTCGCACAGGTGCTCTCCCATGGGGGTGGAAAAGTTGTTTGCAGGTTCAGTTGGAACAGGGGCTGGTGTCGCGGTGGTGAATGAATACAGTGTACTTAATAAGCACCATTGAGTCTGAGTACCTAGGGAAAGACTTGGCATACCTCATCATCTCTCCAGGCGCATTTTGACCTCGCAGCTCCTGAATACATTTCAAAACTTCCTCTAGAGCTTAGAGACAAAAATGAAACTCTCAGATGTCTTCGACGACCGGTGACCAGCAGCCGGTAAAGCTGTCCCTTCCACTGGTATGTGTCCTACATCCTCTTGTCGCGACAGCTCCTAATAATACCAGAAATATCAACAAGAGCTATTCCAAGAGCTCCGCCAAAAAGATGAACTCGTGATAATCGCGCGCGGCCTCGGCCTCCTACGACTTATAACAAATCTCCTCCATTCGTACGATGCCGCTGGAAATAACCTGATTCTGCTCGTTGGCGCAGACGACCGGGAAAATGGCTGGATTGGAGAAGCTCTGGCAGAACATGCGGCTATCAGCATGGCACCCATATGTCGCGGACTCAGCGTCGTCAACACTGATGCGATGAGTGTTGGTACGAGGGAGAAGATGTATGCGCAGGGCGGCATATTCAGTATCACATCAAGAATTCTGGTGGTGGATCTGTTGACCAGTCTCTTGAATCCGGAAACCATAACTGGAATGGTGGTTTTACATGCGGACAAAATAGTGGCGACCTCACTGGAAGCTTTTATTCTTCGAATATACCGGCAGAAGAACAAGGCTGGATTTTTGAAGGCCTTTTCCGATAATCCGGAACCTTTTACCACAGGATTTGCGCCTTTGACTTCAATGATGAGGAACATATTCCTGCGGAATGTGAGTTTGTGGCCGCGATTTCAAGTGATGGTAGCGCAGTCATTGGAAGGGAAGAAGAAAGCAGAAGTCATTGAATTGGAAGTTCCAATGTCCGAATCCATGCGCGACATCCAGAACGCCATCATGGAATGTGTCGAAACAAGCATTGGAGAGCTGAAGAAAGGAAATTTCGGCTTGGAGATGGACGACTGGAACGTCGACAGTGCTCTTCATAAGCAGTTTGATATGGTTATTCGAAGCCAGCTGAATCCAGTCTGGCATAGAGTCAGCTGGAAAACGAAACAGATTGTCAATGACCTGACAGTTCTGCGAGGCATGCTTCGTAACCTTCTCACATATGACGCTGTTTCGTTCAATCGACATCTCGATACAATTCTAGCGGCGCATTCTCCTCCACCAGGTTCTACGAGGCAAAATCAGTCACCATGGTTGTTTCTTGACGCTGCTCATACCATTTTTGATACAGCAAAGAGACGTGTCTACACGGGCAAGGCACCGAAAGCTGGTTCAGATAACATTGATGCACTCCGTCCCGTTCTCGAGGAGCAACCCAAGTGGGCAGTGCTAGCAGAGGTTATGGATGAGATTGACCGCGATCTTTATTTCAACCCTCCTGTTACGGACGATTCGAACGGAACAATTTTGATTATGTGTACGGATAGTGGTCAATGTCGTCAGCTACGAGAATATCTTCAGACCATGCACGTTCGCCCTGAAAATGATGTCCCAGAAGAAGACGAGGAACAAGATGGAGAGAAGGAGAAAGAAAACGAGCCATCAGCTGCGTATATGATGCGGAAGAAACTTCGAGAATATCTAGGTTGGAAAGACCAATTCAAAATGATTAGTGCAGCTCTGTTTTCCGAGAACCAAGATGCGGTGAACGGCACTACAAGTCACAAATCTGGCGGCTCCAACGACTTTAGGGGAAAACCACCTGCAAACAAAAGAAGACGGGTCAGGGGAGGCGGTACTGTTGGTGCTGCACCATCACGAGCAACAAATGGTAGTCTTCTCGCATCTGAAGACAAGCCTTTGGAGGTTGCTAGCTTGATTGCAGAAATCAGACCTACAGAAATTGAGGCGGCCCAGAAAGAAGATATAGTAGCTGATCCATTGGAAGATATGGACGACTACTACGAACTGTATGATATGAAGGATCTTGTCGTCATCCATGCATTCGATGGAGATATGGATGAGCATATTCTTGAAGAGGTCAAACCGAGATACATTATCATGTATGAGCCAGATACTGCATTTGTCAGACGAATTGAGGTTTATCGGTCATCACATAACGATCGTAATGTCAAGGTTTATTTTCTGTACTATGGCGGCTCAGTCGAAGAGCAACGCTATCTTTCTTCGGTTCGTCGAGAAAAAGATGCTTTCACGAAGCTCATCAAGGAAAAGTCATCCATGGCTCTCACTCTTACAACCGACGCCCACGGAATTGAAGACCCACAGGAAGCATTCTTACGAACAGTCAATACCCGAATAGCAGGAGGCGGCCGCCTAGCAGCAACAGCCCAACCGCCACGAGTAGTCGTCGACGTCCGCGAATTCCGCTCCTCTCTCCCCTCCCTCCTCCACGGCCGCTCAATGGTAGTAGTCCCCTGTATGCTCACAGTAGGAGACTACATTCTCTCCCCCAACATCTGCGTCGAACGTAAATCCATCAAAGACCTCATCTCCTCCTTCAAAGACGGCCGGCTATACACCCAAGCCGAAACCATGTTCCAGCACTACAAAAATCCCATGCTCCTCATAGAATTCGACCAGAATAAATCCTTCACGCTAGAGCCCTTCGCGGATCTCTCCGGCTCACTGTCCTCTACTTCTAGTACCCCGAATGCGTCATCAGATCTGCAGTCCAAACTCGTCCTGCTGACGCTCGCCTTCCCCAAACTCAGGATCATATGGTCCTCATCACCTTACCAGACGGCTGAAATCTTCGAGTCGTTGAAAACGATGGAAGCGGAGCCGGATCCGATACAAGCCGTCAGTATCGGACTGGAAGGCGGCCAGAGAGCGGAGGAACAAGCGTTTAATCGCGAGCCGCAGGATATGCTCCGTGTTGTTCCGGGGGTCACAGGGAAGAATCTGGGGAGTCTTATTAGAGGAGTGGGGAGTCTGAGGGAGGTTGCGGGCATGGAGGTCGCGGAGTTGGACCCGATTGTTGGTGTTGAGGCAGGCAAGAAGATTCATCGGTTTTTTAATAGGAGTGTTTTTGATGCATGAGTGGGCGGGTTTGACCCCTCGCTTATTTATGGAACCCAGTATTGTAAGGAGCGCATGATTTTAAGGAGATTCGTACATGTGAGTCCTTCTCTTCGTAATAGAATAAGAAAATTATGTCATGTAACACACATGGTATCCACGTGTAATGAACCAGCTAATGTGTGAAGATCTTAACAAGTACATGTCTTCAAACCCTCCTAGCTTCGAGTACAGAATACCACGTCATCAAGGGCATTCTAACGTCCAAAATATGCGATGTGCGACAAAAATACTTGCGTGACGTATCTCTCTTGGTAAATTAGTATAGTGCACTATAGTAAATCATAGGTACTTGGAAATCTACCCGTTTTAGTAGATAGAACACTTTTATTGTCAGGGGTTACTGATCGGTGATTCTACTATATACACCAAGGTGAAACAGGTCCTGTTCAGGTCGCATTATCTTGTATAGCGTTCAAAGGAGATATTATTATATGTTTCTCGTTCGCGCACTTAGTTGTTAGCTCCGTGGTTTATTTAATGGTTTTATTATTTAGGAATTCTAGTATTCCTGGTATTCCAGATATATATCTTTTAATATGTTTTCTTACTAATATTTTGAAACTCGTCTACCTTTCTTTGAATTTATATAATGCCACGTTAACGAGGGTATTCTAATGTCTGAAATATGCAATGTGTAACAAAAATTATGTGTATAACGTACCTCTCGCGCTAAACTAAACTACCCGTTTTTAGTAGATAGAGGGGGTTTTAATACTTTAAAACTCGACTAGCTTTCTTTGGGTCTATATGATACTATGTCATTCTAAGGCCTCAAAATTGCGATCTATAATGAAACCCTATACTAAACCTCGAGATTTATATCCGACTAAGTTGTAATTCTCTCTTTTCTCTATATAATAATAAAATCATATCTACACTACCTTTTATTCTATTTAAAATACTTCCTACCTTTCTACGTATAAACCCCCCTTTCCCATGCTATCTAAAGAGTCTTACTCTTTCAAGTTTATACCCAGGTACCTAGACACCTAAACTATAAACCTACCCAGCTCCGAGTATACAAAACCACGTCATCTCTCGCATTTACTGTTCAAGAAACATGCGATGTGCAACAAAACCACGTGTGACGTACCTCTCTCGCTAAACTAATATAGTACAATATACTAAATCCTAGTCGGGGATCTACCCATTTTCAATACCGTGGTAAACAGTCTCAAAGGCTTTTAGATAGGAAGTCATATAGCGGATAATACCAAGGGTTAAATGTCCAGAGACGCCGCGAAGACCTTCCTATACGTGAACCTCGTGCTTCAACTTTCCTACCTACTACAAGGATCCGTAGAATGCTAAGCTCTAAGTGGCCCTAAATTTAATATTGCCAACTTCTGCCCTATTTACTGCCGTCCTACCTAAATGTACCTGAGATCATTCATATTTTTCCAAATATTCGGGGCGTGATTCATATTTCCAAATTGAAGTATAGAATGCTATGTCTTCCCTCGTATTCCAACGTCCAAAAACTGCGATATGTAACAGAACCCAGGTTAGTGGTAGGTGACGTAGGGGTTTAGCGAAACTAGTCGAGTATTAGTATAGGTACTAAGACTAACCGGGGGGTGGAGGAGGGGGTCTGAAAGCTGTGAAATACTTAAGTCAAGTTAGAATATGTAAGGCCTCGCTCGATCTTAACTCCCTTAATTCTAAGAACGCAATAACATTTGAAGAACATCGGAATATATACCTGAACAAGCGATTCCCATTTTTCTTTTTATAGCACTCATAATAAAATCTTATCCATATAACCTATTATTCAGAATACTTCCAACTTGCAACTTTCCACGAACAATAACCCCCTTCCCCTTCCACTAGCTAGAAACTTTTATTCTACCTAGGTCCAATATTTCAGAACTCTCCCAGCTTATAGTATATACTACCACGTCATACCTCGCATTTACTGTTCAAAAAAACATGCGATGTGCAACAAAACCTATACTAGTAGTAAGTGACGTGCTAGTTTAACTAAATGCACTAGTATATTAGCATTAAGATAGTAATACGTAGTTAGAGATACCTAGCTACTCTCTTTCGTTTTAGTATTATTCTACTCAAGTAATTACACTCTCTAACCACCACGAAGTAGATGTGAGTGAGTGGTGCGACCAGGATAGGTACTTTCAACCTCTTCTAGCTTTTGATATTTATAATACTACGTCATTGTACGATCTAAAAACTATAGGATATGTAATAAAAGTAAATTTGTGATATACCTTTCTCGCTAAATTAATTTAGTAAGCCAGATAAGTACTAGAGGCTAGGCAATAGATCTACTAACTTTAATAGAAGTCTTTTTGTTACAAATATTTTGAAGCTCTCCCGGCTTTATATTTATATAACACCACGTCATTCCTCGCATTTACTATTCAAAAAATATGCGATGTGCAACAAGATCCCGTGTCGGTGGTGAGTGACGTGGTAGTTTTAGTAGATTGAATTACCTAGTAGAGTGGTATGGACATGGCGATGCGTGGTCCGAAGAACCTCGCTAAAGAGAAGAAGCGTGATTGAAGGCTAAAGGACGACGCCGGTTATCGACTATGGCCTAAGTGACAATAGTAAATCCGCTTTGTAAGAGGCGGATTTAACTAGCGAGAATCTGGGTTGACAAGGCTTCTTGTAAAATCAAGAAATGGACAGCATAAGTTCTCAATACAATCAAAATCCCGAAGTCCACAACCAAGAAGACAACGATCTAGAATCGCTTCTCCATTCTAATTTATAACTATCATCTATCATGGTATCATAAAATCTAATCCCCTATCCTCACTCCCCTCCCCCAATGGTTTCCTATCCTACTTCCCAACCAAACTCTCCTTCCCCCCTTCAAACTCATCAAAATCATACTCATCAGGATACCGATCCAGCACATCCTTCAACTCCCCCATCTGCGCTCTAATCTCTGGCGTAATCTCCTCATAAACATCTTCAAACATCGCGCTGAGAGGGGGTTTCTTCTCCCTCTCCGCCTCACTGAATGCCTTCAGGACCTCGCCTCGGATCTGTTTCCGCGCAGCGGCTTCCTGGTCATCGTTCCACAGATCTTTTTTCTCGAGGTACTTGCGTAGTCGGGTTATGGGGTTATCTCTCCTCTTCCAATCTTCTACCTCCACGCGTGCGCGGTAGGCGAAGGAGTCGTCTGATGTGGAGTGGTGCGATATTCGGTAGGACATTGCTTCTATTAATACGGGTCGACCGCCATCTTTCAGGGCGAGTTCGCGCGCCCGTTTGGTTGCTTCGCGGACGGCCCAGATGTCGTTTCCGTCTACGCGGATGGTGTCGATTCCGTAACCTGTCCCACGACTTGCGATTCCGTCACCGCGGTACTGTTCCAGGGTGGGCGTGCTAATTGCGTAACCGTTGTTTCGGCAAATGAAGATTACGGGACAGGAGCGTGTTGCTGCGATGTTGAGGGCGGCGTGGAAATCGCCTTCTGAGGCAGCGCCTTCGCCGAAGTAACAGGCTACTACTCTTGGCTTCGAGTTGGAGTTCTGGCGGTCTTGCATTTTGATGGCGTATGCTGCGCCGGCTGCTTGAGGAAGCTGTGTAGCTAGTGGTGATGTGACTGTATGCTGGTAATTTGTTAGTATCGTCCATAAATTCCCAACGAAGCAATTGGAGAAACGTACGATATTCAAAGCTTTACTCCCATAATGCACCGGCATATTCCTCCCCCGTCCCAGATCCTTCCCATTTGCAAAGAGCTGAGCCATAAACTCCTCGAATTTGTACCCCCTCTGAAAAAGCACCCCTGCCTCTCTATACTGCGTAAAAATCACATCTTCCTTCTCCAAGGCGCTCGCAGACCCAACACAGGTCCCCTCCTCGCCCTGCCCCGTCATGTAGAAACTCAATCGTCCTTGCCGTTGAGCATCGAACATGATCACATCCATTATCGACACGGACAACATGCTATTATACATTTCCAGCGCCAGGGAATCGGGCGGAGGAGAGACAGAGGAGTCGATTATGTCCCCGTCTGGGGATGTACATCGGTATGTGGGGATCGCGGGGTAGGTAGCTGGATTCTCGAAGGAGAGGGCTTTTGTGAATTTACTGTTTACTGCACCGGGGAAGCAGATTCTAAGTATACGATCAGCCATATTCCACTAACAAATAATTGCGATAGTTACCCTGCAGCCCCGGCTTTCTGTGATATTGAGGAAGACCATCTCGTTGTGTGTCGTGGTATGGTTCTAGGCAGCGGTAAGGAGGCACAAAGAAGATATCTCGATCGTGGAATTGGTAATTTCATTTTGTAGTTGGCAAAAGTTTGAATTCCACGAGCAATGGCTATGTAACTTCCCAGAAGTCATGTTGGTTTGTGAGAGGAAACAATGAGCGGAGGTGTGGATGTGGATTCTTGAGCCGCGTTGAAGCGAAGCACGGGCGGGCTTCTGCCAGACTGGGGTCCCCGCATTATTTCAGGGGATGATATGCGGGGTGGTACCCCTGGAAACGGTGTTTTTGTATTAATAAATAATGGCTCGGATTCTGAGCAATTCATTCACCATAAAGCGCCTCCGCCATTCTCCCCTTGTTAATGTCGCCAACAATGTAAGTCTGTGGGTGAATAGAGAATATCTCCTGTAGGATCCATTTCTAAGAGTTCAATCTCCTCTACAGGATATGAAAGGTGCAGGGTTTCTCTGGTAAAGAAGCCGTTGTAGTTAATTAGTTGGATTTGGTTGGTTGGTTGGTTGGGATCTGGTTTCCAAAAGGGCTTTGACAACAAAGCTTTTTGTTTATGATCAGAGCGAAATTGAGAGTGTTTCAGGTGTGATTTTTGATTTGTATCACAGAATAGACGACTAGACCTTTCTTGTAGGTGTTTTGATTAGGGCTCTGAATCAAATTGCTTCCGGGAAATGTTAAAGATTGATACAGCCTGTAATGTGTGACAGCGTTTTAGCATTCTAATATGGACACAAGTTACATCACTTAATTGCCTCACCTTTTGTTATTTACCGTAAGCCCGTATGTCATTCAGAGCCATTCATTGGTGTCTTTTATAATTCATCTTTACAACAAACATTGGGGTTGTGAAATTCTGGACAGTATGGGACGCATAGGACGGCTGGACTGGGGAACTATTGTAATTGAGTCTGTCTTTTGAGAAGCTTCACTACAATATTATTACCAGAATATAGGAGTGATGTCTTTAAGGAGCATTAGTTGTCAGTGATAACACTTCCACTTCTGCTGGCCACTGAAAACCAGCCTTCTATGGAAAGAAAAGGAGTTACAGTTCATCGTAATCTCGCGACTGTACGGACTAAGGACATCCAAACCAGTAATTGCCTCAGTTCACACTATTATGTGCTCCACTCATTCCCCTGTCGTTCTTCTTAGATACACTCCATGCTGGTACTACGTTCTTGAAAAGAAAATTAACTTTGCGTTGTGGAATGTTGGTCAATGTTGGAATTGTCTTGTGATAAAGACATGTGCCGCAAAATCAACACTCTCCCAGCTTCAGCCCTCATTATAATGGTATTCACTTTATTATAACAGCTTATGGTTGGTACAGATAGCACAACTCCGTTCCATAACCCTGCCAAGGACATTGTCCTGATCCCAAAGTTCGGTTATATTTACTCAGTTGAATCCTGTGTTTTCGACATAGTGTAATCTTGTAGCCAATCTCGGCAAGGAGCACCAACAAACACACCAACATGGCCATTTCAACCTCAATTTAGCCCTACAAATGAGTCATTCACGGAGGCACTAGACAAAGACTCTGGGACATCAAATCTCCCTTAACTCTGGTTTCTTAATCTTGTTCTTGTATAAATATCTCGTGGGGCTCCCCTCTACCTCCTCCACCAAACACAAACCACACGCAATACAATATTTTACAAGTACTTGGGCTTTCTCTCAAACACCCAAACTACGCACGCTACAACATCCCACAAGTAGTTGAGCTTCCTCTCGAACACTCGACGTTCGCTGCAACATTCAAAAAGTACTCCTCTCGAAATCCACTCTTTCAGCGACCATGAAGATTTTCATGCTGCTAGTGGCCATTACTGGCTTTTTCAACTTGGTATGTAGTTTCCCTTACAACGTAGCTACCTGCTATGTTCTTCTTGTTCTTATGAAACGAAACAGGTTATCGCTACTCCCGCAATAGCTCCTGTTAAGGAACGTGACCTGTCGGTACGTAGTCAATTCATACCCTCGAAGGCAATAGTACCTGATAGTAAGATAGCATATCTTCTGCTGCAATGAAATCGGCCAAGGCTGGGTATATACGCTACCAAGTCTCATTCCGACCACTGCGATGGACCTCACCCCTGCCCCCTTCTTTGCCCTTCCGAAACCAGACTGTATCCAAGTTGCGTGTCGCGAACGCGCTGAGGTCGTACTCTGTAGCGAAGTTAGAACTTCCAGCTCCGATCTTTCAAATCTTTTACTAAGTCTTCTCAGAATGCTGACCCAAGCTTGTTCTATGTCGACAACGTGGCGCAATACGCGCAAGACATTATCAATAAGTGTACAATTAAGGTAGATAACGTGGATAAGGTTTGTGGCCACGCATTTGATACAGAAAGTAAGTTATTTCCCACCTTCTACTCTTTTTACCACAATCAATCATTACTAACCTATTCCCAGGGTACAACGTTATCGTTAAGGAGATTAAGGAGGGTGTGGCATGTACTGCACCATGGCCAGCTACTTCATAGGTTTCTTGTACGTTGGCCAGAAAACCGAAAATTTCCGGTCTGTAGATCAGCACCTGGAGGTTTCATTCTTTTGCAAGTTCACGGGCCGGGTCCATCATAGGATGGCGGAATTCAATTCTTGGATGTAATTTAATAACCCCCTTTCATAATTGCTTCAGCTTTCTGAAGGCCACAATGACATTGCAGTAAAGCCAAACCATTCATGCATCCAAGGATAATTCAATTAATTCCAGCGTTTTTGTGAGTATCAAGGTAGATAGTGAAGTTGAATAATCGAGACCCTTTACATGATATTGTCACTTGCTTTATATGTTCCTTAACGCGAGTATAAAATATACAACGAAATGATAAACTTGTACCGGGATTTGCAACAATTTCACAACTTTCATCTTTCGATACGAAATGAAATAGTATATCACGTTGATTTAGCAATCCCTTGTTTCTATACAAAGTACCCCAACGAATCCGTCTTATTACAACCCCCCAAATCTCGCTTCCTGAAGCCCGAAAATACAGGAAGCAGTCATAGTATCATACAAATTACATAGACACCGTCACCCCACATCACACTCCCCTCCTCCTTTACTCTTCAACCACCAACAAGAAACTCTTAAGTGCTAACCCCTAATCCTCCCATCACCCATCTCATGAACGACATGTCCACCTTGTCCCGCCAGCGGGAAAGAATACTGCCCCTGCGCTTGAGGCTGCGAATACACATTCTGCCCAGCAACCTCATAATAATTTCCATTCGGACTCAGCCCCGGACTCGGCAAAGGAGTAAGATGGAAAGGGGAATTCGGACTAGGATACTGATTCACAGGTGTGTAGCCGTACTGTTGATTAGGCGGCAACTCCTGCAATTGCACACCACCAGTGGGAATTTCAGCTCTTATAGGCCCAGTATGTTGTAGTTCCGAGCGGCATGTGTTGTTGTGGGCATATGGTTTCTCTTCCATAGGTGAGACGGGTCGGTGGTCGATGTTCATACCCATTGGCGAGGGCTTGGACAGGACGGGGGAGACGCTATGGGTTACACTTGTGCGTTCGTTGACGGGCAGTTCGGCTTTTGTGTAATCATAGGGGGCGGTGTTTTGTGTGTTTGAAGCGGATTTCTTGGTACGGTTTTTGCGGTAGCAGAAGAGGGCTAGGACACCAGCCACTATGAGGGCGATGAGCCCGATTGCTCCGCCTATAATGGCTGCTATTTGGAGTGGTCTTTTGGCTGTTGGCGATGGAGACGTGGTATTTGTGTTGGAAGTTGAGCCGTTTGTGGATGTTGATTTCGCTCCCAAAGTTCCAGTTTCTTTCGTTCCTGTTGCTGGTTTATCGCCATTTGTTGGTGTTGGAGCAACTACAAATCATCAGTCAAACCACAAGAACGATTTGAGAGAAATGACAAACCAGAAGCAGTAACCCCCTGTGGAGTGACCAATCCCTTCCCAGCACTACAATAAAAGTCAAAAACCCCCAAAGCGCTCTGTATATCCGCACTAGCCGTATTTCCACAATAAGACTTGACCTCGCTGATAAAAGCAGCCGTCAACGCCGCGGAATTGTTATCCTTCACACAAGCACAAGAAACAAGTGCCATGGGCGAAGGCGGGCAGAGGTTCGCAGTCATAGAACTAATCTCATATCTCATCGCCGAAGCCGCACACGGAGCAAGCGATCCATATTGCGGTAAATCCGTGAGGTAATAAGAAACAACTCCTGGAAGGTAAGAAGGGGTTAGAAAAGACGCTGATGCTGATCCACCGGCCAACCCACAATAGCCAGCGAAGAAAGCTTGAGCAGAAGTTTTGTCTTCGGTACGAGTAGAGCCACAGTATGAGCCCACTTGACTGTTGAGAGCCTGAGTGATTCTGGCGGAATTTTGATTCTTCGTACAAGCGCAACTTTGTAATCCCGCCGCTTCTGAAGGACAATCTTTATAAGTGAGCGAGGCCATGGCATAAGATATCGCACTCCCCGCACAAGGAGCAAGATTCGTAAAAGCAGGTAAATCAGTAACGAACTGCGAAACCCCTCCAGAAGCCGGTTGGTTAGTAGGAGCCACTGAACCGCCTGGATTACAGTAAATACTGAAAGCTGATGCCGCAGAAGCGACATCGTCAGATGCCGTCGAAGAGCAATAACCGAGAACTTCCTTCCCAATAGATGATCCCACGGCCGCAGAATTTGAATCTTTCGTACAAGCACAAGATTGAAGTTGTGCTGGATCAGTAGGGCATTTGCTTCCAGTCAGGCCTTGAACAGCGTAGGATACCCCTGAGGCAGCACATGGTGCGAGAGTAGCATAGGCGGGAATTTCAGTAATATATACCGGGCCAGAAGCCGCAATAGCGACGGCCGAGAAGTTGAGGATGTAAAAAGGTATCAAAGACTTCATTATGATAAAACAATGTAGAAAAGCAAAACGAGTGGAATAACTGGAAGAAATGGAAGAGAAAAAATGGATGTTAGTACCTACAACCCGAGAGTAGGTCCCCTCTCCGATTTTACAAGATAGTTAGAAAGCAGCTGAAAAATGGCCCTAACCTAACCGTCTGAAAGGGAGGAAGGAGGTGCAGTAGGGCTGAACTTTCCATCCATTCAAAACCCTGAGAATGCGCCACTTGTAGTACATAACGAGAGGAAAAATAAGAAGAACTGATAACAAAAAACGACAGCAAATGTTTTGATGTCCACGTCAAGCGACTTTGGCAGCTTGCTCAATTAGCATTATGAAGCCATTTCCAATTATGAAGTTTTCGCAACTTCAACGAGAATATTAAACCCACGAATATCCATCAAAGTCTTGTACTACCTTTGGACGTACTCCAGTTGTAGCTTTATTTAAAGCATCCCGTCATGCACCCCTTCGGAGGAAAAAGCATTGAGGCTGGAGCCGAAAACTCTTGGCTACCACGCATTTTATTTGGTGCGCCACAGACTTTCTATTCGTAGATTGAAAATATGGTAAACGGGATAATTCTCCAATTTATTCTATCGTCCCAGATATATCCCGTAATGTGTTATCAGATGATTCGTTAAAATGCGTCGATCCAACCCCGATGAGATTACTAAAGTCTCGCTCTCCCCAACTTCAAATCCTCCCACTAGTCTCTCTGGAAGTCAACGTATGTATCCCCAGTTCCATTCATATTAATCCAAAAAGTTTGTCGTCTACCTTGATCTTCTCAATATCCACACCTTCATTTCGGAGTGGGACTTTGTTCTGCTTGTTATTATGTATTGTGTCATTTCGCTCACAATCCGCAAAAATAGGGGAACGGCGTATTTTGGAAGATAGGTCTGTGAATGTCTGTTCTAGGTCAGTGAATTGGTAACGGAATTGGGTGTATCGACTCACTTTAGAAGACCTGCAAAATCAAATGTCGCTTTCTTTGAAGGGTCGAGATAGATAGCAGCACAACCCGCTCGTCCATCGTGATTTGGAAGTTGTACACCATAAATGTTTGCCTCAACGACACCCGGGTAATTTCCAAGTACTTCTGCGACTTCAGCAGTACTGACATTCTCGCCTTTCCATCTGAAGGTGTCGCCTACTTGATCTAGAAAGAACCATCTACCGTCGTTCTTTCGTCGTAAAGCATCTCCACACCTGTACCATAGATCACCCTTCTTGAAAACCGAACTTTCGAATTTCTTCGCCGTTGCTTCTGGATTATTGTGGCTGTTTTTACAAAGGTTAGATACTATTCAGATTTTTCAAAAGTTGTAGGTTAACTTACTAGCCGGCAAACACTGCAGGGTTGTCTATTTGAACAATGATTTCTCCGCCTTTTTCATAAGGCTGTCGGTAAGCAAATCCAGTTTTTGGATGTCTAGCAATGGCACCTGTTACTTCATCGATGACGACTGGTACGAAAATGTTGTGAAAAAGTCTCCTGTTCAAAAGGCCATGATGACCAACACATGCCGCGAGATAATCTCCTTTAGCATAATTAATCAACGCAAATACACCCTCCGAAGAGTTGAAAAACTCGGCCACTTCTGGGACATCAAAACGTTCACGGAACTTGATCCAAACATCAGGACGTAGACCGTTTCCATACATCCCACGAAGATTATGACCTTTATCGAAAGGGGACGGTGGAGCTGCTAACAGATATCGGGCTGTTTCTCCTACGTAAACGAAGAAGGTTGCTTTGAAATCATGGATATCCCTCCAGAAATTAGAGGTACTAAATTTCTTTCCCACGCATACCGTAAGACCGTTCATGAGGCACCCAATTGCTGTCACACCTCCGGTTCCATGATAAAGGGGCATACAATCATACCAGCGATCATGTGGCCGGAGCAGGGAATAGCCTGCTGTGTACTTTTATAGATCAGCTCAGCAAATAAACATGTACCAAACTTCGAGGGACATACTGAAGCCCCGTTGAAAAAGTGTCGTGCCATCTGGAAAGCAACTCCTTTTGGGAGTCCGGTTGTTTCACTAATATAGAACATCGTCCTTGGCCAATTTCCCTTGACACCCTGTCTGTAAATATCATCCAGTCTGTCCGTGCTCAGGCTTCTGATCTCACCCATAAGCTTCTCCTCACAAACGAGAATATTCATGCCCAGTTCTCCCTCAATTGATGTGCGGGTACCCTCGACTTTAGCCCGTAGCCCTTCATCTTCATCCACGAGCAATATGGTTGCCCCACTGAGTCTCAAACAATGGATCAATGCTTTCCCTGCAAGATTGTGGTTGATCATTGCAGGTTCAGCTCCAATTGCCCATAACCCCAACCAAGCAAACAAAAAGTCGGGTGAATTCGTGAGGTAGAAGGCCACATAATCTTTAGGCTTGACACCTTGGGAGAGGAAGAAATGTGCATATTGATTGGCTCGTTTGTACGTTTCTGCGTAGGTGTAGCAGCCAACACGGGACCCGATAGCTTCGTGATCAGGAAGTTTTTGGACCATTTCTTCGAAGAGATAATAAAGGGATTGCCGTTTGTTTTTGACTATTTTGAAAGATTGTTAGATACAACTCAATTGGTTGTATGTACACAAGTACTTCTGCAATCTACCAGGGTCACATAAAGATGCAACATACCTGCTTCCTGGTACATTTTCTCAACGACTCTTTTCCCCATCATCTCGTATATATCCTGAATTGAAGCAGCGTTAGGTACTTTGAATCTTGCATATTGCCCTTTGACAGACAGCATCACCACGTCAACAATTGTTCTATAAGCCAAAAAGAAGAGATAAATACCTTCCGGAAGTGATATTTCCCGTCAAGGTACATTCCCGCTGCGGCAGTACCTGCCACGGCAGCTGCTGTGACTATTTATTGTATCCATATTAGCAATTGCCATCATTAAAGAACAAAATTGAGAAAGCTAGTGGTAGATGAGCATTTGGTCACCAGTGGTACGAAAGGTCGTCGTGAACGACCCGAGGTTGCGGGGAAGCTGAAGAGACAATTCATGAAGAGAGCAAAGGTGAAGGGGAGTAGGTCAGCGTATGAGGTCGGTAACCGATTGTTGGGTCATTACTCATGGCTGGGATGGATCTGGAAAGGGGCAATTGATAGTCAAGAACTCTCCGCTACCGGTAGTGGAGTGGAACGAGGTGGGGGTTGATCCAATAGATTGTTACTGCGTTGAAATTTCATCAATTGTTCAGTTCTGGCTTCACTTTCTATCGTTACGCTAATAGCAGAATTCATCTAATCTCCCGCCCACGTAGACGCCAATACTATCCTACGAATTCATATGAATCATCTCAGCCGTAAAAGTCATCTTTCGAGCACCGAAAGCTATCTTCCATGTAAAGTGGATCATATCGGCTTGTTCGAATTAGTTTCTAGTGCCTCAGATACCGTCCACACGTTCAGAGAGTAGAGCGTTGTTTTTTGGCGCAGCAAGTGGTGGTCCTTCAGGAGTCACATATGCTTTTGTCATACCCCCGTCGACAACGAAATCCTGACCATTGATGAAGCCAGATTCATCGCTAGCCAAGAACAATACTGCGTTGGCTTGTTCAATGGCCTCGCCAAATCTTCCAGATGGGAAGTGAATCTCTCGTCTGAGTCGCTTTGGCTTATCGTCTCCAAGCCAGTCCTGAAGAAGAGGTGTGTTGAGAGGTGCCGGGCAGAGAGCGTTGAATCGATATCCATCTCTGGCGTGGACGATTGCGAGTTCTCGGGTCATGGCAAGGACGGCACCTTTGCTTGCTGTGTAAGCGAGTTGAGGAGTTGCGGAGCCGACCAGGGCGACTACAGAGGCTGTGTTGATGATAGAGCCCTTGGTCTTCTTGTGCTTTCTCAAAGAAAGAATAGCGTGTTTACAACCGAACCAGACACCCTTGACGTTGATTGCTTGAGTGAGATCCCAAATCTTCTCTGGAGTATCGACGGCATCGGCATCATCGGAGTGCATTATTCCAGCATTGTTGAACATGATGTCTACACCACCCCATGAATCAAGGTGGCCAACCAAAGCCTCGATTTGAGCTTCCTTTGAGACATCGCACACCTAAATTGTATCAGTCAGGTTTGAATGGAAAATTGATAGTATAACTCACTTTGGTCTCAACCTTGAGGGCGGAGGGAACAAGTTGTTGAAGCTTGGCTATGGCTTTCTCAAGTGCTGGAGCAGAAATATCTGCCATCAAAACATTGGCACCTTCCCTGGAAAATAGAATGCAAGTCTCGAGCCCGATACCACTATTAATGGAGGTCGTTAGATTATAAGCTTTATGCAAGTCAAAGAAATAATAATGCCATAGACTCAGAGGTGGACATCCATGGATGACCATTGGACCCCCAATCACGTGAAATGTCAAAGTCCACTGGGGCAATTTTCTATTGGCGAGCATATCTTCTGGCTAAGCCGCCACTCGAGGCTTGCTACTATGATCAAGATACTCAAATATGGGCACAAAAAATGATGATAATTGAAACATTCGAATGTGAGTCACTTACCCAGCAGCGCCCGTGACTATTGCGTTCTTACCGTTCAGTCTCCCCATAGCAAGACTGTTGATGCTTTGCACCCCTCCGGCGGACATCGTGTTGGATCCTTTTCAGATTTTTGAGAGTGAAGAGGTAGAGAGAGTTATCTGATCATAGAATTAGTAGGCAATTCAACAAGAGCTTGTTGCCCCACATTCCTCGCTAAAGGATGGAGGGCCTGTGAACTCACGGAAAGATCAACCGATAAGAGTCAATCTTGAGGCTGAGATCAAATTGGCAAGAACGGTTTGTGACAAAGTGGTTGGAGCGGAGGATGAGGGTGTTGAGCAGAGTAAGATAGCAAGTCTGTAAGGAGGGAGATATTTGACCAGTTTATGTTCTGAATCATACGGTCCGATCGCGGTGGACTATGGGGTATCCTTATCGCAGAGTCCGAGTGGTACTACCTGCACACGACTAACTGCAAACAAGTGGTGGTGAAGGAAGCGTCTCGGCGCAGCTCATGTATCATTGGAGCATTGAGGGGTTTGCTTCTATGCATTGCTTCTATGGAGCTAAAACCACCATATCTTCCAAGTTCTGGGTCTTTATCACGAGTCACGAATTCTGGAACTCTCCGTTACTGATAAAAACCCACCATTTGTAGAATGTGTCAAGGAAATATCTCATGGAACGGCTATCAGCGTATTATATCGATTAGATGACGCGCATGCCGGGTCATGTGCGGAGACTGCCCTGGAATGCTGTGGTGTTTGCAAAAGTGGGAAGGGAACCTGGATAAATCCCGACGATGACCCATTCGTGAGATAAATAGCAAAGTCAGACGTGGCAGCGCGAGGTTGAACAAATATAAATTGCTGGAATTAGTGTGACATTCTTTCTTGATTGGAGGATTTCGGCTACATTTATTTACAAGTAAACACGATTGCTTTGGACTCGGGTAACCTTATGGAATTCACGATGACGTCTCGAGTTACTCAGTTGAAGGTGGATCAAATGATGTCACGAGCTGTCTCTCCGATTGGTTTATTGTTACCGGGAGTACGAGCTTCTTTCCCAGCTGGCGTTCGGTACAATCTGAAGCTCTTATCGCTGAGCTTTGTCTGATCTATTTCTAAATCCACCACCTCAAACTTACAATCTACCGCTGCTCGATTACCTAGATCTTCAACGTGTCTTGACCATCAGCACATTCCCTTGGGATTATTAAAGCAACTTACCTTTCTCGAGCTTCTTCTGCCACTTTTCTCCCTTGTTCTACCACCTGCTCAAGTAATAGAAACCCCCACCAAATCGCAAAGATGCCAGACAGCAAGGAGGACGAGATAACCCTCGAATCCCTCCCAAAGCTTCTCGAAAATGACAGCAAAGTCAAGCTTGCAGGAATTGATGTGGATGGCATTTTGCGTGGCAAGTTGGTTTCTAAAAAGAAATTCCTAGGCATCGCAAAGGAGGGGTTTGGATTTTGTTCGGTCATCTTTGGATGGGATATGCATGATCAGACGTACTTTCGAGAATTAAAGATTAGCAATGCCGAAAATGGTTATCATGATATTATCGCCATTCCAGATCTGCAAAGCTTTAGAAGGATTCCGTGGGAAGATAATGTGCCTTTCTTCCTGGTCAGTTTCTTTGACCCGGATTCTCAACAACCTGTCAGCGTGTGCCCTAGAGGTCTTTTGAAGACAGCTGTAGAGAAATTACAGGCGAAGGGTTTCGGTGCTATGGCTGGAGGTAAGTAATTTTAAGCCTTTATGTAGGAAACAACATTGACCAGGAATACAGCGGAATACGAATTCTTTCAATTTAAAGTTCCAACCAGCAACACCCCAGGTCCAATTGCCGAACGAAACAATTCCTCCACAGCTACCTTCCTTCGAGAAAATCCCGTCGACTCTTTGCCATCATTGACTGAGGGCATGTTTGGCTATAGTTTAACTCGACCGGTTCATAATAAGGATTATTACTACGGCATATATGATGCATGCGAGAAATTCAACTGCGGAATTGAGGGATGGCATACGGAGAGTGGACCTGGAGTCTTTGAGGCTGCGTTGTCTTTTGGGGAGATCCAGCAGATGGCAGATAAAGCAAGTTTGTTCAAGTAGGTTTTATCGCCAAGTGGATGAGCAGGTCTAATTGATACCTAGATACGTTGTCAAATCGGTTGCCACGCAGTATGGAATTACTCCTTGCTTCATGGCCAAACCTCGTCAAGGTCTTCCAGGAAATAGCGGGCATATGCACGTTTCTATCGTCGATAAAGATGGGAAGAACCTCTTTTTCCGTGAACAGAAAGACACCGATGCGCCATGGTCAGATATTGAGAACCTATCGGACATGGGAAGACACTTTTTGGCTGGTCTGCTCGATGGACTTCCAGATGTGATGCCTTTGCTTGCTCCAAATGTAAATTCATACAAGCGTTTGGTTGAGAACTTTTGGGCACCAGTTACGGTCTCTTGGGGGTTGGAACATCGTGCGGCCTCTATTCGATTGATTGCACCACCGACCGCAAAACCAGGAGCAACTCGATTTGAGGTTCGTGTCCCGGGAGCAGACACAAATCCATTTTATGTTCTTTCAGCCATCTTGGCATTAGGTTGGAGAGGTGTCGAAAAGAAGCTAGAAATTCAACAACCGCCACTTGGAAAAGGTCAAGACGTTGGTGGCAAAGCTGATCCCGGAGTAAGGCTGGCCAAAAGTCTGAAGGAGGCTACTGAAAGATTCGCGAGACCAGAGAGCGTAGCACGTGAAGTGTTCGGTGATGAGTTCGTGGACCATTATGCTGGCACTAGAGAACACGAGATTAGATTGTGGGATGAGGCTGTCACAGATTGGTAAGTTTTTCCTGTCACTTCTTTTATCAAGCTTCTAATTGTATTTTAGGGAGGTTAGAAGATACATCGAGACCGTCTGATGACGATATAATTTCGGTTGGGGTTGGGTGAACTACCGAGTATGTACGCTTAGTTCAGTTCGGGTATACTTGGTAATTTCCCGTTATTCCTACATGTATCAACAACGAGGACATCACAATTTGTGTTTGATATATACACTGAGATCGTTCGGTAATAAACATACATCTGAGAAGACCTTTACGCATAAAACAGACGGCTACTTACGTTTCGTTCCAACTACCGGATGGCTTCTCAGCTGAGGATCGCCTTGGTGCTGGTCTCCCAGCAAGACCTTTCTCACTCTTAAACCTGAATCCGCAGCCATTTCTTACTACGTGATATACAGCAGACTCTCAGGATTTTCCCTTGGCTGAACTGTGCGCGTTTCCGCAGGACATATTTGAGCCGCAATAGCCCTACTTACAGAACGGGCTTTCGTGGTTATCATGCCACTACTTAAGAACTAATATTCAATCCTCACGTTTTACTTGTTACATAGGAAGATTCTATATTGGAGCACCGTGTACTACCCGGTATCACCAGTGTAGAGTAACGACCACGTCTCTCGCTAAGGGAGCTACGGTAAAGTATTAAGCGAGGGTATATTCAAGGTCCTTAGCGCCAGCTACTAGCCTAACCCCTAGCGATGAAACCTCTGAGCTGCTAAATTCCAGTCCTCCCTTGCTCCTTCTTCTGGACATAGCAGAAAAGGTTATTCGTCGTGTCAACTCCCTAAGAATACGACTTGTATCAAGGATATCCTTATGTCAATGCTCTTGGCACTGGTAATAATTCTCCAGATGGCTTTTCGAGTTAGCCATGGTGCTTAGAAAGCGACCTACTAAATACAGGTAGGGTTGATGCGTAGTAGTATTCAAATCTTCTCACATACTTTTGTCTCTGAATTCAAACATTGTATAAATCACAATTCTCACGAGTGTTCAGTTCATTAGATGTCTGTAAGAATGGAACAAGGCTATTTCTGGTGTTATATTTATCATAAATATGTCATTAAATCTTCAATGCCTGGTTCTACATATTAAAAACTGGTTTCACGTGCTTCATACAGAGACAACCGCCAATCACAGCCTGTCCATGCCCATCAGACTCTCAGTTAACATGTTGGCAGACCAGGACAATGTTCATTATGAGAAATGAAATTACTATACTAAGGTGGGCGATAAGACACCTTTGGAAAAGTTGTATTTATATAAATTAAAATCAAGCCTCCAATGATGTATAAATTACTGAATACCCTCCATGGATCCATATACTTGCCAAATTATCCAGTCTAGTTCAATACAAAACCCATTTCTCAAAGCAATCACAATTGGAACAATTTGTGTATGTGTTCATCTCTCTCAACATTCGATTCTTATTCTCCTTCATTGTCGCTATCACAATTTCGTCTAGGTGAGGGCCTATTATCTCTCTAAGCGAAATGAAGAAAGCTAACCATAATATCTATCAGTGCACAGTGTAGCTTTGCCCCAGGTCGAATGACCACAAAGGAGATTTGCACAAGTGTTGACTCTGTGTTCGCGGAGGCTTTGGTCTTGGATAGAGACGCAACTGCGGCAGCATGTCAAAAATACCGAACTGGCAAATGTTCTGATTGTACCTTGAAGCCTATAAATATTAGTACACATTGTGCAAGCGACAAACAGCTTATCGATAGAACAGAGGTATGTGCTCCAGTCATTGTTTACTCTGATGGATAGAGACTTGCGTGGATTTTCAACAGTGGAAAGATATATGTCAACAAAGTGGAGCAGCGTCTTGGTTCACTGTATAGTAGAAGCGGAGTTCAAGTTTCTTACACGATCATATCGCAAAGATATTACTGAGTTTAGAAGGGTAGACGTCGTTGGACTTCTCTACATTCTTCGCCAAAGGTTATCATTTTTGTCCAAAGGATCACATAACGTCATGCGATAAGTGCAAAGGAACAGCTGTCAGGTGTTTAAGCGTATAAATCTAAGTCTTCACTTGGGAAAATTTGGGGCCTTGGCTATGCAGAGGCCGCTACACGTAGTTTGAGCTAATTTACTAGCTTTGTGGAAAAAATACATTATTTTATGGAATTTGACCTTTGCACTTTCACTGAGTACAAAATTAAACCGACCAAACCACAAATCAATGAGGATCTCTACCTCAAATGCGGGAACAAATTGGAAGGTATTACCCAAGCTCCACACTCAGAGAGAAATTACGGACGAGAAGTGAATTAAGTGGTTCGAGCTCAGAATCATTCATCTACCCAGATTCTGGGTTTCTTCTAACCTCCATTTCTATATTCACATTCTTCATGCTGAAAGTGTATTGCGGGTGGGTGGAACTCTAGTTGAGTTCCAGATTGGGCTGAAGGAAACGAATGATCATGAAAATGGACAACTGACCACCAAACGCAGACAACATCCCTGTTTGGGGGGGTGCAATGTGATCCTATCTTGTGTTGGTCTACATAAGTAGGTCATTTCAGTGTGTTGCAGACTTGAGTTGTGTTATCTAGAGAAAGAACATCAGATACCATTTGAAGCTTAGAATATTTAGTTTATTAAGAGACATGGTTTTTACATCTAGCCTAAAAGGTTTCTAAATATTCTAAAAGCTTTGTACAACTTAAATTTATACAAATAAATTAGAATACTTGTTGCTTCATACTTTTTTCTTGATCCACGTATATTAATACAATTAAGCTCCTTGTGCCAGGCGTCCAGTATGATTGCTTTTTAAGGTATTCACCAGCGGCCTTATAGATTCAAACATGCCTTGTGTATCCTGCGCATCTATTGATTTGCTATTTGCTGACGAACACATTCTTCAGAGCAGCTATTCACTGAGAGAAAGGTATTATCTATGTGGCACAGAACAACAGCTGCGTTCTGCCATTCACCTTAACATTGCTCTCTGAGGCTAAAGAAGCACTCAACGTAAGCCTACAGCTAACTTACACCTACAAATAACCACCATAACCTCCTCCAACTTCAAACACAACCTGACCACCATAGTTGCTTCCAAACTTGAAACAGATCACCAACATCTCACACACCAAGAATACATCCAAACTCAACAAATATCGCAAACATCTTCACACAACAAGAAGACCAACACTGTAAAATCTTGTCCTCATTTACAACTCCAACTACCCATTTGGTCTAAATCTCACAAAATGCCTGCAATCAAAAGACAAACTACCAACCCACAAAGTCCACCAGAGAATCGTGACCTCGCCTGGGGCATCTATATTATCCTCGCTAGCATAGTCGGAGCATATGCTGTGCTTTTACTTTGCTTCTTCTTATACCGCAAAATCGGAAGAAGCATGCAAGCGAGAAAAGAGCGACAAGAAGAAGGAGGAAGAGCTAGACAAGGTGCTGTCAATGAACTTCGGGCCTGGTATGGAAATAGACATATGGACATTGAAATGAGCGACTACAGTGCGAGTAGAGCAGACACAAGTGTCTACATAACGCCTCCACCGTCAGTAGTCATGAGATAGGGAGAAATTTCTTGATCAGTTGAAGGCATATGAATTGATGGGAACTTATCTGTATGGCTGGATATGCACTGGGAGGGGCTAGCGGACACGTGATTGGAGAGTGGAGGACTATTTCATATGAAGATAATGTATATCATCAATAGCTGGTAGGCTATGGCAATGAATTGAATTTTCCCATCTCTTTAGATGAACCTTGAAATTATTTGTTTTGTGAAAGCCTACATGTTGTATCACCATAAATGTTAAACTGTACTAATCGTTGGTTCAAATGTCATGTTGGTTGAGTTATTACGAGGAATGATTTGCGAGACGTTTCGGGCAACGAGAAAAGTTGGGTAGTAAAGTGTTATTTGCGTAGCCTTTTACCAGATGATATTATCAACAAGATAGGCAACACACTCGCTCCTCTAGCCGTATCTCTTCGCCAACTCTCTCAGCTCACCTGTAACTCTTAGTAGTTTTTCATAATGTATGACAAGATAGAAATCGCAACAACCCTTACTGCTCCCCTACTGTCCCGTTCTTGGCGAATAAACTGGTTACGTGGCGATTGAGTCTCCTGGGAGGATATCAGTTAAATGCAGGATTTGATTACAGGAAGTCTGACTGGCTCACAGTTTTTAGGGACCACAACGACGTTCGTAGTCCTCCTCTGGCACATGTATTGGAACAACTGAATGATACGCATTCAGGTACTCAGCTCTGAATTTGTTGCAAGCTGGCAGCAATTGCTCGAACTCTTCTGCGTAGAATGAAACTCGATCGGTCTTCTAGTCCAGCGCATCTTTTTACTCCTTGGTTTTCGTTCTTGAACCAACATTTATTGTGTGCAGAAGAACAGCAAGTATCAAAAATGATAGGTCCACCTGTCTCTACATCAATTCCAGAATTTGCATACTAGACATCGCCATGGTGCCTTGGCATTTTGCTTTACCAAATTCTGATTTCGGGGCACTGCTAGAATTCATAATTTGCGTGAGTAATACGAAATCTTTCAACTTGCTTTCTACTGTATTGCTTAGGTGAGGAGAAGACGCGGGAGATATAGACACGCACTTACAGCGTAACTAAGGTAGAACCTCGCTTACGGCAAACAGCAAGACATAAAGTACTAGCAGTATCGTGAGATGTGGACGGTAGCTCTCGAAACATATCAAACATATACAGCCCGTAAATCATGCACCTATAAAATCTCTGCTAATAATTTAAAATGTTATACAGTCGAATTCGATATAAGCTTTAATCTGTGAATTTGCCGACTTTTATAGAATCCGTGCGTATTAGGTAGTAACTATACTAAAAAATAACAGCTTTTAAAATATCTATTAAATATATATATAAAGTGATTTATCTTATTCTTAAAGTCTTTAATATTACATATACTACGTAACTTAAAATAGCGCTAAACCTCCTACTAGAACACTACTAAAAAGGGGTTATAAAACTATAGTAGAGCCTGTCACAAATCACGTGCTAGCACGTGAGGAGTTAGTCCAGACGGGGTTCTGACAGGACAAACACATCATGGCTCTTATAGCAAAAAGGGATCGCTTAGGTTAGTTAAGCGATCCAGGAATTTCTTTGTATACAAGTCACGTGATATATGCAGGTCGACTTCTCGCCTGGTCGAGAAGTCGATTATCGACTATGTCGACAGTCGACATTGTCGACTTCAGGAACACGAAGGTTCTATATGAGACTGGCACGTCTGCCATTAGATAGGAGCTTCGTGCTCAACTTAGTTATCAATCTTATCATATTAGTTTGACATCTTTGATACAAGTAACGAGTTCACTTCCAAGTGAACAACCCGATAGTCTTCTTCTTATCATAGCATACCAACCAGCGAACACCCAGCCAAGTTTAGTTAGCCAGTTTGAGTATTCGTTACACCCCTCCGCGTTATTAAACTATCTTAGAGCCTCTTACTATACCTCCTCCTTCTCCTCCTCCTCTAATAGTAATAGTAATAGCGATAGTAATAGTAACACATCCCTTAGCGCTAGTATTATATTAAGTCGAATTCAAGAGGGAGTATATAATAAATTACAAGACGATTTTAACTAAGGAATAGAAGTAAGAGAACTAGTTCTAACTCTTAATCCTACTTATAAAACCACCTTTAGAAATATAGTCTTTTAAGGCTCTACTAGAGGCTCTGTAACGAATACTCAAACTGGCTAACTAAACTTGGCTGGGTGTTCGCTGGTTGGTATGCTATGATAAGAAGAAGACTATCGGGTTGTTCACTTGGAAGTGAACTCGTTACTTGTATCAAAGATGTCAAACTAATATGATAAGATTGATAACTAAGTTGAGCACGAAGCTCCTATCTAAATGGCAGACGTGCCAGTCTTATATAGAACCTTCGTTCTCCAAATGTCGCTCCCTTCGACCGTCGTGTTGCGACAGCTCGCTCGCTGTCGCGCTCTTTGTCACGTGACTATGAATGCTATGAAATCCTTGGATACTCAACAACCCTGAGTAACCACCGCTATGATATAACTACTCTGGATGTATCTGTCCTGTCAGAACGCCGTCTGGACTAACTCATCACATGCTAACACGTGATTCGTGACAAGGGGGATATTAAGGATAGTTAGGACTCGGAGAATACTTAATATTTAAAGATAATATAGAGAGAGTATAAAGTAGATAAAGAGGTAGAATAATAAGCTATTAGAGAATAAGATACCTAAGATAATACTTTAATAAAGAGAATATAGGTATAAGTAGTAGTATAAAAAGTAGAGACTTATAAGCGTAATCGTAAGGCGTTTAAGGCCTAGGAGAATAAAGAGGCTAAAGAACTTAAAGCTAATCATACGTAATTCTGAGCTAAAAGAGTAGCTAAACTAGCTGTTAAATTATTAGATAATTTGTTTTATAAACCTTTTAATATAAATAGTAAATAATAAATAAGTAAAACTCTATTAAACTACACTACACTACTTTTTATTTATAAGGCTAGAAGAGCCTCTAAATAATATCTATCCCTTTCTCTTAAACCTATTATACAATTAGATATTTAGTATTCTCTCAATAGAAAACTAAATACTATAGTGTTCTCTAAGAAATTAGACCTAGTAGATAACCTTTATAAGAGCGCTTATTGCTTTATTAAAGAGCGAATTAAAATAGATATATTTAATTATATTAAGTTAAAATTTAGATAGTATAGTAGATAACGTAATCCTTAATCCTAGTCTATATTATATAGTCTAAAGAGTAATCTAAAGGCTTTTAATATTAGCTTACTAAAGGATTCGTAGGAGCTTGAAGAATACCTAGTATTAGAAAAGTACTCTTAAAACACCCTTTTAGTTCCTCATAATATTACTATAAATTATAGTCTTAACTATAATCTAAATCGACCTCTACCTCCTATAAATTTAAAAGATATAAAAGTAGCGAAATTAAAAAAGCAAAAGATAGGCGTATATATCTATAAATAGCCTTTTAATAAGCTTAAAATATTCGACGCTTCTAATTCGGATTATAAATAAAACTACTAAGCCTTAATATAACCTACTAAGCCTTCATATAACCTACTAAGCCTTCATATAACCTATTAAAAAGATAAAGATTTATAAGGAGTAGAAAGACTAAGAGAAGAAAGAGAGAGTCTAGTAAATAAGAAAAGAAGAGAATAAGGGATTATAAATAAAATAATAACTTGATAATTTAGCGTTAGAAGTATAAGCTACTATAAGTTAAACTATATATAAGAAAGATATCTAAAAGGCCTTTTAATATAAACGTTAAATATACTCTAATATCAATAGATCTTATTATAAGAAACCAAATAATAAAACCTACTATAAGATCCTTTAAGAATACCTTTTAAGGTAAGCGATAAATATTATAAAAGGATAAGCTCTTTCAAGTATTATACTAGCTTAGTTACTTTTAGACTTCTTTATAAGGAATAAGAAAGCTAAGAATAAAAAAGTAGTAGATATAAACTCTCTAGTATTAACGCCTATATCTATTAGTCTAGGTACTTAGGATTGGCTCCTAAGTGTGACGGTTCTAACCACCACTACACCTCAGACCAGCCCCTGGCTGGAACCCAGCGGATACCGTGCTTCCTGAGCCTGGCTCAGTTAGCCATAGCTTGGCACAACCTCCTGTATATAAGAACCTCTGGCTCCCGAGCTCTGCTCTCTTCTCTTCTCTCTCCTTAGCTTAGAATCCTCGAATAGACAGTTCCACAGTGTCAATCTCACCACTCGTGATACCTGACGTAGTCGTGCTCTTGCGCGGTCCATCAGCTGTGCGTGTCATCACACTAAGTATAGTAATTAACTAGAGTTTTACTACTAAAGATAATAGTAGAATAATAAAACCTCCCCTATATAATAGAAGACAATATAGACTCTAGTCTAAATCTTCTAAGCTAAGTCTACTAGGTGTCAGGGTATCACTAGGAGCGTACAAAAGACTATGTAACGAATACTCAAACTGGCTAACTAAACTTGGCTGGGTGTTCGCTGGTTGGTATGCTATGATAAGAAGAAGACTATCGGGTTGTTCACTTGGAAGTGAACTCGTTACTTGTATCAAAGATGTCAAACTAATATGATAAGATTCAAACTAAGTTGAGCACGAAGCTCCTATCTAATGGCAGACGTGCCAGTCTTATATAGAACCTTCGTTCTCTGTCGATCATCGCAGAGCGACTCGATCGCCTGTCGCTCAGAGCGACAGTCCGTTCGACCGACACCAACAATGGTCGCTCGGTCACGTGACTACAATACAATGAAATCCATGGATCGCTTAGCTACCCTAAATAAGAAGAAGACTATCGGGTTGTTCACTTGGAAGTGAACTCGTTACTTGTATCAAAGATGTCAAACTAATATGATAAGATTCAAACTAAGTTGAGCACGAAGCTCCTATCTAATGGCAGACGTGCCAGTCTTATATAGAACCTTCGTTCTCTGTCGATCATCGCAGAGCGACTCGATCGCCTGTCGCTCAGAGCGACAGTCCGTTCG